TCCTGAGGAGTATTGACCAAGGTGGTGCTACACAGTTTGGATAAGTAACCTGAATGTAAATATTATTCGTTTTTTTATAACAAACTCCACAGGTCACCTTTAAGTTTGCTAACACTAGCTAGCATTAGCCTACATTAGCCACAGATCATTTCAAGCCAAGTAAGGCTGTAGAAGAAAAGTTATTTAGTTGAGCAAGGGTGCATTTCATTTCTTTTTATTTGCAAGAGGAAATATGTGTTTTTTATTTCAAAATATTAATAATATGGCTTCTACTAAAGAGCTTTCAACATTATTTACTTTTGAATGACATGTTCTCCAAAATGCCAGGAATAACAGTTGATCTTTTATTAAGTATCACTGGAATAAGCCCGTACAATTTCCCCTATGCGCTGTTTGTGATTGTGGAATAAAAACATCCCTAAAAATTCCTAGAAACAAATTCCAGAGGACATGACCTCACTGTCTCAATGGTGTCTGCCCCTTTAATTAGATTGTAATATATTGTAATGTGTTCCTATTAATGTGTCCGCCCTCTGTGCATTCTGGATTACCGGTCACACAAAAACTGTCCCTTGTTGACATTCTTGTGAGCCACTGGGGCCTCATGTATGCTGTTGCTGGGGGGACAGGCAGCCCATTACTGCACTCACACGGCACAATGAGAGTCACGTGAGCCTCTCCTTTCCTCTGACATTGGGATTCATCCACTGTAGCCCCCGCGCCCCTCAGATTGTTCTGCCCCCGGGGGAAAAACACACCGAGCTGCACTGCTCCACTTTGTTTCCTGACGGGAGAAAGAGCTGATGTTAGCAGTCGTTTTTCAAACCCCCTCCTCGCCCATACATACCGGCAGCAGAGTCAGAAAACCTGTGTGTGTGTGTGTGTGTGTGTGTGTGTGTGTGTGTGTGTGTGTGTGTGTGTGTGTGTGTGTGTGTGTGTGTGTGTGTGTGTGTGTGTGTGTGTGTGTGTGTGTGTGTGTGTGTGTGTGTGTGTGTGTGTGTGTGTGTGTGTGTGTGTGTGTGTGTGTGTGTGTGTGTGTGTGTGTGTGTGTGTGTGTGTTTTCTGTGCTTTGGAGCGTGAAGGTTGGAAAAGTTAGACAAGGCAAAGAGGAAGCTTATTCTTATCAATTATTAGTAGGGGAGAATTAAGGGTCTGCTCGTGACGTGACTCAGCTGACTTTGCTATAAGGTCAGCGTGTTAAGGTCAGTTGCGAGTAACAAAATGTACCTCTATTAATATTTAATGTGAGGATATTACGGTTTGAATCAGTCTGCTTGTCCCTTCAGTCGTCCATTATTATTGTTTTGTGTTTGTGTGACTTTCATCTTCCCTTACCTCCGCAGAGAAAGAGAGAAACAAGAAGCAGAGGCAGCGGGAAGAAGAGTTGATCCTGAAGATCCATAAGCTGGTGCAGAAGAGGGATTTCCTGGTGGACGACGCAGAGGTGGAGAGATTAAGGTACAGCGCTCCCACACACACACACACTAAAACGTACACACAGACTGCTGAATGTGTGTTTACTGACAGTATCGGGTTGAACTGCATACACTGTGTCTTCACTTGAAAGACAGGATGGTTGAGAAACAGCGGGAAGGAGACTCAGAAGAAATGTGAGCATGACTGAAGGCGGGGGACGGGGTCAGTTCATCATCACATGACTGCCTGCACGCCTGTGTGTGTGTGTGTGTGTGTGTGTGTGTGTGTGTGTGTGTGTGTGTGTGTGTGTGTGTGTGTGTGTGTGTGTGTGTGTGTGTGTGTGTGTGTGTGTGTGTGTGTGTGTGTGTGTGTGTGTGTGTGTGTGTGTGTGTGTGTGTGTGTGTGTGTGTGTGTGTGTGTGTGTGTGTGTGTGTGTGTGTGTGTGTGTGTGTGTGTGTGTGTGTGTGTGTGTGTGTGTGGGAGGCTGACTGACTGATCACCATGGCTCTGTATTGTCATCTCTTCCCTTGCCCCCACATAGTGTCACACGGAGATAACGGTTGTGATATTAAATCATGTTACATTTCTGTGCAATTACAAAGGTTAATTTTAAAAGTGGGTTATCAAATTTGCTTCTGTTTTGGGGTATTTAAATGATTTAATCATTGTTATTCTCTATGATGCACTGAGTCCCCGCAGTAAAGTGCGTAACATTGTGTTATGTTGTCAAAATCAAAGCAGCGTGAAGCTCTAGCTTGTGCTTCTCTAATATCGTCATTACACTCAAGGCACAACAATTAGACATTTCGACCTGAGCATGGTGCTGAGGGGAAGGGTCAGCAAAATGAACTATTCATACAGAAAATCCAATAGTTATCAAGATTTTTTATCCAGAAAACACAAATACCTGTTTCTAGAATAGTCATTACAATCTTTGGGATTCATTCCCTGGCGACCATGGATACCATGTACCAAATATAAAATACTGTTATTTCCATTTCCATTGTTTAAAAAACAATGGTGTAAATAGTTTTTGAGATTTGTAGATACATTTAACCCAAGTAAAATGTTTGTACTTTACAAACAAAAGACCAAAAGGTTGAACAAAAAGAATAAATATTTGACAGAGGATTAAAAACTAAACTAAAACACACACAAACACTTGAACTAGCTGTGTGTGAATAACACGGTAAAAGTTGTAATCTTGTTATATGGGGAACAAAATAAATAAAAATATAATAATACTTTAATTAATCCACACAAAAATTCCTTTAGCATTTTTTGCATCCTGAGTTGTAATAAAAAAAAGGCCTGTGGAGTTATCTTACCTCTGGCTAACAAAAGCACACGTTTTACTTACAACACATTGGCTCTATTCAGGTGTCCCAGTAAGTAATGACAGTCAGCCAGCCTGCACAATACCAGGACCCTGAAACCTAAACAGCCGAATAGACCTTAGCAATCACCATTTTATAACCTCACACATAAAACGTTTTCTGAGAAAAAGGCCCAGAAGAGGTACAAACTGCGGGTCAGGTACGTAAAGAGGTCCGGTGACTAACAGTAAAAGCAGCCTGTTCTGTTGCATTGTATTCAAACAGCTGATCATGTGACTGTATGTAAATCACAGGGAGCAAGAGGAGGACAAGGAGATGGCCGAGTACCTGAGACTGAAGCTGATGCCTCTGGAGAAGAAACTCAAAGCCACACAAAGTGAGTTTACACAAACACACACTCAGTGTAGGAGTATTGTTCACTTTTGATCTGATGTATTTGTCCTCTTTCTTTATGGCAAGATGCTGCAAAGCCGAAGAGACAAATCCCAGAGCCGCCTCCCAACAAGCCGTCCATCACCAAGTCAGGAGTGGCCGTCATCAAGGACTGCTGTGGAGCCACGCAGTGTGCCGTCATGTAACATGTGACCGCTAAGACCCCGTATCAGAAACACTAACATCGCATCACACGTCATACATCACTTCCTGTAACTCAGAGAACCTCGGCTAACTGCTTTCTCCTCGCATCTGTTCAGGAAGCAGGTTTGTAATTGGGTCAGGGAAGGGGAATTGTAAATAAAAAACTGATCAATATACATCTTGAATTAGACCCATCATGAAACGTTCCTTTAAGATGGCAATATGGTCTGTGATCATGTGGTCGAGTGAAGCCATTTACAGAACTACAAGCACAATGTCCAAACGGTGAAATATAAATGCTGGGGATCTCTGTCTGACAGGAGAAAATAAACATTGGTTATCGTCATGATGGACAACGGGGATTTATTCCTCCATCGCAGCCCTTTATCAACCAGTGAACCTCTTCATTTAAGGAAACCCACAAATCGGCTTTTGTACTGGAGCTAAGCAATCATTTTGACTCCATGCAATGGCTCGAACATCAGTTTAATCCTCTGTGATTCTGTAATATCTGATGTGCTTGATTTAAAACTTTGACAGTCAAAAAATCTTTGGTAGCCATTGAAGATAAACATTTAAAAACACAGAAAATACTTACGGAAAATGTTCTTCGGTGACAAAAACTCCATTGAAATGTTGCTATAAAATGTGGTCTTAACAGGTTCGTTTCCAAACATTTGCATTTCACTCTACAAAGGCCACTTCTTAATGGCAGTACATCTAAACATGACCCATTATTGTAGCGTGGTATCCACTGGTTCACAACTATTATTACTCTGGGTAACCATATAGGAATCCCTGAGAGGCAAATGAGAACAAATTCTGATTATCCATTTTTTAAGTTTGATTTAAATGCTAAGCTAAATTATTACCGTGATGTCTTTTGATGTCTAATTATGCATTTTTATCGTCTCTAATCTGCCATTAGGAAAAACACAAATGCTTTCCGTCCCGTTTAGAACATGAAATCAGCCTCTTGTGGCCAAAAAGAGTATTGCAACAATGCATAAACACTTCTTTTGATTCGGACAACTTTTTCCAACTTTGTTCAGAGGGAAAATTAATTTAGAAATAACCCTGGATAACGTTTACCCTTCCTTTTACCAATCATAGACACTGAAGAAATAACATTTAAGAGTGAGGTGGATCACCATGATCTTCTTTTCATTTTTCTCTGAGATTGTGGAACTATGACATCAATTCATTTTTTAATAAACATGGTGGGATATTTTATTGAATGATTTTAAATGGTCCACTACACTTGCTCATCCTCGAGTCACCACATCAATATTGACTGTGGTAGTATGTCATCATTCAGTCATTATCCATATTGCTGACAAATCTTAGCATCCTACTAATTTCATCTTGCGTTTTTCTGATAAAACACCAGGAATTGAATGTGAATGCCTACAATAGACGGTGTATGTTTGAGTGTATTTAGGACTTTAGTGACTCCTGTCAAGCAAAGTGTTGCCCTTTGTCACCTTACCTTCCTTCTGATGACTTAGCATTCTGTAGTAGTAGTGAATTTATGAAGGTCCTAATGTTGAATACTGAACAAATATGCAGAAAATAAGCTGAAACTACCTGTACATACATGTTTAAATAAAGAGCATCTTTCAGGAAACACGCTCGGTGAAATTGATTCTCTTCAAAAAACAAAAACACATCTGATGCTTGTGAAATTTATTAACAGAAATCTTTTTTTGGTCCCTTTATAACAACGTTAGACTTTCACAGCGACTTCTGGTGCAGTGAGGCAGTATAATGAGGGGGAGGGGGAGTAAACAAAATAATCACAAGGCAGGAGTTTTAAGGACACTGCTGAATAAAGGAGACATTTTCTTTTAGTGCAACGTGAAAACAGAATACTACAGTCAAGGTAAGACACAAAAACATTCAGCTCCTCCCAGTCCAATAGCTAATTTCACAGTATTTCATGAAGCAAAACTATGCAAAAGTGCATATTTTCACAGGTACAATAGCGTTTCACTGGTGTGACAAAAAGAGAGGAAGGGAAAGCAGAAGTTATTAACATGAGAAAGGTGCCACTGCAGTACTGAGGGAGAGCTAGGGTTTGCTCAAAGTCATAAAAAGTAATACATCCTTGCTGCTTAATTAAATCTAGACATTTCTCGTTGAACATTTTCAGCCCCTTTTCGACAATAACAATTTGAAATAATTAACTATTCTAATCTGCTTGTTCCGTAATGTAATGAGGTTTCCAGACAGTCAGTAAAACAATGCAGTTGAGATCCCGACCAGCGCTGATTTAAAAACATTTGTGTTTGACATTTTGGCGAGTCAGCAAGTGGAAATCTCAGATTTAAAAGGCTTTTCAAGTCAAAATTAAGTCTGACAAACTAAATTATTAACACTGGCTAAAGAGGTGAACACTGAAACTGGACAGAAACTGATTAAATGGGCTATTCCCCATTTTGTTTAACCTTTCCTCCGAACACAAACAACCTTTAGACTTCAGTGGTCGGGCTTCACTTCACGGCAGCCGACATTTTTGGTGGCAATAGGGCATCCAGCAGTCTTGTAAACACTTGAGGAAAAACTGAGAAACCAACACACATCGGTAAGTAAAAACTATGTGAGATGCAGGGGCCTGAGGGGGAGATAGGCGATGGGGATTCCTTTGGCACCGCGGCAAATACAAGCCATTGTAAAAGCCCGGCAGATTCCAGAGAGCCGCAGAGGGTCCTCTGTGTGCACGTCGTCTCTTCAGGAGGCTGCCCAGAGCCCCCGTGGTGCTCCTCAAAACAGCCCACCGCCTCCCGCTCCAATCTAATATCTCACAACCAATCACCTCGTCGTTAAAAATCAAAAACTCTGGAGTGCTCTCCGCTCCCCTGAACTCTTCCTCAGGCAGTCCACGTCCCCACAGACTTAGCAGCAACAAGGTTCTAGAAACCTTGAGCGTTTTGTGGCAGGGGGCGAGACCGACTCGCCGAGACACGGTGGAAATGAAAGTCTGATGTAAAAGAAATGTCATTCGCCTGCTCCTCCCGGGCTTACACCATGCATAAACTCATTTATGCACACCATGCATATTTCACACCACCTGCTCCGGTGTAAACCCCACAGACAAAGTGCAGCTAAAAGAACACAAACTGCTGGCTAAAGCTAAAGTTCTACATCTCAGTTCCTGCCGCCTCAGCACACATCTGGACCCCCGGAGTATTAGAGCCACTTTTCCCCCCTTTCAGGTCTTCAGAAGAGGACTTTCAGAGAAGAGCCAAAATATTTGCAATAAATAAGGTCAAATACGACAAGAATAAAAATTCCTGAGATTTTAAGTCGCAATATCAATGAAAAACTCGGATGGCTTCCGTTAAGGAAAGCCACATTCTGAATAGTTAACACTAATGTCATCAAAATACACCACACACTTGGGCAACACTCTCCCAGACTAATAAATACTCTGCATTTATAAAAAGGAACTGAAAATGCTGTCCTGAGGCTACCTAACAAAGACGAGAAGATACCTCAGAGAAGCTACCCATTTGGAAACTTTACCCAAGAGTACGCTGGTGCTCAGCAGCCGTTTTGTTGACATGTCTACAGTTACCTAAAAAGCAAAGAGTCACAACATTTGAAAGGAGTTTAAAAATGAATAAATTAAATGCTCCGTCTTAGGGGATCCAGCCAGGATGTATAAATGAAGGTTTCTTGAGATGCCGCTTGAACCAATAATCTCTTCTGTCATTTTATAAAACTACATTAGTTGGATTTAACATAGAAAATGTAGTCATTTCTCCCTAGCATTTCTCCCATTATCGCATACTCTGTATGCAGTGGCAACTCATATTTAGACTGTTTTCATCGTAAGCCAGCGAGTTGAAACAACGTGGCGCTGAACTTTAGATCCACACAGAAAATTAGACTTCCCTCGGAATCAACATGTTACAGTAGGTTCATTTGGCAAATAAAAGAACTGCTGAAAGTCTGCAAGAAGAACGCCACAGCATGACGAACACCCTCACAATCACGGAACCAATTGTGAAATTAGCAAACGGAAGAAAACAAAGATGGCCGATGAGGAGATATAAGAAGAAAGCAGCCTGTTAAGAACTAACGCTCCTGGTCTGTGTGGTGTGTTCAGTGTCGGCGCTCAACTCTTTGATTTAGAGTTACACTGTGTGAACGAGTACTGCTGTGTGTAGAGGATCAGAGGCCTGCCGTGAAGGAGAAGTTGGCAGCGAGTTTGATTCTGCTGCGTGTGGCTCTCCTGCCGGGACTGTCCGTGGACAGGGGGGGCTTCCTGTCTGGTTTGGAGACTGCAGAGTCGGCGACAGCAGCAGGTTCCCCGCTCTCTGAAATCACACACACAAGTACAGACTGAGCTCACGCCTGATGAGACAGCAGAGGTGCAGCTAAAGTGTGATTCACTCATTCAAATGTATGTTTGGCTCTCCTTTGCTTTGCATAAGGCTGAAGACTTTAAGACACATTAAGCCTACAACCGCCAGCTATCAAGTGGAGCAGACGCTACCCTATAAAGTGGTGCAGGAATGAGTCCTAAATTGACAAACTAGTTAGCTCTTTAACACTTTCAGCTTCCCTTGTCTTGAAGTCAAGTTATATTGAATGTTTTTATAAAGCGTCTGCGCTCAATACATGATTTTCACGTTTTGTTCCACAACTAAAATGACAGCAGTAAATACCCCGCTGGTAAATAAAGCTTTTTGTCTAGCGGTGCTGACGAGAAGTCATGTGACGGTCATGTTGTTCCCTTAAAGCTGAACTCTTCTGGCTGTTTCATTTATGCTTCAACCATTACAACAGTGGTGGTGGTATGTAGATATAAGCTACAACATACTGAATCTCATTGGATGGATCCCTTTGCGACCAATTTGAGAAACGACATCACTGAACCACTACATTAACATACAAATACATGGGTATTGGACTGCAGAGGTTGTTCAATTAAGGAATATCAAATGAAAAACATTACATCTGAAGAAAAATATGTGCTTGTTTATTCTGCCACATATAAAGTGTATGCATCCTCCTACAGTTGCAGACATTTTTAAATCTCGAATATCAAAATGGAATTGCTGACCCTGCAAGAGGCTTGTTAAATCTAGTGGCCGTTTAATCCCTCTAATGTTGAGGACCTGAAGAAAGACAGACAAATCTACAGTCTAACGGGGATACAAAGTCTGTTCAATTCTCAGTACTACTAGAGCAATTGACTAATATGGGTTTAAATGCAATTCAAATTCCTGAAACTTGGTCCATGAAGACTGACCTGGTGGTGGAGTTTTCTCCTCAAAGTGAATGAGGTCCATCTGTTGGAGGACGGGGTCTGGGTGGAGCTGAGGGGAGGGCAGGCAGGAGGGGAACGGACCACAGAGCAGGTCCAGGGGGGGGGTCAGACACAGCAGCTCCGACTCTGACACTACATCGCAGCCTGGGGGTGGGGGGGTGGGGGGGGGGGGGGGGGGGTGGGGAACATGAATTAGTTTCAGAAGCTGTAAAAATCCTGCCCTTATATAAGTTTATTACATCACTAAAATAAAAGTTGTGTAAAAATGAGGATTGAGAAGTCTATATTTAAAACGTGTGCATTACCTGGACTCTGGGTTCCTGAGGTAGCGTTGCTCATGGGGCTGGGGCTGTCTCTGGGGCTGTCTCTGGGGCTGTCTCTGGGGCTGTCTCTGGGGCTGTCTCTGGGGCTGTCTCTGGGGCTGTCTCTGGGGCTGTCTCTGGGGCTGTCTCTGGGGCTGTCTCTGGGGCTGTCTCTGGGGCTGTCTCTGGGGCTGTCTCTGGGGCTGTCTCTGGGGCTGTCTCTGGGGCTGTCTCTGGGGCTGTCTCTGGGGCTCTCCGTGGGCTCTCCTAGCTGCGGGCTGCTGGGAACTGAATAGCTTGCCCTTACTAAGCAAAAAAACAAAACATAATGATCACTTCATTATTCACAGTCTTAATAATAATTTAATTAAAGGTAGGGTAGGTAAGTTTGAGAAACCGGCTCGAGATACACTTTTTGTTATATTCCATGGAATGCTCTTAACATCCCGATAGCAATAAATATCTTAAGTGCTTTGACAAAAAATCCATAAAATGTCATCAGTGGAAGCCGTAATACTGTAAAAAGCACGACCAATCATCTGAGCCGGCCCGGCTAAAATAACTGGATGGCCTACCTGCCTGTCAGCCTTCCATCTGTGCACAAACTTATCTCGTGCCCTCATTGGTCATGTGCGCGTTCGTGTGTGTTGGAGGAGGGGCTCTGTAAGGAAGTGGCAGATTTTCTCCGGTTGTGTATTTTCAAATTCTAGCGCACTCGAGCCGGTTTCTCAAACTTACCTACCCCACCTTTAATAAAGCGCGACAAGCCATCACCTTTACCTTTCATATCGTTCTTCATAACGATAATCCTCTTGTGACCGTGCCCTTTGATCCAGACCACCTGGTAAAAGTGCAAAATAGAAAAAAGGAAGATTTACAATATGCAGATAGACCTCAACAAGCAAATGTTCTCGTTTGGAAGTCTAAGTCTTTTTAGACGCGTTTGTGGTTAGCAGCCTGAAATAAGGTCTCCGTTCACGTTTAGTTTTATAAAATAGGTTCGCAACACCCCAATTATAAATTGTATAAAGCCTGTGTCATAAAAACAGCGGGTTGCTAACAAGTGGCTAATAGAGAAAGCTAATTAGCCTGCTTTAGCTTAGCCGCTGTGACGTGAAGTCATGTGAGCAGAATTAGTTTTTTTTTTGTATAGAATAGCATTACTTTTTTTAGTTTTAACCTCTGGTGAATGCGTTTTAAAAATCACAAAACCGTGTTTATATGTTGAGATTATCCTGCTGGACAAAATGTCTTAAACCTGTTTGCTAAAGAGCTATTTCTTTGCAGTATTCAAACTGCTAACAACACTAGAAGGGTCAAATTTAGAGAAACCGTTTCGTTACTAGTACCTGTACTATGTAATGACAATAAAAGTTCTAATATACCCAATGGAACAATCATTGCATTTAGTCGACGGAGCCCCTTGGCGATGTTACTTCTGGTTTGGCCTTAAAGAAAATACATCACCACAGCACCTCTATGAATGTTTTGCTCCATCTAATGAAATGTATCCCACCTGTGGAATGGCGCTGAGCAGCTCGTCGATGCCCATGTATCCATAGCAGCGTGGTTCGAGGATGCGGCCTGTGAATTTGTTGTAAGCCCCCTGGAACTCAGTGAGGAAGATCTGGTTGTAGTGGTAGGTGTGGAGCAGGCTGCGGACGTTACGGGCGAACTGGTACAGCCGGGTCAGCCTCACCTGCTCCTCACCACAAACACCACTGGGGGCTTGGTCGGCGTCATCACGCTCTTCAATATACAACTAGGAAAGAAGATCACAGGACATTCAAATAGAGACACAGTGAAGTGGAGCAAAAATGGAAAGGCCTCCAAGTTTTCAATTTCCATTACTCACCTCCACCAAGTAAGGCAGGCTCTTGAGCAGCTCGCTGAGGGAGAGGAAGCCGTATTCACACGGGTTGAGCGTGGCTCCGTGGGCAGTCAGGTAGTACTGACTCAACTCCTCCACCCCGAGCCCCCGGCTGACCTGCTCCTCCTCTTGGGACATGAGCAGAGACAGCAGCTGGGAAGTGAGCGAGCGCAGAGACTTCCTGTTGATGAGCTGGACCTCCCGACCCGCAGAGCCATCCACCACCTGCAGGTAGACATTACAGGATTAGGGTTAATCACCATCAAAGTAAAGAGTCAAAACGTTTGATTTGTTGATCAGAAAGTTGTTGATTTGTAGATTTGAAACATAGGTAGAATAAAATAAGTGTCATTCGTGGGTTTCACCAGGCCTCCTTTTGTATTGCTATTTTTACTGAATTAATTGAAAATGTTTGCAACACATTGGATCCCTTCTCCGAGTAGAATTGTAAGAAACATTTTTTTTTAAAGAAAGAAAATGCTAAGAAACCCAATGTATTTGCAGTCATTTGAAATCTACAAAATTAGAAAGTAACATCCACAGGAACAGAACAAACTAAATGTGTAGGTGTCCTTCACCTTGACAACATGGCAGAGTTTGGTGAGCAGAGCGGGCAGGGAGCTGGCGTCGTAGTCCTGCAGGCGGAGGCCGTATCCGAAGGTCTTGCTGTACTCGGTGAGCAGCTGGCTGACAGGAAGGCTGGAGTTCTTCTGAGCACGCAGCAGCTTCACCAGCTGCGCCGCCAGAGCCTTGATGCGCTCCACTTCTGTCAGAGTCAGCACTTTCTCCTCTCCACACTCCAACACCTGAGAAAAGGTAGAGGACAGATGTTACATTACTGTTCAAGCAGAGACAGAGGGAAAGGCATATTTCTGTAGACCAACCCGGAGGAAAACAATGGGATTTTTTCCATTGGGTTTCGGGAATATTGCAGGAACTAAGATCTGTGGCAAACACATGTTTATGATGCTTTCCACATTAAAACCACTTTCATCATTTTTGAACCGTAAAGCAATCACCAGAAGTAAAGAGCTAGCGTAATGCTATAAAGGAACTGCATTGAGGTTGCATGACCTCATGTCACAACTGCTAAGCTAAAGGTGGCTAATGTCTGGCTTGACCATGTTAAACAGTCTCATTTTGTCCATTTTGGGCAACTGACTTGTTTTTATTCAAGCAAAAGCCAGTGGGGCATTTACTTAATGTCACAGAACTTCTTTCAGACATCAAACCAAAAAACGCGTACAAATAAACATTGAGGCGAGGGAACCCGGAAGTGCTCAAATGCTAACTTATTTGGGCGTGCAGGACTCATTCCTGCAACACTCTATAACCTTGTTAAGTCCGCCTAAAAAAGGGAAGTTGGACAAGCCATCATTCCACACCAGAGATGAACTGACCTTTACCTTAGGGTTGGAGCACCAAAGACCACAAGGCATTCAATTTTACAAACACACAAGTCTTAACTCACCATCAGAATGTTGGGGATCGCCTCGAAGAGTTCAATCAGTTTGGTGAAGCCGTAGTAGCTGAGCTTGCACTGGCGGCCGAAGTGATGGTGGTAGGTGGGGATGAACTTACTGAAGGCCATCCGGCAGTGAGGCTGGTGACGGAGGAGGTCCACCACCTCCTTTCCAAACTGCTTAGTGTGGTCCATTTCCTCCATCGTACGCTCTGTAGGCAAATCAAAAAGGGAGTTCAGGCAAATCTTATCAATGAAAACAAAACAAGAGAAAAATCCTCAAATTATCGGCTTGAATTCATTAATCCTGTATTCAACTACGATATTGTTATATTGAGAGTATTGTTAACATCCCCATCTCTTAAATGAACATTTAATGATCATCTTCAATTATGGAGCATCAGTACACACAATTTTCAAATCAATCTTTTTCACAGCATTCGGACGGACCTCTCTTGGGAACAGAGATGATGGTGTCCGTGTCCTGATGTGCGATAGTGATGGTGGTGTCGGGGATCTCCGTCAGCAGGTCAATCAGGTCACATATGCCGTAGTCAACTACCCTCCAGTCTCTAGAGAAGCACCTGATGTACACAAGGTGTAAGAAAAGTGATGAGCCGTACTTTTATTGAACATATCCTTTAAGGGAGAAATCACAAGCAAACTGCTAGAATCCATCTAAATACAATTTAGATAATATTCAACAATATACAAAGGCAATGTAAAACACATGACCTGTGGACTGACCAATGGTATGCTTGCATGAAGTCCTTGATTGCCACTTGTTTGCTGGCTTGAAATTTAAGCAGTTTGAGCAGGTCCTGGGTGAAGCGCTTCACTTGAGCCCGATGAGTCAGAGTCAGTAAACGCTTGGTGCCCATTCCCAAAATCTGTAGGTGAAGGAGATAAAAAACACCATGTAGAATACAAAAAAACTAAAGTACAACATCGCCGGCATTCACCCATTTGTGTCTGAGGAATATTTTAAGTACAGAAAAAGTGCAAAAACTTTTTTTCCCCGAATTAGAAAACATTTAAAAGAAAACTTTTCAGTGATTTTTTTGTGCATATCTTTGAAATTGAACTTTAAAGAGCTAAACTAATACTTGAATTTGCTGAATGTAGTTTCTGAGATACAGACATTTTCTTATCGTGTTATATTTGTCTTTCAGTAAATGGTACTGCTGTTTTTTCCTAAAATATAGATTTTAAGCAGTAGACGCATGCTCATAGATTCAATACAGCATGAGAACAAACGTTACTTTTCACCCTCACTATTTGACAGATATTGTCAAAGTCTTCAGATAGTTGGATTAAGAAAGACCAGGGGCCTCATTTATAAAGGGATATACGCTCAAAAAATGGCGTACGCCAGTTTCTACGCAATGTTTGCGATTTATAAAATACTAACTTGACGGGAAAATGTGCTGTCCTCCACGTAAACTCTAACCCATGCGTACGCACTAAGCACACAAACGGGAGAGACGAGAAACTGCGACACCGTTGGCAGAAGGAAGAATGGAGAGAAATATGTGGAAATAATGCCATAAATAAAATGTTACCTCTCATTTATCAAATATGAAGAATTCATTTTCAAACATTGATTAAAGCCAATCTTAAAATGATTAAACAAACGCCTGTTTGAGACTCCTCAGTGCACACAAAAACATAACTTGGAGAAATAAATAAATACGGATATGTTATTTAAAACCACCTCGAATATGTTGTGTTAATGTTATGAAATGTTTTCTCATACATGATGCGGTAAGCAGGAGGACAGAATTACGTCTAAACTGACGCCGTTTTGCATTTCTATAGGTTGTAGATACGAGCATGGTTTTATATACTATCACGTTTAATCGTGTTTTATGCCGTTTGCCAAGACTTGATAAGTCGCTCGTAAAACACAGGAGGTATGGAAACTAAGAACACCATATGTGGTAAATTGTACAGCTAATATAACACAACACAGTTGTATTTCCTTTAACTGGTGGATTATGGATATATAGTTGCTGATCGACAGCTGGAACACAAACCACCAAATACAACAAAATAATTCAGATCCAGTCGTCATGACTCCACTCCGGAGGGATTCCCCGATCATTTCTTACAGTTTCTCATCAAGGGGGTGTCTCCTGTCCCCGGTACAAACACACTGCCTGAGGAAGGTTATGTGTAATTTTTTTATCATTAACTTTTTTCGGACCACTTATTTATTTATTTTGGTGACGATCCGACCTCCATGCTGCTACTCTGGTTCAAACTGCATCCACCAAACAATATGATTTATCTCCACCTCCCCACAATAACCTAAATCTGACACGGTGTGAGATGTCTTTTTTAGCTGTTCTATCGTCATTTCCTGCGATCTACTTCATGCAGTCAGTCAAAATGAATGAATGAATGGGCGTTTCTTTGACTATTTATAGGCAAATATGGGCGTTACGTGAAGCCTGCAAAAGCTGCGCCGCATTTCGAGTCGATTGTGATTTAAAAAGGGAAACAGGCGTAGGAAGTGCCGGTACGCACTTCCCTCGCCGGTACGCAATGTTTTGTGAATCGGAAAATGTCTGAACATTTCTGTACCTATTTTTTTGCTTTGTACTACGTAAGCAACCTTCTCACGTCAATCCTACGCAAGGCGTTATAAATGAGGCCCCAGAGCTTTCAGCAGTACCTGCAGGACGTGTGGCACGGCCTCCAGGAGCTCCAGCAGTTTGGAGTAGCCGTAGTCGGAGACACGGCACTGCTTGGCAAAGTGATGGTGGTAGGAGGGTATGAACTTGCTCATGGGCATGAGGCAGGAAGGCTGACTCTTTAACAGGTCGATAATCTCTCGGCTGAATTGGATGAGCTGTGGGTTTCCAACTGGACTCTTGCAGCGCTGAATCCATGGCTCTGCATTAAAAACCCACACAAATATAGATCTCTGAAATGGAAATATCTGGCTGCTAAAGAAAGCAGTTTGTAGGTACAGCATTGAAGGAAGCTTAAACAAGCTCTAACAAAGCAAATGTTTCAATGTTCCTACCGGAGTTTGGTGCTGGCGGTTTGTTGTGGATCCACTTGATGACTTTGAAGCCGTTCTGAGCTGTGACGATAGTAATACTGGGAACACATGTGATGAGGTGCTCCAGAGGAACACCGTCCTGCAGAGTCTCAGTGCCCAGCTGCAGAGGGCTGAACATTGATGCATAGCAGTCTGGAAAACTGCAAGGTAAATATACCACGTTATAGCCCTTTTGTTAAAGAAAATGAATGAATTATGAAATTGGATTTAGAAAAATGGTAGTCACCTGAGTAATGGAAGAGTTCCCTCATGTGACTGCAGCAGACTGTGGACCTCGGATGCCAAGGTGTTTAGAGACATCACAACGAAGGGTATTTTATAGGAGTCGGGGTCAAAGTCAGCTTCACTGGAAAAATAAAAAAAATCAGTGTGGTACAGTTTAGAGAATTGTGATTGGAGACATAAGGTTGATGATTCAAACCCTATAGGGCAGTCTCAGACTTTCAGTATTGTTGGCCATTGCACACTAGGCTTTAAAGCAATTTTCACCTGAGTGGGCATTTCAAGAAATACACATCTAATCAGATACGGATTAAATCTGAAATAAAAATGGCTCTACCAACCTGAAGTCCCTCTGTGTGTAGTGGTCTCTGCAGACGGGTTCATGGTACTCGAGCTCCTCGAACACCACGGGGCTGCCGCTGGCTGAGGAGGAGGCCTCCTGGGACAGGGAGGACCCCAGAGGACTCTGACGGATCTGGCTGCTGGACAGCAGGCACACGAGCCTGGAGCCTCCCTGCTCCCGCACTGCCACCACCTCAGGCAGCCTGTACAGGTCCCCCACCACAAGCTTACGGGAATATCTGGAGAAGGAGTAAAAGAAAGGATAAACTACTTAGGAATTATTTTGGAATTGTTGTAATCCAATTGCAAAATATGTAGGAGTAAAATCATGTTTAAGAGGTAAAGCTTCTTACTTTTTCTCATAGATCTCTGTAAACTTGAAGAGGGGAAGGCAATTGGCAGGTGCATCCTGAAGAATGTGGATGATCTCTGTGCTGTATGGGGGGGAAAAGGGTTTATATTCAACACTGCAACAAAACCAGAACACCTTATAAAATGTGCATTGGTGTCCTAAATCTGAAAGACGCCCTAACTTAAATACGCTTGACAGTACCTGAGCATAGCGAGGGATTTGTTGCCGCCCCCGGTGACCAGAGACACCTGAATGCGCTTGCCTCCGATCTTATAGCGGTGCAGGCCGCTGACGGCACTGATGGCCTGCTGCAGGGACAACATCTGGACTGTGGCCTTCAGCTGATAGTCTGTGTGCGGGCTGAGCTCCACAGCTTTCACCTAGACAAAACAAGTCACACCACAAGGAGATGTTATGAGACAAGGGGGAGAATCTTCAAGCTTAGAAATCCAGCCCAAGAGCTTTTTGTTATTTTTGACTCTGAGGATACAATCATATCTTATCGACACCAATGACGTCACTGGAGGAGGTCTTACCCGCCCGTAACGGGTGAAAGTGTCATGCAGTGTCTGCTGCAGTTCTTTGCGGGACATTCTGTAGTCCAGGTTGGCCACCTGCACGTCTGCCCCGTCTGAGAATGGCTCAGGAGCCCCTTCAGGGCACGGGCTGCGAGGGGCAGTGAGGAGGGGGGAGGAGCGGCTGGACAGGCAGGGCGACGCACTCCTTTAGTTAGAGAAGGGGGACACCACTTTGAGATAATAACCAGCACTGAATTGAAGAAAACTAGCATGAGGCATAAGCGGTTTGCCACCTTGGTTAACTTAATGAAATATTTAAAAACCAATAAGTCACCTTGACGACCAGGAGCCCTGGGACAGGGTGAGGGGGCTGAAGCTCCTGTGCAGGTTCAACTTGCTGAAGGCTGAGGGTGTGCTGATCTGGAAGTCCCCTGAGCTCCTGTCCCCTTGGTCTATAGGGGTCTCAGTCCCACTGCGAGGGTAGGAGCCCTCTGTTCTAAAGGGAAAGAGACAAAAAGAGGCACATGTGTCAAACAACATCAAAAATATTTCATAAAATCCTACATCAAATCAAATCAAGTTTTATTTATAAAGCACATTTAAAAGCGATTTTTGGTCGAGCCAAAGTGCTGTACATGTAATAAAAACACATTACTACAATCACAATAAAAGACAATAAATTACAACAGATATATATAAAAAATAAAAATAAAACACACGGAAGTCAGGAGTCGTGCTCCGCTCTAACTAGAAGGCCAGAGAGAAGAAGTGTGTTTTTAGTGTAGATTTAAAAACCCCTAGGGGCTGGGCCGACCTCACATGGAGGGGCAGAGTGTTCCAGAGCCTAGGGCCAGCTGCTGCGAAGGCTCGGTGCCCTCGGGTTTTAAGCCTGGTCTTGGGCACTACCAGCAGCAGCTGGTCAGCAGACCTTAAAGCTCTGGCTGGGGTGTAGCGCTGGAGCAGTTCAGCTATATAGGCCGGAGCCAGCCCATTTAGTGCTTTAAAAACAAATAAAAGGATTTTAAAATCAATTCTGAACCGAACTGGAAGCCAGTGTCGTGAGGCCAGAATAGGGGTGATGTGGTCACGCTTTTTGTGGCCAGTCAGCAAACGTGCAGCTGCGTTTTGGACTAGCTGCAGGCGTTTAATTGAGGCCTGGTCCATACCCACATACAGAGCGTTACAATAGTCCAGTCTCGAGGTTACAAAGGCGTTAATAACCATTTCTAAGTCATTAAAAGATAAATACGACTTGGTTTTGGCCAATAGTCTTATTTTTAAAAAAGCAGGATTTGACTACAGTGCTGACCTGCTTGTCGAATTTAAAAGTGCTAGCGAAGGTCACTCCAAGGTTCATGACCGAGGGGAGGATGTTTTTTTTGATAGAGCCCAGAATATCAACCGGAGAGGCTGGAGGTTGGGGTCCAAAAAAGATGACCTCAGTCTTGCTCTCGTTGAGGTTGAGAGTTTTTGCTCAGCCAGGATTGTATCTCTGTTAAGCAGTCCATCAACTGCTGTAGTGAGTGTTTGACATTTGCTTTGAGAGGCAGATATATCTGTACATCGTCGGCGTAGCAGTGGAAGGGAATATTATGTTTTGTGAGAATTGAACCTAGGGGCAGTATGTACAGTAGAAAAAGGATGGGGCCCAGAATCGAGCCTTGGGGAACCCCACAGGTAAGAGGGGCTTTGGCAGAGGAGAAGGCACCTAGCTGTACCGAGAAGCTACGGTCTGTCAGGTAGGACCTGAACCATGCAAGGGCAGAGCCTGTGATGCCAGCGGACTGTTCAAGCCGTGACAACAGGATGCTATGGTCCACAGTGTCAAAGGCATCATCCATACCATAGTATTTTTAAGACAATTGTAAGTAGGTTTTAAAGACAAATCATTCCAAATAAGGTTTTTTCTTTTTAAGAATTCAATGCTAAAAGATCTACAGGAACTTGTTGATTGGCTGGAAAATAAACGGCAACAGAAGACATACTGCTTCCTGTAGCAAATGTACAGAAACAGTTTTCATCTAGTTATAAAACACATCCTTCTCAGTCTAATATCCCCTTTCCCGTACCTTCTCCTGTACATGGATTCTCCAATGAGGCCAGGCTTTGGCAGCATCTGCAGGGAGGTCTCTCCGTTGCTGTGGGGGGAGGAGGAAGCAGCTCGTCCTTTCTCCAGGGTGTGGAAACCCTTCACAATCCCCAGATCCTGGATCAGACAAGAGGCCGCAGATGTAAATACTGAACAGGTTAACAGGCAGGATACTGTTGATGTGTTTGTGTGCATGCATGAGAGTATGGCAAGCTTAAGGGAAGGAGTCATGGAATGGCAAAACTGATGTTGAGGTTTAACTAGGGATGTGCACTTAAAGTCCACTTGCTGCCTAGAAAACAGCAGTGGTCACCACTACATTTATTTTGTGTAGCTTAGTTCTATTGAGATAGCTTTACAACTGTAAGTAACATTAACAAAGACCCGTAGAAACAATTCTAGTCTCAGGCATCCGGTGATTTAGACATCACACATTTCAGTTTTCGTTAAATTCTGGTGCTGAATGAGACTATCAAACTACAGAAAAAACTTCAGATACTCATCCCTAGTTAGTAGTTTAGTCCATCTATAGATGTTATCCATAAACGGATCACTTTTAACAGTTAGTTTGGAGCTAAAAAAAACATACAAGCTTAGCCATTCTTTACAGTCATTTGAGGTCACCGAGCAGAAAACTGGACGGGCCCATGAAAATGAAAGAGGCATGGAGCAGACAAAACACAGAGAGTGGCTACTTACAAACCTCAGTTCAGCTACATGAAGCAGTACACCAGCACTAATAGACTGTACAGTCAGAAAGAGGCGCACAAGCTAAAGGCTAATTCATGCATTAATATGACCAATGAACATGCAGGACAAGGCGTACACATGAAGCACTAGCGGCGGCTAAGATGCTAGCACAGGCAGACAAATGAAGCTTAGGGAGCATTTATGAGCAGTTAGTCAAAGCAGCATTCACAGGGACACTGGCGGGGGGGGGGGGTTGGGTTTGGGGTGTTTACATAGCAGCCCAGACAAGGATAGACGGCAACGCAGGTTAACAGGAAGCAGGCACTGACGAGTCTGCTGACCTGATGGGGCTTGGCTGGAGCACCACCGGGAGGCCCACTACACCCCCTCCTGGGGCTGAAGGGCCTTTCAGGCTCTGGGCCAGGGGCGTTGCCCGGGCGAGTCGCTCGCCGTGGCCTCCTGGGTGACCTTGGCTTCTCCAGGGGTAGGAAGGAGAAGGAGGATATGGATGGGGGCGGGCCAAACATTGAATCCTGGCTGTGATTGGTGTGGGGAAGAGTCATAGGCTGTGGCAATTGATGGGGCCGAGACTGAAGCTCAGGCTCGGGACTCGCATCGTTTCTGGGCCGCGGGGAGAAGGAGAGGCTGATACTGCGGCCAAACACATCCTCATTCTCCATTCGCTTGCGGGCACGCGCCGCTGCCTCATTGCTGCCGAAACGGAGGACAGCTGTGCCCTGGGACACGCCCAGCACCTTGCCGCCACAGTTGTCTGAGAGGCGGCGCAGCCTGAGCTTCACGGCGTTCCGCAGGCTCTTATCACAGTTCTCAGGGAGGTTGTGCACATAGAGGAGGTTGAAACTGGGCTGAGGGAGGGGAGGAAGAGACAGCGCGCCTGTCTGGTTTGTATAATTTCTCAGATTTGTTTTTATAATGACCCTTAAAAGAAAAAGTTAAATATTTGTGAAGATGTTTTATTCACATTAAAACTGCCTCTTTGCCCTCTTGGAAAGCCCCCACTAAATTTCCCTTGGTTACTTTTGCCAGCACCAACTTACCTTATTTCACACAGTAGATCTAAAAAGTCCTAATGAATCATTTTGTGAGGCCTACCTGTGCTTTGACAAGCATACGTGGAGGCAGATCTGCTGTGATCTCCTGGAAGGCCACGTGGCGGTTGGCATGCTGCAGCAGCGCTGGAGATGCATGGTTGCCATGGACCAGGACAACCTGGAAACCGTGGCGATGGCGCAGGTCACTCAGCTCGCTTGCAAAGTTTACATCCGCTATAAAAAAAAGAAAAGATTACACGTGTTACCACAAAAAATGTGGTATGTGTCTGTAGTTTGTTATAGTAATCCCAGGATGAACTCACAGGATACGAGTACGACAGTAGCGGGGGCGGTGTGCGTCTCAGCGAAGCGTCGCAGGCTCTGCCGAAGCTTGTCGTCCGCGGCATTTTTGGCTGTGGCGTTGATGTGTGCAACAGTAACCTGATGGGGAAGAATTATATTAGTTTGAGACGTTACGCAGTTGCTGAATTTTCTTTTCTTGTTCCTTCTTTTGGGGCATTACTTGGCAGGCTTTCATTTCAATCTGTTGTGGAATTTGACCGACAACATCAAAACGGTTGCATTTTTTTATATAAAAGAAAATGGCCAATATTCAGCACCCAGAGTTTCAATTTTCCCTGGTAAATTGACTCCTGTCTAATCCCAACATTTTATCTCTGCCCATCATAAAACTGTAGCTCAACGTTATTTGTTCAGGGTGCAAATTGTTCTTATAGTGCAACCATGGAAATAATTGACATGACATTTGTTGGTACCTGGCAGTTGTTGAGCTCTTGGATGACGGCTTTATTCTCCTTGCTGATGTCACAGACGCAAATGAATTCGGCCTCACGGTGGCCTTGGAAGAACCGGCCGCGGATTCGCTGCACCACGGCTCCAGCAGAGCGTCCACTGGGCACGCTGCAGTTCTCAATGTCCCAGAAGACCCCCACCGGAGGGATGTTCTCAGGGCCCCCATTCTCTGGAGAACCTAGCAGACAGTTACAAAATGTTATTAAAGATACTAAAACACTTAAAAGCATTTTAATAGCTTCGATTAAGGTTATTTTAGAGTCAGATTTGGATAGTAACATTTTATATCCACTTCACTCAAAAATCAAAAGAGCTTGCTATTTTAAAGAGTCTAATCAAGACCCTCAATCAAAAATTAAAGTCTAGTAAAAAAGTGAGAGAATTGTTAAATAGTAGACTCCACTAACCATACTTCAGGCCAGTCTTGCCAAGGCTGGTTGACGGCATGATCATCATGCCATCAGAGGAGGTGCCACAGCCATTACAAATAGGGATGGGGATAGGAGCAGTCTGTGGAAGAGGAACATTGGGCCAGACTGCACCTGACTCTGACGCTAGACCATTCATAGGCTGTAAAATAGGTACAAATCAATAAAACCTTCAGAAAAAAGGAATACAATCCAACAGCAAGCAATACTATAATACATGCATTTCACACCAAAACCTCAAAACCATTCTAATACAACTGACATTAACATTATATATAGAATCAAGTTACCTAAAGTGATCTCCAACTCACACAAATACAGAAGAAAAGGCCACAGTGATGGAAGTGAACTCAACCAACCTTAAACAGGCAATCCCGGCAGTAGTGCGCCCCCTTCACACAAACCGTGCGTTCTACATTGAGGTGCATAGGGTTAGAGCAGAAGTGTGCAGAGGTGGTTGTAGTGGTGATGGTGGTGGTGGTTGGGTGATCACCCAGTGTGTTTCTCTGGGGTCTTCTGGCTGACGGGCAGCAGCCCACCCCGCAGGTGTAGTAGCCAGAAGAGGCCAGGCAAGAGGCATGCAAGGGAGCAGGTAGAGAGGAAACACAGGGGAGAGAGGAAGCCAGAGGTGCTGGGGAGGGGAACAGGTTTGGCTGGCTGCATGGAACAGGAACAGCTGGGTAGTTGTGGGGAGGCCCTGAGCAGCAGGAAAGGTAGGGGTGTGATGAAACCGGCTGAGAGGTAGCGACAGAAGAAGACATCTGAGGTTTGTAACCAAGAGTGTGCAAAGGGTCAAGAGCATCAGCTCTGCAGCTCATGTGATGTTTATACTGATGAACAGATGAGGAAACAGAACAGACAGGGCCAGAGCTGCTGCTGCTGTTGGGTGCTCCCAGAGAGCCTGGGGCCATATAGAGCGACACAACACCAGCCATGCTGCTCCTGCTACCAACAACACTTCCACCGCCCAATAACCCATAGCTGTCTGTGCTACAGTAGTCACAGTGCGTGTAAATGCTTACGTTGGGGCTAGCCCCCTCTTGTTGTTGTGGTGGCTGTTGTGGTTGGAGGGAGTCTTGTGTAAGCTGAGGAGGCAGCAAGCAGGGAGGAGGCATGGGGAAGGGGGCCATAGGGAAGGGCTGGGATGATTGGGAGGAGGAAGAATGGTGCGGAGGAGGAGGAGGGACATCTTTCAGTTCCAGCACAGCCTTTCTGCTGTCCATGTAATTGTTCTGAAAATACAAAAAAGGAGAAGATTATAATACATTAAAGGTAAAAATGGGGGATATTTTCCCTTTGAGTGTAGGTGGTGGATGTCTATCAGTCAATAAACAAACATCAGCAAGTTGGAAATGTCATGGTAAAATAAAAATGTTTTAAACGGTTTCTATTTGGATTTAGCCATGACACAGCAGTTCAAAAGTTAAATATGTCAAATTGATGTAAAGTTAATCTATACACCGGGTAAATATGAGTTTAAAAATTCCATATTCATAGCATTGTAGGCCAGAACTGGATTTCTAATGACTGGAACTAGAGTATTGTCCTTTTAAATTGAGAGATTGCCTGCAAAATGATCCAACTTGCCGGTGTACACATACCACTTGTGTGTACAGATACCTGGACTGTGTACAGAGATAAATACCTACTTCTTTATCCGTTTGCTGAGCGGGCTTTGTCTCATTGGATGGGAAGCAGTCTTTGAGTTTCCATAGCTGGGTTGAGGACTCTGTTTTGGGGGGACCGAGCCATGGGAAGGGCCTAGAGCTGCATATTGATATTTCCTTTCTCAGTCCTTCCATCATACAACCCAGAGAGGTCTTTCACCATACTTTCACCTCTCTTCGCTCTCATGCTTTCCTGTGTAGAGGAAACGAAAGTTAAAAGTGCACACTTGCTGGGTCAGGCAAATAATGTCTTAATGACCCAGGGCGTAGGTATTTAATCTGATAAAATTAAGACACTAAAACTTCTGTGTTAACGCCTGTGGGTAACGAGGGTTTACTTTAACAATGGGTTCGCCTCGCGGATAAGGATTGTTTATATAAAGCTAACAAACACAAGAGTTGCGTGTCCACAAAAGCAAAACAAGTAAACCAAATAACGTTAAATTAGCTACAAGCTAGCTCACATTAATGTAGCTTCCCCGTGTGTATGGCGGAAGTAGCTAACTGTTAGTTAACTGAGTAGCTAGACTGCCAGCTAACTGAAACGAGCTAATTCACCGAGCTACAAATGTTTGCCCGGAGCTAGCGTCAGATTGAAGCTAACACAATAACAAGCATCAGCATAGCTTGTTTAACAGACACAAAGCTTCCCGCCGCCGCGTGTTAGCCTTCATTGTATTGACGGAAAACTATATTATTTGTTATTGTCGAGAAATGTTGAAAAAAAGTTTGTAACTCCGTTAGATACCTGAGAAGAGCTCGTCTTCGCATCTCCCCCTCAGCACTGTTCCCCTTATCTGAGTCTGAGTCCCAACAAACGCGCACCTTTTTGTAACCTTCTTCTGCCGGAAAGCATGCACAGCTGTCGAAAATGTTGTTGTGATTACTGGTGATCGATGAATGGGACAATTCACCGGCACTGGTACGTTAAATTGGCTGAAATTTACAATAATGGAAATGTTACTTTTTACACCTGGTTGCAATATATTAAACAACATATAGTTTGCTTGTTTCTTTCTGTTTTGGGTTTTCTACAAAAATGTATGACTTTAAAACTAAAAGGATAATATTTAGGTAAACACACATTTAGAACATTGAATACAAATATAGGGCTAAAAAAGTGGGGTAGAAGTTCCTGCATTGTGTCAAAAATAAATCTACAATTATAGGTTTTTTTTTTTTTTATTTGGCACTCTATGTCTTCAGAAAAAAGATCATTACAATTTTACGGGTTTAAAAAAAAAAGTGGGACACTTGCTTGTTAAATTGTAGAAAATAATACAGTAGCGGTTTCATTTTTGGTGACTGATTAATTACTTTTAACTTTTTACAACTTGGCTTTACAAATGTTTTCAACCAAACACATGCGATAGGATGTATCTAATATTATCCAATATTGATACTTAGAAGTACACACTTAAGACAATCTAATGTCCATGTGCTATTATTACAGTGAACTATCAGGCTGTTGCCAGGCAGGTGCACGTTACGGCACAATAGCGCCCTCTAGCGGCCTGCAGGCGGCTCGTCCCCCTGTGATGTCTGGGTCACAGTAACGGGACAGCAGGTTCAACCATCCGTCCCAGGAGTGAATGGAGATGGGTAAACACTAGCGCCTCAGTGTTTTATATATCACTCGCATTTCTACACTGACGGGGGTTTAAATTAAGTGAAACCTCAGCCGAAGTTCGCTCATTAAGAAGAGACTTGAACCTTCCGTCAATTAGACCACACCAGGTCTTTTTTGTTCCCGTCCGTCATGTATGGGCTCAGAACAGTCTCATAATACACACATGCACACAGAAGGATTCACACTTGTATTTCATGATCCACAAAAGGATTCACACTTGTATTTCCGGATCCACACTTGTGTTTTTCAATGCACACACAAATGTGTTCCGTTTCATATACATGTAAATAAAATCCAAATACAGAAAAAAGTTTTACATATGTATTTTTGATCCTCACATATTTGTTTTCCGTTTAAATCCCCTGAACCTGCAAACACAAACCGCTTTCTGTGCATGGATTGCTCTGCATTCGTGTGTGGGTTTTTTGAGACTCCCCTGACGGTCACCCGATTCGTACTTGTAATTTTTTCTATCTATAGCCAATCAGATGTCTCCTCAATTCTAAGCCAATCACATGAGCGCGCCCCCACGAGGGTAGATTTCTTGCGTTCATGTCACTTCATATACGCATTTTGCGTAGTCCGGAGCAGGGTTTCCGCGGACAGAATTTAATTTTACCGGACAAATTTGAAACTTACCGGTCATGTTTCAATAATAATAATAATAAGAATTGTGTAGCAGCGTTTCCGTTAGGTAATTACCGGACTATGACCGGATAATAACACGGGAGTAAGGATCATCTCTTTTCCTCTCTCCCTCCCTCTCTCCTGACAGCCCGTCAGTTTCTCATGCAGCTCGCTAAAACTTCACTCGCGTTTATGTCCATATCGATCAGATCCAGCTCTCCTGATCGGCCTTTATAGAGAGCACCGATCAAACTATTAAGAGTGAATATCGGCCGATAATGACCGGCGGGGCTCCCCCCGTTGACAGTTCACTGTCTAGCACTGGCTTCGTAGTGCACTGATCGATTAGGCTAAGCTAACCTGTAGCTGCTCCCTCCACACTCACAACAACTTCATACAGACATAAATAAAGCAGCTGATCGCCATACAGGAAACACACATTTAAAACAGTTTTGCCTGCCGTTTTTGTGTACACAAGCATTCATTAATGGTTCGGAAAGTGGCACTGTACCTTAATAATATAAAGGCTTGTATTTGCGTGCATTTCCTGATCGGAAAGTGGTAATGTACTGAGAGTGGAGGTGTCCTGAGATTAGCGCCTGCAGGCAGGCTCCATGGACCTGTCAGCTCCGGACAGCGCAAAATGCGTACATGAAGCGCTACGTCATGAACGCAAGAAATCTACCCTTGTGGGGGCGCGCTCATGTGATTGGCTTAGAATTGAGGAGAAATCTGATTGGCTATAGATAGAAAAAATTACAAGTACGAATCGGGTCACCGTCAGGGGAGTCTCAAAAAACCCACACACGAATGCAGAGCGATCCATGCACAGAAAGCGGTTTGTGTTTGCAGGTGCAGAGGTTTTAAACGGAAAACAAATATGTGAGGATCAAAAATACATATGTAAAACTTTTTTCTGTATTTGGATTTTATTTACATGTATATGAAACGGAACACATTTGTGTGTGCATTGAAAAACACAAGTGTGGATCCGGAAATACAAGTGTGAATCCTTTTGTGGATCATGAAATACAAGTGTGAATCCTTCTGTGTGCATGTGTGTATTATGAGACTGTTCTGAGCCCATAGTCATGGCGATAGCCCACGTAGCCACCGAATACGTTTTTTCCGACTTTCTGCTAAAGGACCCCACGGAGGCCAAGTTCAAAGGGGTGCGTCTGGAGCTGGCGGTGGACAAAATAGTCACGTTTCTCGCGGTGGGGCTGCCTTTGTTTCTCATCTCCCTCGCTTTTGCTCAGGAGGTGTCAGTGGGTGAGTTGTTGAATGTGTGTGAGCATCCTGTCAGGAGCAAACTCAGGTTATTTACCCCTTAAATGTTCACCATGTAGAAAATTCGAAGTCTATCCAGCTGGTGGGGATCCTGGTGGAGCTTCTTTGTCTTTATCCACCTGCCACACTAACACTGCTGTAGAACATGTGTTTCTTTTAACCACAGTTACAGGCACATGTAAGGTGGATGCATTTAGAGTGGTATATTCAGTAAAAGCCCAGAAAAAGAAAGGCGTGAATGAATACCGGAGAAGGTGTGGTTAAAGTCCCCACTCTTGTGCTCATCTCACGCACAGACAGTGTTGCAGGCTGCTGCAGCTACTGCACAAAAACAATGATAGAAACTTTAGGCATATTAACTGGTGCATTATTGATTTGTATTACTGAAAAGAACAGTAGAATATCTCCCCAAAACAAATTGGCGGTTAGTGTAAAACAAAATATCTACAGCTCCATCAGCAGTTTAACAAACCCATGTAATCTTGTTAGGTTATAATGCCTGCAGCCTGTTGTTGTTATCATTATCTGCAAGTATAGCCTACTGCTAGCATCCAATACACTGCATGTCTCCAGACAATGTATTATGGAGCTTTGACTGAAAGACACAATTATTATCAGAGGTGTAAAGTAACTAAGTACGTTTACTCAAGTACTGCACTTAAGTACTATTTTGAGGTACTTGAGCATTTCCATTTTTTGCTACTTTGTACTTCCACTCCACTTCAATTCAGAGGTTAATCGTGTACTTTTACTCCACTATGTTTATGTATTACCTTTAGTTACTTTGCATATTTGAATTTATAATGTGAAATATAATCAACACTTAAATCAGACTTTAGTTACACCTGGAGTACATTTACAAGATTTGCAGTATACAAAGTCATTAAAACTAGCTGCATCTTTACCAGCTTTGATAACACTTTAATGATCAATAATTACAATCAAAACATATGTAATATTCTGAAATGGACCAATCTGCATAATAAGTACTTTAACTTTTGGTATAAGTATATTTTCAGGCTAATACTTTTGTACTTTTACTTGAGTAACATTTTGACTGCAGGACTTTTACTTGTAACAGAGTATTCCTACACTCTAATACTTCTACTTTTACTCAAGTAAAAGATATGAGCACTTGTCCCACCTCTGATGATTATGGACATATATTGTTATCATATCATACTAAGTGAATGTGCATTATGGCAGAAAGCCCAAATAGATTTTACTTAATGAATCTATAGCAATCACAAAGGAGGAGATGTATTGACTTTACAACATATTAGATCAATTAGATGAAGGCCCTTTTTGCAGCAGACATTTGGACCTGTCATCATAGTAGAGGTATTACTTACTGTATAATAAGAACAATGGCTCTGTTATATTCAAGTATCCCAGTATTACATGTCAGTGTGACAGTGACAGGATTCAGGTTTCTGATATATAAAAGGCTTTTTTTCTGAATTCAGTCACAAAGAAAGGATAACATTTTCTTTATTTTCTTCTTATAGTTGTTACTTATATATTATCCCCCGCTAATTATCTTCATCCTTCTTCCTTCTTTGATATATTTGGGATGGATAATATTTTTAAAACAGTTTTCAGAAATAGCAACACTATGTGAAGAAATGCTATATCACTAGAAAATGTCTTCCGTTCCAGTACTATTATATCAGTATCAAAACATACTTAAATGTATGTTTCACATCATCACTAAACGTTTAGATAAACGTAACACCTATGCAAGAGCCCTCTTCCTAGACTTCTCATCAGCATTCAACACAATACAAGCAGACATCTTGGTGTCAAAAATTGCCAAAATGGAAGTAAATCCATACCTGATTTACTGGTATGCTGCTTTCCTCACTAGTAGAGAGCAACTTGTGAAGGTTAACAAAACCCTGTCATCTGCCATCACAACCAATGTAGGTGCCCCCCAGGGCTGCGTGAGTTCAGCTGTGCTCTTTACTCTCTACACTGATGATTGTCGTACCAACACACCAAATCAAGTCATCATTAAGTACTCCGATGATACTGCAATAATATCTCTGCTCAGTAACACAGACGACCCTGAGCTGCACCAACAGGCTGTAAATCAGGTGGTCGAGTGGACTGATAGCAATGCTCTTGAGATCAACACCAAGAAAACTGAGGAAATCATTTTTGGCTCACCATCTGACTCCCATAAAGTCCCCATTGTCATCCATACAGATGAAATCAAGCAGGGAGTTTCATACAAATACTTGGGTGTAATGATTGACCATCTGCTGTCATGGAAGGATCACATTGAATATCTGTGCAAAAGGACAAAACAAAGAATTTATTTTCTCCGCCGTCTTAGGTCTTTTGGGGCGTGCAGAGAAATTCTTCTGTTGTTCTTTACATCTGTGATCATGTCCATTCTACAGTACTGCAATACTACCTGGTACAAATGTTTGTCAGCAGCTTTATAATCAAAACTGCTCCACCTGTTAAAAATCTGCTCTAAGATTGTTGGTCAACCCTGTCAGAGACTCTATGAGTCAGCCTATCATAACAACCTAGTGAGGCTGTCCAACATCATCTCTGACTCAAACCATGTTCTGAACAGTGAATATGAACTGCTACCATCTAATCGGAGATACAGGGTCCCACGATTCAATAAAGTCAGACTGAAGCACTCCTTTGTGCATCAGTCAATCCTCACAGTAAATACAGAGCTGAATCCCAGATCAAATGCACGCTGAAGGCTCTTTGAGCATGTTTTCTCTCACTGATTGTGCTGTTATGTTAAATGTTTGTTGTTTGTGTTTCATGTATTTGTGTCTGGATATTTGTCTGTTGATGTTGGACATGGAGCTGCTGTGACGCAAGTCAAATTTCAGACTTGATCTGACAAATAAAGTAATATCGTATCGTATCGTATTAAAATACAAAATGTAAAAGTACTACATTTACAGAATGGCCCATTTCAGAATCATATAAATGGATAATTATTATTATTAATGTATTAATGTTTATATATATATATATATATAATGTTACAGCATGTAAAGATGGAGCTCATTTTTATAATATATATTAGTTGATCATATTTTGTATTAAAAGCTGAATTTGAAAAGTTACTCCTGTTAAAATAATAAACATGGTGGAGTTAGAATCAAAACATTTGTTACGAAATGTACGTGCAGAAAAGTGTAAAGTTGCATAAAATGGAAATACTCAAGTAAAGTACCTCAAAATGTTGGTTAAATACAGTATTTGAGTAAATGTACTAAGGTAATTCACTAGTTATAAATAATCATTTTATGTTTGCATTCAAAACTTGTAAAAGTTAGGCATCAATTGACATAATGATGTTTCCTATAATTATGTGAAATCCCAGTGCTTTACTTTATGTAACAGGTACGACTATGACTCATACTATAATTGCTATACCTAGCATTTAGTTATATGTCTATGTGTCACAATCAGAGTGGATCATGAGGATTCTGTAGTGGGAATGTGCTGTATTTGTTTAAAATCATCATTCTTTCATTTTAATGGGACAGCCCCTGTGCTGCCAAAACGTTACTGTCTGGTGACTATCTGGGTGATGTAACTCCCCACTCCCCATATAGAGGATGGTATAGTTATTGACACAAAGTATGCTGACAACAACCCACCAACAAATTAGGCCATGAGCTCAGAGGAGGGAGGGCTGACAATTGTTGTTGTTATTGTTTTTTGTCTCTGTCTAATTATTCTGTTTATTTCCCCAGGTACCCAGATCAGCTGCTTTGCTCCCACTAACTTCTCTTGGAGGCAGGCTGCATATGTGGACTCGTTTTGTTGGGCAGCAGTACAGCAACAAGGGGACGACTCACAGCTATGGCTGCACAAGGTACATACGTTTTCCCCCAGCATGCACCATCACTGACAATCATCAATGCTAAAAGTGTAATTGTGTAGGTAGTGGGATGTTTTAAATTCGTAATACTGTTAAGTCTCTACCAGTATTATTTAATCAAGGGATGGGCAAGAATATGTCCAAATATATCTTAAATTAAAGGGGCCCTATTATGCAAAAGTTCTAGTTTCGTAATTGTATTTTTTTGCTCTACCGTGACATGTTTCCATGCTTTAATGTTCATAAAGCTCTTTATTTTTCTCATACTGCCTGTTTTCAACCTGTCTGAAACCAGAGCCCAGTCTGCTCTGCTGTTATTGGTCAACTGCTCAGAGATGTCCTTTCCCTTAGCCTATCACGTACAATGTGTTGGAGCCCTAACAAATTGGCGTGAGTTCTGGGATTTTAGCCTTTACAGACCATCTACCAAAACTTATATAACACATTACAAGAAAGGGGAAACCCCCCAAAAGCCTAATAGGGCCCCTTTAAGTTCAAGTACATAAGTCATCCAAAACAGTTTGAAGTGACTTTTTCAGTTTAAAAAAAACAGTAGAACAGTAGTTCATTGACCAATCGTTTACTAAATACTTTCAAATGTTGACTTTAATTACACAGGTTCTATACATTTGTATTAGGTTGGTAAGAAGCACACATATTAAGTTCATATAATTTAATGAACTTGTATAACACATTGTAACTTAAAAAATACAGGTAAACTGAAAACATAACATAAGTGCACAATAAGTTTCATTCACTTTATATTTTTAATTTTATTAGCCCTTTGACCAATAAAACAGGTTTGAATCTGATTTCTAATACAATTGAAAAAAGATCAATGCATGTTTTCTAATCTTAAAAGTTATCAAACAATGTCCAGAAATCATTATTTTTTTTTTATATTTCTCTCTCCTGTTGTCTCCCTTTGATCCCCCACAGTTCTTCCCATACACCCTGCTCTCCCTGGCCATCCTCCTGTACATCCCGGTCCTGTTTTGGCGCTTCACAGCCGCCCCGCACCTCTCCTCCGACCTGAACTTCATCATGGAGGAGTTGGACCGCTTTTATAACCGCTCCATCAGACTTGCCAAGAATATAGCGTCCTTTGATAGCAAAGGTTCGCCTGAGGACACACAGAGGTAAACACTGCGTTATTAGGCTCTATTATGTACTTAGTTACATTAGCTTTAATTTCCTGTGAGAATGAATTGGTTATGAAGTGGTTTGCAATAAGTTGTCTTATTCTACTTCCAGCAGATACAGTATGAAGCACAGTTTAGAGTTACTATGTTCACCAGTACAGATTGCCAAAAAATATCTAAAAGGCCTCGTAGAGCTGACGGCAAGCTCAGAGTTGTTTATATAAAAAATATTAATTAGTGCTACTTTAATGTACTTCATATACATAGAAAACCAGACGTATATGACACTTGAACTGTACCAGTTTTCACCAGGAAGCCCCATTTTTCTACAAAATGTTATCAAACTGAAAGCAATTTTCTATAATACCAATAAATATTGACACTGTGACACGTGTGATTTTGATTATTGTTAAATCACTAAGGCCAGTGAATGAGAGTCTTCAAACCATTTAATGAAACGCACATATGTTGTGTCCATTAAAAAAGTTAATATCGGAATGAGTTTATATGAAAACAACATTGAATAAGCTTCTAAGGATGTTTTGGTTATGGGTAATGAAAAAATAAAATACAATCCTGTTGTTGTAAGGAACCATATTTCTTGATGTTTTTCATATGAATACTATGACATTTGCCTTTCTTAACACATATCCTTTTCATGCTAAACTCCTTTTTTTCTGCTGCAGTGCTTTGGATCTGACCGAGGGTTGCTTCAAATACCCTTTAGTGGAGCAGTATCTGAAGACCAAGCGCTTATCTCGCTCTCTGGTGGTGAAGTACCTCTCATGTCGGGGCCTGACTCTGCTCACCCTCCTGCTGGCCTGCATCTTCCTCGGCTACTACATCCGCCTGGCCTCTGTGACCGATGAGTTCCCCTGCGACCTGCGTACAGGGGTGCTGAAGAACAACAGCATGGTGCCGGCTGCGGTGCAGTGTAAGCTCGTAGCAGTAGGGGTCTTCAGGCTGCTCAGCTACATCAACTTTGGAGTGTATGTACTTCTCACTCCGCTGGTGGTGTATGCTGCTATTGGACCGGCTCGCCAGAGCTCCAACTTCCTCCGACCGTATGAGCTGCTGCCGGGCTTCGGTGCTCTGGGCATGGTGACGCCCTTCTACAACGACCTCAGCATCTACCTGTTGTTCCTGGAGGAGAATCTGAGCGAACTCAAGTCATTTAAGTGTCTGCAGGTGGGTCGACACAGATCTACATATAACATTAAAGGGACAGTTCCCCCAAAAATAAAGAATACATGTTTTTCCTCTTACTGGTAGTGACATTTATTAATCTAGATTTTTTTAATGTGAGTGTTGGAGTTATCGATCTTAGAGATTCATGCCTTCTCTCCAATATAAGAACATTTGATGGCACTCCACTTGTGTTGTGCCACAAAAAAACATTAAAACTCAACAGCAATATCTCTTCCAGGAATCATGACCCTGTTACTCAAGATCATCTGCAGTCTTTGTTGTGAGCAGTTACACACAGGAACTGCTTTCTCTCTGCCGAACTACACCTGCCAACAAGTAAGCACTCCTGCTTCTTTCTGCGTGGCGATACGTTTGGAAGGTGTAGTTTGGTAGCAAGAAAACAGTTCCTTAATGAAACCACTCATAGCAAGGTCTGTGGTTTAACTGACTAACATGGCCATGATTTCTTGAGAGTTTTTCAAATGTATTTTGTTATGCTTTAAACACCACAAGCGTGTTGCGAGTGCCTTTAGGTTCCATTATATTCAAACACAACACTCAGCAACTCACACCAAAAACACCTAGATCCAAAAACAGTTCTTCAGGTATGTGAAAAAAATATATTTGTTATTATTTTACTGGCCCTTTAAAATATGTAACCTGTGTTTGCTTATTCTTTAATAATAAGTATTGTGTTTTATTTACAGGTGCTTGAGTTGTTGCAAGAGGCCGGAGAAGAGGGCTTCGACACCATGTGCCTGCTGCGCACTCTGGATCAGGTGAAGACTGACGTGTTGGACAGTAAGAAGGCGTGCCCACTCAAGAAAAAGAAAGAAACTAAACAGGCAGAAGAATGATTCCTCTGAGGTAAGTAACAATATTGAGTCTTCTAAAAGAGACTGTGTCACTTAAGTGAAAAGAGGATATTATGTGGTGGATTTAACATTGGATTGTTTTCTTTTCTCCAGATCTTTCTGTCTTATTCCTGAATGGTTGACCTGAACAGGATAACCCCTGCTCTGAAAAACTGAGAAAAATGTGTGCACTTAGAGTTACCTGAATTTCTGGTTCTGCATTTATCAAAACGGAGGACGCCTATGGTCCCTGACAAAGTCTGTATTAACTTGACTACAGATATTTTACCTCTCAGATGTCTTATTTTGAGTAGATGTAAATACTCCAAGGACAGGTTTCTTAGGTCGCTACTGTAGGAATCTATTTCTGACCACCAACTTGTTTTTTCCTGAAATGTATTTATTTCTATTTGTTTTCTACATGCTACTTTTCTCAGGATCTTAAATGCCTTCCAATTATAACGTAGAATATAAGCCATGTTACTTGGACTGATATCTGTACATTCATATTCCAGTTTCAAGACACCACTTCCTGCCCTTTATGTTAGAATGAAAGAAGTTTCTGACCATAGGGAATCAATGTATTTATAGTTGAGGTAAAGTAATACAAATATGTAGTGGTTGGTGAGTGTGTCCATCCAGAGTAAGCAATAAATTAACATTAAGTTGTTAGGTAGGATAAGAACCACTGGAGCAGTTTTGACTAGAAAGTATGTGATTATGTATGCATAAGTGTGATGTTAACAACAGGTGGTGTACTGTATGTACATGTTGAAAGAGCCTGGTTTGTCTAAACGGATTGACTGATGGCAGCTCTGTGTTTTAAAGGATAGATTAATTAATATATTCATTTGGGTAATAAAATGTCAATATCATCTGTTGTCAGAGGCAAAGTCTGTCAGAGGCAGTGATTATCTTAAATATTGTTGTTTTTAATTATATCTGTGTGTCGAAAAAACCAACTTGCAAAAAACTGCCCTTTAATAAACATGATACATAAAAGGCTGTTGTTTGCGTATTAATGTTTTTCCATTGTGCAGTGACTCTTTTATTAGAAACAAAAAAACACATCGATAATAGAAATCGATTTTCTAACTAACTTTTTTTTGTACTTCCACAACTGTTGCATGAACCTCTCATGGGACAGACAGCACTTCTTTGTTGTTATTGCACCATCAACAGGGGGGTAGGACAACTTTGCCTGTATTGTGGAGTTGAGTTGAAGTTCGTAGAGTAACATGATTGGATAATAGTTCACAACGTCATCTCTATTGACCAATGGCTTTCGAGAACCGAAGCGTCGTTTATATTTGGTTGGTGAGAGGAGCACCGTCTTAACGTAATGAGAGATTAGTTTGTGCAGTCTCAAAACGTAAATCCTGGAAATTAAGTTTTACCTCCAAATAAATTCCCTTCGTTATAGCATGTTTTAATCGTTCCTTCATAAGCAGGTGAGTCTGCTGAGTTTCAGTTTTTTCTCTGTGTTGGGATAGAACTCTGGTTAGCTTTAAGTCGCTTAGCTAACTTAGCTATATTAGCTTAGCCGAAAAGCTTAGCTATGGTATACACTTCACAACACCGGTGTTAGCTTTAAAAAGAAGTCAACGCGTTCAGTTTCCATTGCTTACCATTTCGTACTTGATAGAAATACATGTTCAAACACATTGTAGTTGTTTTACCATTCCTAACCTAAATAGGCCAAACTACATAACGCTTTAGACTAACGCTAGCTACCTTGTTAGCATTTGCTAACCGTAACAGTTGTGTTGTTTGAATGGTACATATGCCAGTGCTCCTATGGCAGATAAGAACCCTTTGTATGTTACTATACAGATACGCTTCCCATCCCCATCACCCTGACACGAAGCAGCAGACATGGTGGAGCCAACACACAAGTTTGCATCCCTAGAAGAGGAGATGGGCTTCTGGAAGGAGCAGGCAGAGGCACATCAGCAAAGGTAACATTCTTCCATAGTACCATAAGGAAAACACTACCCCTTAGAGATAGTTTAATGGTTCCCTTATACAATAGTAATAATATATACATTAAAGCTCCACACATGTCAATCAACAACATTGTTTTGTCCTCAGGGCTGATGAGGCTCAGGAGGAGCTGCAGGAGTTTCAGCAGATGAGTCGAGACTATGAAGCGGAGCTGGAAACGGAGCTGAAGCAGTGTGAGACTCGAAACAAAGATCTGCTATTAGACAACAACCGACTACGCATGGAATTGGAAAACATAAAGGTAGAGAACCTTGATTAGAAATAGGCCACGGTCCCTACAGAGCACTGTGAGCTCTGGTGCTCCAGTTAATGATGTGTAAAAGAGACAGGGACACACCCGCAAAACACTGACAGCCTCCAGCCCACCCTAATTCAGCGTGTAGTTGCTACTGCCGTGAAGACAATCGCTGCCTAGCTGTAAGGCAGCTGACTGCTATTTTAGTTCAGTTGTCCCCGGGGAAGAGAACATAAATAAGGGAAGTGAATTCAGGATTGTGCTTAAAAACCTATGATTGCTTATTGGAGATGAGAATGAAGATTGAAAGGGCTCTTTTGTCTACTCTAGAGACTAAATAATGCACAGATTTAAAAAATGCTGACAGCTGCATTGATAAATCTGCCATGACTGTGCAAATTTGACATTACCAGTGTCTGATAATGTGATGTCTGCTTGCAGGAAAAATTCGAGACGCAGCATTCTGACACTTTTAGGCACATATCAACCCTGGAGGAAAATCTGGCACAAACCACAGCAGTGAGAGATCACCTGCAGAAATACATCAGAGAGCTAGAGCAGTCCAACGACGACCTGGAGAGGACTAAAAGGTCTTTAATACGCATACACACACGTAATTAAACTGTAATACACACAGGAAATACATGCACATTCTGATTTAGTGATGTTAACTTGTAATGGCCTGTCCTCTTTTGCGTGTCCCAGAGCCACCATCATGTCTCTGGAGGACTTTGAGCAGCGGATGAACCACGTCATAGAGAGGAACGCTTTTCTGGAAAGCGAGTTAGACGAGAAAGAGAACCTGCTGGAGTCTGTGCAGAGGTTGAAGGATGAATCCAGAGGTACACACACACACACACACACACACACACACACACACACACACACACACACACACACACACACACACACACACACACACACACACACACACACACACACACACACACACACACACACACACACACACACACACACACACACACACACTCTCTCTCTGTAGCTTCTCAAGTTCACAAGAACTGCTGATTTGTCTAAAAATTCACACTTATACCTAACTCAGTGAATTTTGATAGCTGGATCAATTCTCTAAATCCTGGGTGCTGGTGTTTTTGTGCTATGCTTCCTGTTTATCGTGATCTAATGTGTAGTTGTATTCAAGTGTTAATTTGTACTGCCAAATGTCATATAAAGGATGTAGATTTGCATGTATTTTTTTCTTTTTCATTGCCCATTTTATGTGGTTTTTGCCTTTTTCATTTTTGAAAGGATTAGAAGGTAATGTTCTAAAACCCATAGTGTTGTTGTTTAAGTGTAATCTAGATTAAGATATATATATATATATATATATATATAATACATTGTAGGGAAATTATACAGTACTTTGAAAATACACAGGCAAAATTGTACTGTGGGTTTTTCAGATTTTAAACTATATTTAGCAAGATTTGTACCACTCCATTCTTTATGCAGGACTATGGAGCTATATACATAATCAACATGTGGTAATTCAATGTGGTCGCAAGAGATAAAAAAAAACTGGTGGAGGTGTTCGTTTAAAAAAATTAAAGGTTCTTTGTTTGTGTACATATTTATTTGATTTTATTATTAAATGTCTCTGGGACATTTGGTCAAAACCTTTCTCTGAACTCAACCTGAATTCATGCTTCAGGCAGTAGCAGCAGCCTAACACTTAAACTGTGATTTCTGAATTAGATTGTTTCTTTTATTGTCCTTTTTTCTGTAGAGGAAGTAAAGAAACCCTAACTCTGGATTTATTTGTTGTCTGAGGTGCAGTATATGACTCGGCAGCTTTAAGACATGAAGAAACTATTCTTTTCTGCTTGGCTCTAATGCGTTATTTTCGCCCAAAAGTGGGCGGGGCCAACATTTTGGCCGGAATTAACGTTAGAGCCCTCATGCTACATTTTTCTAGAAAAACCCCTGGGTTTCTACCCTATCCAGTGAAGAGGAAGCATGTAGGGAGGCTTATAACTTCCAGGAACATCCATAACACGGACTATGAGTTTTCTGTGAGTTTGTATGAAAATGACCGCCTCCTGTTTGTGTCAGACCTTCGGCAGGAGCTGGCTGTGCGTCACAAGGACAGACGGCCGTCCAGCAGCCTGGGCAAAGACGCAGACCTGCTGTGCCCCCCCTCCGGTAACACTGCCGTCCCAGTAACACCCGCCAAGCCCATCAGCTCATTCGCTACCCCCCCTCCTTCCAGTATACGGCGAGGTAACAAGAACACGTTTAGCTGCAGTTAAACCTACAGCGATAGTGATTTAAAAACGTCATCATAACCTACTATGTGTTTACCTGTTTCTATCTGTTCTGTTTTAGGCGATGGTCTAACGGGGACTCCCCTCACCACATCTGCTAGAATATCTGCCCTCAACATTGTCGGGGAGCTGCTCAGAAAAGTTGGAGTAAGCCATTTGAATTTGATACTACAGTACTCAGTGAAAACATGCTGAACAGAAATGTGTTATCACTAAATATAATTCGTTTTGATGAGTGAGCTGACTACTTTTGATCCTCCCTGTCAGAATCTGGAGTCAAAGTTGGCGTCCTGTCGAGACTTTGTGTACGACACGTCTGTCAGCAGACCTGCACTCTCAGCTGGCCCCGGTAGCCCCTCTGCTTTAGAGAGGGGGTCCGACGTCCAGGCGAGCAGCATGAGCCCCCCCCCTCAGTACGACAGGTGAGGACACAGACGGCTGCCCAGGCTGGAGAGCAAACTCTGGTTTCTGTGGTGATTTCAATGTTTACATAAAGTCAGTTGTCCTGGTTTATTAGAATCGTTCTTCCAGGTCTGAGTGATGTGAAGGAAAAAAACCTCACACATTTCTAATCAATTATATCGATATTGATATTGTAAGGATAACTATTGGTGCTTTCACAAAATATGAAATAGCTGTAACAGTCAAGGAAGTTCAGAGTATTATATTCATTTACGGTATTGTAGCCTATACAGTAATATCAATATATTGCAGAGCCCCTTCAAATACCCTGCACTTGTGATTTTGTGATGTAAAGTACAAAATCAGCGTTATTTATTATCATATGTTATATATAATTATATAAAGAATTATTTTAACGTTATCTTTTTCTTTTTGTCTGTGAAGCCAACCAGTTATAATAAAACTACTAATAATAACAATACATGTTGTTTTAATATTGCTTTTCTAAGTACTCAGACACTTTTTACAAACAAATATTTTATAGGATCATAAAACAAACATACAAACACAAATGAAAAAGCAGAGGATGCAATGAAATTAATAAAATAGAACCAAAATAATATGAATAATAATAATGGGAATAGGAAGTAAATCTGATGTTGGCTGATGTGTGTGTTTGCTACATGTTGTCTTGCAGTCTAGTGAAGCGGTTAGAGTTCGGACCGGCTCCTCCTCGAGGCGTCTCCCAGGGCGCCCAGTCTCCGCAGGGAGGAGTAAAAATTCTACTATGAGGGGAAAGAAGGAGACCCACCTCCCTCCTTCAATAACCTTCCCCACCCCCACACACACACTGTCCCCTCTCCATCCTTAATACACTTCAGCAGTGGGACTTTGAACTAAACCGTCTTCCCTTGTCGCAGCGTGTCCTGCTGAACTATTTTGAAAAAGGACGCCACTCTCCTCGCTCCGTGCCCTACATTCCCAGCGCATGGACTCCAGCTGCCTCAGGCTACAGTCACGCCGTATCTATCACAGGAAGCAGCGTGTGTGAACTCGAGGAGCGCAGAACCTACCCTGCTAACTCTTCTTCTGAATATCTGTGGCACTGTGGTAGGTAGCATATTAAAAAAACAGGGCTGTGGAAATGTTACTCCTCCCCAAAAAGACATTTATGGGGGTCGATGCATCATGACATTATCAATAACGGCATATGACCCTGATAAAGGACCAAGAACCTGGAGTTTAATTTCTAGAAAAGGTTTGATAGTAGAAAAATATTGTTAATGACCAAATCCAAACCAAAGCTGATCAGAGATAAAAGGGAGGGTTTAGAGGTATTTTCTCTTTGAATCTGATATTTATAAAACATGGTAAGACTTCATTATTTCAATAACACATCTGTTTTCATTCTTTATGCCTGAATTATGTAGCAACATCGGCATAAATTAAAGGTCCCATGACATGCTTTTTTTTACCCGTCCCCTTGTGTGTTATGTAGCTTTTTCTGCATGTAAACGGTCTGCAAAGTCACACACCCTCAAAGTACACCCTGTAGCGAGTACAACTTTAACACAGCAAAGACCTGTCTATGCTGCCCCAGAACGCCTCTTTGGAGATATTTCTTTTTCCATTTTTTTTCTTCCTGGGTCATAGTGACGTAAGGGTGTAAGTGACGTAACGGCCTGCGGACTTCCTCTCACACACACACACACTCACTCACTCACTCAGCCTGAGCACACACACAAACTGTCAGCGAAACTCATACGAGTGTGTGAGTTTCGCGCTGTCTCGCAGACCCCACGCAGCATCCAGGAAACGACACCAGTAATACAGCTCACACTGTCCGCTCCTCACAGCAGTGAGCCGCGCAACGTCCCGCCTACACAGCACCCAGACCCCACGCAGCATTCTCATCTGTTTGTCATTACTGGTGTCATTTTCTGGTTGCTAACAAATGCCATTGTAACACATAATCACTGATGTTCAGATGTAACGGTGGTGGACTCATCAGAACAGAGTGGGCGAGCTGACCAATCAGAGTACAGTGGGCTCATAGGGAGGGGGGGGGGTCAGGAGCTCCAACAAGGCGTTTAGGACAGAGAGTGAATACACATACTATACAGAGATGCTGTATGAGAAAACCAATGTGATTTTGGAACATTGAACAATATAAATCTATTCTAGTAGACCTCAACAATGGAATTATGATCAGTAGAAATGGCCATGTCATGGGACCTTTAACTTCTGTGATGAGGATTGAGGGGTAGTCATGTTTTTACTGCTACAAAAATGGCTACCATGAAGTGGTGTTAGCATTTTAGCACTGCTGTAGCAGTTAAAAACAAATGAGGTGGGTGATCTATTCCTTATGCTGTCAGGTGTCTAGGAATCAGAGAATGTCACTTCTTCAGGCTAGCTTCATCTCACATGGTTTTCTTTCTACCGCCTTCTTCCTGTCATCGCACAGACTCATTATCATCTGGTATGCAAGACTTATGAATATGAAGTTGAAGAAAAAGTGTTCTGCCTCAGAGATAAGTAGTTCACTTACAAATCACTTTTATACAGATTTTAGCTGACTGTAGAAGTTAGGTGGGCACATGTTTACTACTGAATGTATAGTAATAAATCCCTAATAGGTGAGAGAGCTCCTGTCTGCCATCAGGAGTTATATATGGTGAAGAGAAATACAAGCAATAATAGATTTTAACTGGTCGAAGACAAGCACAGCTCATAGTATATTTGTGTAGGTAAATAGAGCCTATATTGAATATTGCCTTTTCATAAGAGATAATGTGAATGGGGGAAATAGTGATTTATTGTGACCTTTTTTCTTTTCTTTTTCCTGAAATGTTTATCCGTCACTACTGCCATCCAGCAGCTTATCAAAGAAAAACTACAATACATATCTAAATATAACATGCATACAGCGGTTGTCACTGTATACAGCAGTGTGGAGTTTACTTGTGGTTAATACAAATGCATTTGCTGTCTAACCTTCCTTGAACTAACACTGTAAATGTATTCCATGAACACTGTGTACTGTTTGTTTGTACGCAGCACCTCTGCAACTGTTTCTAAACTGTGTGTGCCTGAGGTACTATACCAACTACAATCCTGTTAGTTTGATTTTTCTATTGAAGTGAAGAGATGATGATCTTTAAAGTGACTGACACAAGACGGAAACATTAAAAGGAGAAAATCTATGTGTTTTTTTTAAATATATTTATTTCTCGTGCAGGTGGTTCAACAGTTAACATATATTATTTGGTGTCCTGTAAACATCAGCTGATTACATATATCATGATCAAAATATTTGGTTTTCAGGAAATAAGGGGCTGTTTTAAACATGTACAGTAAATCACAGACAAAAATATAAAATTAGGTTTGCCCAATAGTTAAGGTCACCCTAAACCTTATCTGACTTAAAACATTGACTCAATCTAATCTAAACATATCTGGGCAAAAGATCAGGTGCAAATAATATAAAACTGTGACTTTAGAAAATGTTGAACAGCTATATAATTGTTGGGAGTACAAACAGCAGCACTCACTGGATGCAGAGCAAGTATATAGATCTCTTTCTACATATCCAACGTGGCAGTGCTGCTGAGAAACACTAACAGCAGTCACAGGCAACAGGACGACGGTTACACGTCCATTTCATTTCAAACCTTTATTTAACCAGATTGGTCCCATTGAGATCATAGATCTCTTTTTCAAGGGAGACCTGTCCATAGACGTACACGATGTCTCTGCTTTAACTTCATTATAGTGGAGGCCCGAGGCTTTGCTGGCAGGTTAGCGTGGTAATTAGAGGCACCTATGTGTGTGTACAAACCTTGCATAAGAAGGAATCAGTCATTCAGTGTAGTACAAAACAGTGTAAAAATAAAAAGACACAAAAAGGAACAGCAAAACACACATCAGCAGAGCCACCAACACAACTCCTGTTGTTGATATCAAGTCCTTCTCATTATAAAGTGGTGCAGTGATGACGTATTTCTGAAGGATGACCTGGAAGTTAGCATCGCAAGGGCTCCCACAACAAAAAGCCAATGGGTTTTTTCCATAGGGTTTTGGAATATTGAAGAAGATAAGTTCTGTAGCAAATGCATGTATTGTCCAGCGGGATACACTCCAAATGTTAACACCAATGTTATGCTAGTTCAAGCAAAAATGCAATCCACAGAATGAGGAAACTAACGCTGTGCCATAAACTAACTACATGACTTCACATCACGCTAAGCTAAAGGCGGCTAATGTTCAACGTGATGACGTCTAGTAGTTCTATATAGCCAATTGTTAGCAACCCCGTTTTTCACCAGTAGATGTTTACTGATGTGTATTATGTCGCAGAACAGGATGTGAACATTTCATCAAGTGTATTAGCCACAGACCTTATTTCAAACAAACCAAAAACGTTGACTTCCAGACGAGCTAACCAGAAGTGGTAAGATGCTAACTCATTTCCTGATTTTAAGACTCATTCCCGCACCACTCTACTGCGTGTCAAGAAAAGGTGCTCTGAAACAAGACGACAGATCAGAACACTGGGATATATTTTGATGTGATGTGGAAGAACTATATAGGCTTGAAGTTATTTTTTGGTAAAGTGGCAGAAGGAAGAAAATGCTGATATTTGGTTATTTGACGTCCCTCACTCCGCAGACTTGGTTCCATTGAAGTCGCCCTGGGAGTCGGCCTCCTCCTCGGAGGCGTCGTCCACCACCCTTCGGCCTCCGCCAGTACGCCGGGATGTGCTGCCAAAGGAGGGCTCGTTTCCACGCCTAAAAATCCCCCAGACATGGAGACAAGATACAAACACAGACACATGTGCCCGCAATGAGAGGAGTGGTTATGTGATGGTGTCGATGAAATGAACAATGTACAGCTGGTGCTTTGGTTACAGGTTAAGCACGCTGGTTATCTTTGTAACTCATTTGACTCCTGGCTCAGAGAAAATGAGTTCGGTTTATGGCAAATAAACCAAGCGCTGAGAAAAATATGGCCACCAGTTAGAGATTGGTGTATTGGAAAGCCCACTTGTATTATTTTCTTTTTTCCTAAGGATATCATGGTATCTGAGGAGTCATATTTCTCTCAGTTAGATCATTGGAAGGAATGAAAGCATTAAGAGTGCATGAGGGAATGAAAAGCTTTGGTAAGTTAATCAGAAATGGTGATGGGGTAACTCAGGCGCAGAGGTACCTGCTGTGTTACTCCTTGGGCTCAGGGTTGCCTCTGGAATAGAGAGGGACACCATTGTTTTGCTTTTGCTCAGTAAAGCAACCAAACAAAATGATATACAGATGTAAAGTTTGAATGTGTTTACATCTCTCTGAATGTGCTCTGACTTGAAAACACCTTAGGGCTGCAATGGGGTCATTTTTATTACACATTCTTCCATCATTTAGGCTGTGTTAATGCATATGGCATACATTTTGGCCCTGGTGTGAGTTTAACAGTATTTTAGGATTTCCACCTCAGCTCCTGCGATAAGTCTACATGAAAACTGTCTAGCCAAAGAACAGACACTCACACCTGATCTTAATGACAAGAAATGTCCTCAATGAAATTTAAACCAACATTTTTGGATCTCACGGCCATTACAGCATAACATCAAATATTCTATTATATCAGGCTTTCAATCTAGAGCCTTTGCTTCAAACTTTTTGTTTGACTATTTCCTACTTGATTGCTGGATGCTGTTTTCCTGATATCCGCTAGGGGCATTGCTGCTTTGCTGCAATGCATCAAAGTCAATATTGTTGCTAATCCACCTATCAATTAGTACATATAAAGGAATAACATTTCAGTGTGTGTTTTCTGGGAGCCATAATATGTAAATGAACTGGCACCCAATGGTTTGACATTATGAAAATATTGTCAAACCAATAAGATTGAAGTTGGTCATTTTAGTGAAAATATGTATAATATGCTTATTTTACACTCTCACGGCATCCACTGAATAGTGACTATTCACTATTCTGTTACTATTCTTCCTGCACTTTCTGTGTCCTGTAGCGTCACAGAAATAAAAAGACACAAACAAACATACAGACAGAGAGACAGACAGACAGAGAGACAGACAGACAGACAGACATACAGACAGACAAACAGACAGACAGACAGAGAGACAGACATACAGACAGACAGAGAGACAGACATACAGACAGACAGACAGACATACAGACATACAGACAGAGAGACAGACAAACCGACAGACAGAGATACATACATACAGACAGACAGACAGACAGACAGAGAGACAGACAGACAGACATACAGACAGACAGACATACAGACAGACAGACAGACAGAGAGACAGACAAACAGACAGACCGACAGACAGAGATACATACAGACAGACAGAGATACATACAGACAGACAGACAGAGAGACAGACAAACAGACAGACCGACAGACAGAGATACATACATACAGACAGACAGACAGACAGACAGACAGACAGACAGACAGACAGACAGACAGACAGACATACATACAGACAGACAGAGATACATACAGACAGACAGAGATACATACAGACAGACAGATAGACATACAGACAGACATACAGACAGACAGACCCCTGTGCCCTACCTGAGTTTGCTCTTCAGAGAGTTGACCTCGCGGCTCATGGCGTCGCTGGCCTCGGTGGCTTCATCCAGCTCGCGCTGCAGCTTCCTGCGGGCGGCTGTAGCGCGCTGAGACTCCTCCTCCGACTCCTCCAGCTGCCGCTTCAGCTGCTTCATGCGGGTATTCGACTTCTCCGCCTAGTGAGCGAACAGGGGACTTAAAGAAAGCCTAGTACCACATTGAACATCAACTCGACATATCCTCCAACTCACAAACATCATACCTGGTCTTTGTACTGCTCGGCCTGCTTTCTCTCGTCTTCCACCTGAATGATCAGTTCCTTCAGCTTCTTGTCCTTCTGGCGCAAACCCTTCGCAGATGCCTGCTTCTCCCTGAGAGAACACAAAAGAGTTTAGGAAAGGAACAAAGAGTGTAACCAAAAAGTAACCCAAAGCTAGTACTAGTTGTTGAAATGATACCTTGAATATATATGAATGTGTTAATCAAAATAATATTGATGTTACAGGCATTACATACACATTTTTAGACGGATTTGTCCCCTTGGCCATGGTATGTTGTCATAAGTGTAATTACGTAACATTGGAAAAACACATTTTATTTGACTCTTTCTGTGCCCCCCACCTGTTCTCCTGCTCCAGCTGCTCCTCCAGCTGTACCACTTTGCCCTCCAAGGCAGAGATGGAGGACTTGAACTTGGACTTGACCTGGTTCTCCATCTCCTGCAGCTTGGCCTTCAGCTCCTTGTTCTGGCGCTCCATCTGCTGCCGTGCGCTCTCGTTCTTCTGGGAGGTGCTGCGCTCCGTCTGCAGCTCGTTGTTCAGCTGATCCACCTGTGGAGGGAACACACATAAAGACATGGATGAGGCCTCTGCCCTTTTTGTGTGGCCTTTTATGACTCAAGCAGCTGCTCCTGTCAGGGTCACCTGCTGTGTGCTCTTCCTCAGTCTGTCGTTGATGATCTCCATGTTGCTCTGCTCCTCCTCCAGCTCCTCCTCCAGCTGGGAGATCTTAGCCTCCAGACGGCGTTTCTCATCTGCCAAGGCGGACCTGCACACGAGTAGCACAGTGTTAACAACACCTTTCTTCTTTATATAATAGATTGGTGCAGGAATGAATCCTAAAAGCTAGGGATGAGTTCACACTGTTTTTTTATTGAGCTTTTGGTTAGAAGCCTGGAATAAAATGCGTAGGTAACATATAGATTTTTATGTTTTGTTCAATAACATAAAATACGTCGGTTAGGTCCCCACTGGTGAATGTCTGAAGCTTCTATGGGTTTAAAAAACGGTGGCTGCTAACAAGCGACTAAATGAAACAACTAAACATGCCAAACATTAGCCGCCTTTAGCATAGCGGTGATGACATGGAGTCATGTAACCATGATGTCGTTTGTTTATAGCCTAACGTTAGCTATTCACTTTTGGAGATTGAATATATGCCAACAAAAATGGTCCTTACTCTCTGCAATATTCCAACATCCAATGCAAAAATCATATGGCTTTTTATTGAGGGAGCCTTTACGATGCTAACCTCCCGGTCAGCCTACAACAATGCATACTTCCTGCACCACTATAAAACAGACAACGAAACAGAGTAACATTTCCACTTACTTTCCAGAGGAGTTGCTGGACAGCTCGTCAGACAGCTCGTCTCTCTCGGCCTCCGCCTGCTTCCGTGCTCTTTCAGCTGCGGCCAGATCCTGTACACATGAGAAGTGAATCCTTTACTTCAACAATCAGCTCACAAACAAATGTGCTGTCTTGTTTGGAATCTATCGTGGTACCTCCTGTAGCTGCATGAGCTCGGCCTCCAGACCCTTGGCCTTCTTCTCACTCTCCTTTGCGGTGGTCAGCACCTCCTCTCTGGCAGCGTGGGCATCGTCCAACTCCCTCTGGTAGTCCTTCATCTGGGCCTGGTGGTGAGGAGGAGAAACAGAGGCAGCAATAAGAGGAGGTTTAATGATGTGATACATTTACAGTGCAGTACTAGCCAGAGCTTTGTTCTTATGGTTGATGAAGAGCTCCATTTAACATTACACTGAAGAGTTTACAGCACATAAACACACCAAATACAGTAAGTTTCAGGAACTAGCAGAACATAAGGAAATATCATAACGCCAGAGTTGAGAAGTCAACAAGTTCCAGTTTGAGTTTGTTATAAAGTAGTTAAAACCCTCTTTTTTCCTAGTTTGCTATAACTTCCTACCAGATCATTACAATTAAATTACATATACTTTATTGATCCCAAAGTGGAAATTGATTTCTATATAAAGAGCTGTTTAGATGGTAGATGGTAATTCTTCTGATAATGATATCTTTATTAAACAAGGACCAAACAAAAAAACACATGCATCTCAAAAAGAAACTACAACACTACAAACTTCTATGGCAATAAATAATCTAATACTCAAAAACATGTAAATGATAAAAGCAAAAATGTGCATTGAAACTAAAATGCTGCTGCTGCATCTCATCCATCCCTCCACTCACCTGGAGCTTGCGGAGCTGCTTGATGGCCTCGTCCCGTCCCTTACTGGTCGCCTCGACCTGTCCCTCCATATCTTTCATGTCCGTCTCTAACTTCTTCTTGGCTGCGGTCGACAGGGTTCTCTGTTTACGCTCGTCCTCCAACTCTGTCTCCAGCTCACGGACCTGCAGCAGAGAGCAGCATTGCTCAGATTACCAATGCTGGACCAGAACACATACTTTCATTTGAAGGGCAACCATTGTTTAGCTTCTTTACCTGCTTGATGAGCTGCCTCTTCTTCTCCTCTCCCATCTCATCTCGTCCCTGCAGGTCTCTGTCGAACTGGGCCTTCAGGGCCTGCATGTTGACCTCCAGACGCAGCTTGCAGTCCTCAGCCGCCTGCAGCTCGTCCTCCAGCTCCTCCAGCTGGGTCTTCATCTCCTCCACCTGCCCCTCCAGGCCTCGCTTGGACTTCTCCAGCTCGTGGACCTGCCATCAACAGAAAGCTAAATGAACTTCCGTATTTTGGCTTCATAAAGAAATGAGTCAAACCACTGGTCAGACTAGTCCAGAAGCAAACACAGTGATGTTTTTAAATGAAACCAGCACTAACATTCTTTCCCACATCGTCCTTGGAGCTGATCAGGTCCTCCATCTCCATCTTCAGGGACTTGTTGGCTCTCTCCAGCTCCTCTCTTGAACCCTGGGCCTCATCCAGAGCTCTGGCCAGGGAAAGAGCCTTCGTCTCCTTCTCTCTGGCCTCGGCTTCTGCATGGTCTCTCTCATCTGCATATTTACTGGAGATACTCTTCTCCTCTGCCAGCATCTGGAGACCAGGGAAGAAAGCAAACCATTGATAATGTTTAAGGGAGTATGTTGCTAATATATATACTCAAGCTGTTTTTGGTAATAGTGATTAAAGGCATTTTAAGGTTGTAATGTGTAATTATTTTTGTCTTATTATTTTTCCCCCATTTTATTTTGGCAACTCTTTCAAAGTAAAAATCTATTTGAGCAATAGGAATAAGTAACTTAAGAAAAGGTGTTAAGAAGACATACCAAATAGTAGTTAATAGTTATACTAGTAATAATACAAATAATAATATATAACACTGGTGGAATATAATAAAAGAAACAGACGTAATTTAAAAAAATAAAATAAATCAATATTGGACGGGAAATGTATCATCCACATATGAGAATATTTGTATTAACACTTTAATTTATTGAAATCTCAATTTAAAAAATAGACAAAAGGAACATTTAATAAAACAAGATGCAGTAGAAAATACTAATCCTTTAACTGTTATCTCTTAGTGTTACCCCTTTTCAGATTTGACTGACCTGGTCAAACTTCTTCTGCTTCTTCTCCAGGTTGGACACATTCTGCCTCTGGTTGTCCAGGTCCATCAGCGTGTCCTCCAGCTCCTGCTGCAGACGGTTCTTGGTCTTCTCCAACTTGTCGTACGCGGAGGCCTTCTCCTCAAACTGCGTGTTCGCTGCCTCCAAATCTCTTTGCAGACGCTTCTTATTTTCTTCCAGCAGCTCGACGTTTCCCGTCATTTCGTCGAGCTTCTTCTTTGAATCTGACAACTGTTGACAGAAGAACATTTTAGACAGTGTCTATACTATTTCCGTACCATTTTCATCTCATATACAGTAAAACATCATTGAAACCCTTTTTGATGTGTTAATTGTTTTTTCCTCCCTGATATTTTCTTTATGATTTAACCATATGATAAATGAACCTGTACATTCTCTAGTGTGAGCTCTGACCTGGATGTTGAGGGTGGACACGTGTCTCTCCACGTTCCTCTTGGCCTCCATCTCCTCCTCCAGCTGCTCCTGCAAACTGTTCTTGTCATCCTCTGCTTGCCGCAGCTTTGTAGAGAACTGCAGCTTCTGACGCGTCTCTTCAGCCAGCAGTTCCTGCAACAGCACATCGGGTCAAAGGTCAGATCTGACTGATTGTCAGCAAGCAATATTTTGTGTCTTTGTCACGGCAAAGATGACATATAGATTGTATTGGCATTATAACACATCTTTTTAAGTTTTATAAATCCTGCTAAGTCTGGTCACCTGTGAGTCTTGGAGCTGTGAGGTAAGGCTGGAAACATCTTTGCTCAGTTTGATGTTCTTTCCCTCTGCTTCGTTCAGTATGACTGTCACGCTCTCCAGCTCAACCTGTATGAAGGCAAAGATGCATTTTCAGCTTTTAAAAATGCACATTTTTTCAAATGTGAAGTACTGATGTAGCTACTGAGAGCCACTCACAGTGATCTTGGAGCAGCGCTCTCCCAGCTCTGCCTTCTGCTTCTCGCTGTCGGTGAAGCGTGTCTGCAGATCGGTCACCTGACCCTCCAGCTTCTTCCTCTTGTGCTCGCCATCTTGTTTGGCCTGGTTGAGTGAGCGCACCTCCACGGTCAATTCTGACGTCTCCTTCTCCAGAGCTTGTTTAGCCTTATCCAGGTTTAACTTCACCTGAGCGGGTGAGAGGAAATACAAGATCAATATCCTATGTGTCGGGAAAAAAATTAAAGGTGATACAACTGTGTATAAACGCTGGCGGCCTACTCGTTTGGACTGCTCCAGCTGCTCTGTGAGCTCCTCCACAAACTGCGTGTGTTTCTGTCTCATCTCCTGAACCTGGGCCTCGTGGGTCCGGTTCTCGTCGTCAATGGCTTTCTTAAGCAGGTTCACCTCCTGCTCACGTTTGGCCCTGGATGGATTAATCACGCACATTTTTGTATGCAAGTATGACAAATGTATTACTAACACATTCCTATTGTACACATGCATTCTCAGAACAACAAATAGAACAAATGCAGTAGGATTCAAATATACCACGAGTAAAAGTAATCATCATGCAGAATGGCCTACATCAGGATTATTCGTGTACTTTATCACTGATTTATTATTATTGATACATTATTATGTGCAGCACTAATGATGCAGCTGGTTGCTTTTACTGACTGCTAGATAGGATGTCATTAATAGTAGAATATTGTTTTTCTTGGTCATAATTTATATTTTTGTATTAATAATCTGAACCTTAAAGGTGGGGTAGGTAATTTTGGAGAAACCAGCTCGAGTGCTCTAGAATTTGAAAATACACAGCCGGAAAAAATCTGCCACTTCCTTATAGAGCCCCTCCTCCAACACACACGAACGCGCACATGACCAATGAGGGCACGAGATAAGTTTGTGCACAGATGGAAGGCTGACAGGCAGGTAGGCCATCCAGTTATTTTAGCCGGGCCGGCTAAAATGATTGGTTGTGCTTTTTACAGCGCTACGGCTTCCACAGATGACATTTTTTTATGGATTTTTTGTCAAAGCACTTAAGATATTCATTGCTATCGGGATGTTAAGAGCATTCCATGGAATATAACAAAAAGTGTATCTCGAGCCGGTTTCTCAAACTTACTTTAACTTTTAATTGATCACAAAACCTTTTGTCAATAAATGTAGGGCAGTTACTTTCCTCTCAATTGTACTGAAGTAGAAAAATAAAGTACCTCAAAATGTTTTGTTGAAAAGTGCAGTACTACACAATGTATAGCAGGGCTATTCAATTGGCGGCCCGCGGGCCAAATCCGGCCCCGGGGTGATATTTACTGGCCCTTTGAGTATAATGTTAAAAAGTAATCAATTTTTTTTTTTTAAGATTTTTTTTTTTTTTTTTTTTTTGTGCCATAGTGCCTTTATTCCAGAGAGGGTGTTACATTGAGAGATAGAGGGGTAGACAATGCCTGAAAACTTCGACGGGCTCGGGTTTCGAACCCACCTACTATACTGTAGTGACAACTCCTGTCATTGATTGCATCTCTGTGTGAATGATTAGATAATTTCACCTAAATGAAATCAAATGAAACATGTAGGCCTACTGAGTTCTGAACTTGCCATTTAGATCTATAAAGGCCTTGGGGCTATGTTGTTTGATTGAATTAAACACAATATATGCACTCCACTATGCTGTTGTAGTATTTACTGTATCTGAAGCTCTTAAATATGATTGCTCATATTTCAAGCCATCTTTTTCCCGGCCCCTTGCTTTGGATCATTTTCATCAACCGGCCCCCATTCCAAACTAATTGAATAGCCCTGATGTATAGGAACGTTACATTATATCACTTTATATGTGAGAATAGTGTGGCTGACCTCAGTTCCTGCTGTGTGGCAGTGGAGTCCAAGGTGTCCTCGAGCTCGGACTTGAGGGCCTCCAGCTCCTCCCCGAGGTCCCGTTTGATCTTCTCTGCTTTGTTCCTGGCCGCCCGCTCAGAGTCCAGGTCCTCCTGCAGGTCGGAGATGTGTCCCTCCAGCTCTCTGATCTTCTTTAGAGCGTTGTTCTTCTGAGCTGTCTCATCTTCTAACCTGAGGGGGGGAAAAGATTGCATTGATGAGGATATATGTAAGCATGGTAACATTATAACTTTAGAAGTATTCCAAGTATACATGGTATAAAGAAGGTGCAGCTCTGCCTCAGATGTATGGAGTTACTTGGCTTTGAAATGTATTAAAAGATGTAAATGGATTTTTTGTATTACTCCTCGGGTCCCTTTACCTGGCCAAGGCGTTCTGTAACTCCTCCTCCTTCTTTGCGAGCTGGGCTTTGAGGTCAGCGATCTGCGCCTGCAGGTCGGCTATCTGCTCTTGCATGTCATTAGACTCTGCTTCCAACTTACGCTTAGCCTTATCCAGCTCCTGTCGACCCTTCTCCTCCTTTTTCAAACGGACTATGAGTACAGCAGAGAGATAACAGTTAGCATAAAGTCTCTGACTGTGACACCAATATTAGTTTTCTGGATGTTAATACATGACAATCAGTAGTGTAGTGGGGATGTTTTACTGGGTGGACGCTATTTTAATTAGGTCATCCCAAACAATGCCACAAGTGCGCACGTGCACTCACAAAACGGGCAGACTACATAAACTACCGGTATGCTTAGTCCTACTTTAGTTACTATACTGCAAAAAGCAGACGGCGCTGCGCTCAACACACACACAGAGCTGCTGCAAAATCGGCGGGCGGCGAGCTGGTGGTGTCACGAGCGTGATGACGAATCATAATTTTTTAAGGACATTTTCAATTTTTTATTATAATTACTGTGAAATGTATTATGTTTTCGTCATTATTACAACAAATACACACTTGCAACTGATAACACTGGCAATGATTTTATATTTATTAGACTATTCAAAAAAATCATGCTTCAAAAAAGTGGGGGCTCCAAATAAGTGGGGGAACGGCGATCCCCCGCGTCCAACGACCACTACACCACTGATGACAATCCATAACAGATAATTACCCTCCAGTTCAGAGATCATGGACTCGTGTTTATTTTTAAGCTTGGTTAGGTTCTTCGACTTCTCCTCTTCCTCCGACAGGTTGGAACTGAAGTCTGCGATCCTCTCCTCCATCAGCTTCCTCTCCTACAAAACACAATGAATAGTTACTGAAATCCACTCTTTCCTTTCGATACATTAGCTCTCTTAATAATTGCTTGACCAATATAGGGGGTTGTTTGTCCACACTCACCTTCAGCAGCTTGTTGTTGTGGTCCTCCATCACCAGAATGTCATCCTCCAGCTTTTTGACCTTCCCCTCACAGGTCACCTTCTCAAGCTGCAGCTTCTGACGGGCATCTTCCTCCTCCTCCAAATGTTCTTCCAATTCCTAAAAAAGAATAATGCAGCTTCAGTTGCGGCTTCATACTGTAGCTGATCATAAAGCGTCTCATCTAAACAACGGCTATAAACAAAAAACACATATGTGCAGACCTGCATCTGCTGCTGCATTTTCTTCTTATCCACTAACAAAGCCTGAGCACGTTCTTCCTCTTCGTCCAGTCTGGCCTCCATCTCGTGGAGGATCTCCTCCAACTCCTGCTTCTTAGCTCCCAGACGAACCCTCATCTCCTCAGCCTCGGCGTACAGCTCTGTCTCTGCTTGGAGCTGCTCCTGCAGTGCGTTCCTCTCCTCCAAAACCTGGGTCAGACGGACAAGAAACAATTCAGCTCAGCTTCAATGTCAGTAGATTCCTTTTGAATCAAAGCTTGTTCTCATTGTCTTTGAATCACTCAATGAAATAGTGAAAAGGAACATCAAATTGGTACCTCAAGCACATTTAAATGGATATGACATCAAGTCAAAACAAACTATGTTTATAAATGTGTTTGAGTCGTTTACCGATGTGTGTTTCAGGGAGATCTCCTTCAGCTCCGATTCAAACTTTACAGCGCCTTCTTTGGCTTTCGTCAGCTCTTCATCCTTCAGACCCATCTCCTCTTCCTGCCGGGTCACTTGCAGCAGAGGCTTGACCTGCAGGTCAGGAGGATAGGCATGGTAAGAGATTTAAAATACTATAAAGGCAAGACAAGAATTTATTGTGTGGCTACATTAAAATATTTTATAAGCTTAGAATAAAACAATGAAATAGTTTTGTTTTATTTCTATGCAGAATAACTAGCTGACCTTTGTGAAGAGCCTCCACCACTGCCAGTTCCTGAGTTTGAGGTAGGCAGCGCAGTTCCTCTGGATCACCTTCATGGCTGTGAGCTGCTGTTGCCTCTTGGCAAATGCCCTTTAAAAAATAAAACAGTGAAAGAAATGTGTCATGTATTACATAAAGCAATGTGTATCTAATTGTTTTGTGTTAAAAACGGCAAACATTTAGGGAAAGCCTCAATCAAATGTAAGATAAAAAGGGCTAAAGTACAGTCTAAAATATGTTATATTATTAGATATATTGAGCTTGTGAACACTGTAACACAGTGGTCAAGTATGCGAGGGGGTTCTGTGTGTTCATACTTTCTGGCGAGGAAGCCTCTAGCCTGCGACTGGAAAGCGATGATGACCACGGTGATCTTCAGATCTCTCTCCTCCTCCAGCTGGGCCAGCACTCCTGTGCGGAAGAAGATTTTACTCTGTCCGATCCTGTACAGGTTGGGGTCCAAGTCCAGGTGCTTGATCTACACAGACAGAAGATCAGTGAGCAAAAGGAGGCTGAGGTATACATTGTTTTGTAGATTTAAAAGTATGTGTTTACCATCAGGCAGCAGGCCTGTTTGCCGTCCATGAAACCTTTGGGGATAGCGTTTGCAGCCAGGATCTCATAACTATGAGCAAGGAAAAGACACACAGATGCTTAGCAATGAAAGACAAGTTTGCTGAAATACAAACTCTAGCAGCACATTATAAGTTAGTAAATCTTCTAACCGCTGGCGGAACTCCTGGAAGACGATTCTGTTGGGGAATCCTTGTCTGCAGATCCTGATCCCCTCCAACACGCCGTTACACCGCAGCTGCTCCAGGACCAGGAACGCATCCAGCTTGCCGGCCTGAGGAGAATGTGATTCTAAACTTAGTACTTTGGGTTAACACTCAATACTAAATGGATACTGCATCATGTGTATATTTGTTTTCCTATGTTATATAATACATGTTACAGTTTAAGGAATATACAATATCGATGTAAAGTTGTGCAGTTGCCCTCCTGTGAAATGATGTCTGGGAAAACAAGCTAGTAGATCCCCGAAGATACTGACTTTTTCCTCACTATGTAAAAAATACAGCACGTTTATCGTCAATGCACTTTGCTTTACCTTCTTTTCGTGGTTAGGGATGATGCACCTCACGAAGTTGGGCTGGGTGTTGTGCAGTGTGGTCATGAGTTTGGCCAGAGACTCCTTGTAGAGCTGTCCCACCGTGCGGAACATTCCCTTCTTGGTCTTTGAGCCGCTCTGCATAGAGCTGTCTGACATCTTGGCTATGGTGTCGAGACCTACCACTCTGTCCGCTGATACAGACAACACATACTTATGTTAATAGGAACAACGTGTGTTTACTGGTTTAAATGGTTGAACTGTGCTGGATTTATTTGGTTTCTAGTGTAATTCATTCACATATATGCACAGTTTGTTTCAAAATAATCTGAAAGACACAATGTTTTGTTTGGAGGGAACTGAGAGAATCCAGATGGAAATATGTGCAGTAATTCCCTTATCTCTATTCCATTCATTTGAATGTCGGGACTTTGAAACGTATGTATTGTTTGTTATTACTGAGAAAAGGATGATTCTCAAGTAATGTAAAGCTACCAGGTCTCATTGTTTCTCTAGATATTGTTAAGCAAACTAGTAGCAGTGATACAGCTTGAGAGGCTTCAGAGCAACCCACATCAACATTTCAGAGTACCTGTGGTCCAATTATTAAACACTTGAATTCTTCTGTTTGTTAACTAAGGCTGTGTTTGGCTAAAACCAGTCACTCTTACCATCTTTCCAGAGGTCTTGCACAAACTGGCTGGAGGAGTTGTTGAGCAGCGATGTGACGTTGTCATTCAGAGGGTCCATGTTCTTGGTCAGCCAGGCGGTGGCGTTATAGTCCACCTAAAAATCAAAACAATATCAATGTTATTTGAGATTTCATTGAAATGACTCCAATTGAATCATATTATACACATCCCCTTATACTCACCCTCCCAGCATAATGGAACAGTGAAAACTCTGTCTTGCTCTTGAGCTGTTTAGTTTTGGCAAATTTGATATGGTTCCCTTGTGTGTTCATGAGTTTCTCCACAAAGGAGACATCTGTAGCTTTGGGGAACCAGCACTCTTCGTCCAGCAGGGCCAGGACGCCTGGAGGGTTGTTCTGAAGAGAATATGCTGTGATTAGTTATATGACATCATTTTTGATGAAAACAAATCAAACCATAAAGTATCTGCTCTCGGCAGGAAATGATCCTTGGCTTGCCCTTGCTTCTTTTATCATCTCAAAGCCACTCACCGGCCTCTCGATGAGCTCGATGCAGGGCTGCAGGTCCAGGCCAAAGTCGATGAAGCTCCACTCGATGCCCTCCCTCTGGTACTCCTCCTGCTCCAGCACGAACATGGTGTGGTTGAAGAGCTGCTGCAGCTTCTCGTTGGTGTAATTGATGCACAGCTGTTCAAATGAGTTGTCCTGTGAAAAACCAGAAACAGATGTGAAGATGTATATTATAAATAAAATATGTTTGTGTGTGTTTAGCAAGCTACACAACAGCTTGTTGAGTTCTGACTGTACACACCTCAAAGATCTCAAAGCCGGCGATGTCGAGGATTCCCAGGAAGGAGGCCCCCTGGCGTTTGGTTTTGTCCAGCGCCCTGTTGACTTTGCCCAGGATCCAGCGGAAGAGCCGCTCAAACACGGCTTTAGCCAGAGCTTCAATAGCAAAGTCGGCCTAACAAACACACACACAGATAATATCAGATGAGAGATCAGAGTGTCGAAGTTGACTTAATCTCAGATGTCGAGTTTGGGAAGTTTTTATTATGTGCAGTATCTGTTTTAATGTTCTTATGGTGTACCACGGTTAAGTACCTGCTCTTTGGTTTGGGCCTTCTGCACCACCTCTCTGCCCACTTTGATGCGAGGGGTGAGGATTGCCCGGGTGAAGTCTGTCACATTGATACCCTGCAGGTGACACACCTTCTGGGCCACTAGAGGGAGAACAATTAACACCAAGATGCTTTTAAAAAAATGTCTACATGTACCGCTGTAGTACAAAGTAAGTTGAGGTGAATATAAAAATGTATTGTTAAAAGTTTTAGTGTCTTCAAAAACAAGTGGATTGGTTGTATATTTTGTTATCTTCTTAGATATTTATTTTGGAAGACTTGAAAATGATTAATGTCAGGAAAATAAGCAAATTAGAAGTTGATGTGAATAGTATATTGTGAAATTGGTAGAATTTGATGTTAACACGTAGTTACGAATTATGGTATCAAGTTTTTAATAGTGAGAAGTTGTGGTGTCTGACCGGTGTTGTCTGGCATGGTGGCCTGCTCCTGGTTCCTCTCTTTCTTGAACTCAATGTTTCCCAGCTGCATGACGGTGGAGCACACCTTCAGGATATCTGAAACACAGGGAAAAGACAGTTAGCATCAAAGAGAAACAGCATTAGCACCCACACCTATCATTCATTCTCCAAGAGTTAATCAAAGTCATTTCTGATACCGAGTCTTTCTTCATCGGTCAGGCCCATGATCCTCATGGCCTCCATGGTCTCCTCGTACATCTCATCGTCCTGCTGGCCGGGGAGCTGAACGTGACCAGCGCTCAGGAAGCGGTAGTTACTAAAGGGCTCCAGGAGAAGCTCCTCTGAAAAGATAAGACACTACGTTAAACAGCTTGTGGTTAACTGATGAACTTTCTGGGAATTTGATGTACAACATATGTTCAATTAAGCGACAGTAACTGTTCAGCAGCAAGTAATATAACTGAGATTATGGAAAAGAAGGCGCATTATGTTTGAACTCACCGCGCTGTTTCCCCTGGACACCGGCGATCATGTAGTAGAAGATGTGAAAGGCTCTTTCTGTCTTTGCTTGTCTGATACAGCGAGATTTCTCCAGCAGGTCTGAGAGTTTCAGCTGTTAAAGAATACACATACTGAGGAGAGATTAGCAAATACACTTCGGTTCAGCCCCTTTATGAAGGTCAGTGTTCAATGCCACTTTGTTCCTAATTTGCTTCCATCTCTATGATTTCCAATATGCGTTACAGATTTGATTCTTACATTCAAATATTCTATTTTAATCTAGTATACTATTATCTTAAAAAACACTTCCCAAAGATTGGAAAGCATTGTGAAAAAGTGTATTGGGCAAAATAAACGTTTACTAAAAAGGAACATCCAAACCAGGATTAAAGTGGTATTGATTTGATACAAAATATCAGATATCATTTTTAAGGCTATAGAATTTCCTTTGTAAATGTGCATCTTTGAGTTTTAAGACCAAAAGGTCCCACACAGACAGGATACAAGTCTCAACATTGGCTCCAACGATGTAGCCGGTCACATCAAAATTGATACGGATGAATTTACCCTATGAGAGAGACGCGGAGAGAAAATGTTACAGATAGAAAAAGTGTGATTATCAAAAATTGCCTTTCGACAAAATTCATCTACATCTTAAAACTCACAAATCGGGATGAGTTGTCGTTTTTGATGGTCTTGGCATTTCCGAAGGCCTCCAGGATGGGATTGGTCTGCAGGAGCTGCTTCTCCAGCTCCCCCTGGTGACAACAGTGGCAAACAGAAACATCAATATTATACACTGATCTGTTTACTGGAGGTGGGTGTGCAGTAGGTGGTGATGGGTGAAGTCGTTAATGTGTGAGCGACAAGATGAAAAAATAAACTCAACCTCAACTGATCAGAAATATTACCAACAGGTAAATCCTTTAGTAGCTCCATTATAATATATTCCTTTACGGACTTTCTTTGATACTCTTCAGTATATTATGTAACACAGACATATGGCTTGTCCATCAGTGCGGGGAGAGTGTTCAAAATGAGGAGATCTGCTGTTGTTGATGGGAAGACAGAGAGTAAGGCCGAGGAGTGACGTCTCTTCTGGTCAGATGAGGAATCTGGATAATGTTAACATTACACAACCTTTGATAAATCCTGCTAAAGTACTTCCACTCATGTGTGAGACATTTAAAATGATTCTGATTCACAAACAGCCTTCTGGATGAGATTTCCTTTCAGCGTGACTGCAGGCCGGCGGACTGGTGGGTGGAGCGGCAGCTGTAAATGAGGCAGACACCCCGTCTCTGTGCATCCAGCTAATCCACCTGATCAAAGTGGTCTCTGTCTGACTAACACCAAGGTCAGGCGCTGTAGATCTCTACCTCCTGCTTAAAAACACTCCCTTCTGCTACCATGTAAACGAGCTAACACCATAAAGAGGAGAGGGGCATGACTTGATGTTGTGATGAAGATGGCAACAGTGATTAGAGCTTTGATTAGTGATGGACATATTTAGACATGTTTCACTCCTCATCAATCTTATTTTTGAGTTATTTTTGAGTGGTACATTATTTTCTTTTATGTAAGGAAAAACAAGAGAGATACAGACCAGCTGAAGAGGAGCAGTTCAGAGTTGGCAGAACAGAGAGGAGGGTCTTGTTCATAAAGGTCACTGGGGGAAAGAAAGGAGAAAAAAGAGAAATAGAGCAAAGCAAACGGCAAGAAAGCGAAAGAGAGCTGTTGAGAACGATTGTCCTTCAGACGCTGGTTAAATAAAACGCTCGAGCAGATAGCTAATGAGCAAGTTGATGAGTCAAAATGGTGCCTGAGGAAAAAAGAAAGTGAAAGCAGAGAAAAAAGAGAGACCCGATTTTGTTTTTCTGGTTGGGCGGGGTCCATGGGAGCCTTGAAGTCTTACTGAGGAGTGCGTAAGGTCTGGGGAAGTGACCCTGAGGCTCGATGGGGTCAATAGCGACGGAGGCATTGCTTTGACCCACACAGTTATACTTCCAATACCTACACCAGCGCCAGAGCAACACCACAAACCATCAACGTCTATTGGGGACGCCATCTTACTCATCCTGACTGAAGTGCTGGCAAAGTCAGGGCAGATGGCAGGTGAGAGGACGAGGAGGAGGGCGGAGGTCAGAGAGGAAGGTGCGGGGGGGAGTCGGTGTTTAATAGATAAGAACAGGACATGCTCACACTGTGCTCGTTGATCTGTGAGAGACCCTGTCACTGCCGGGGAGGCCCCACTATCACCTCCACTGGCAGTGAAAGGGTGTTCGTAAGAAAAATGTATGACACAAAACTCAAACACGATAAAGTTCAGGTGTGTTAAACTCGACACGTCCTCTACTGAACACCTAGGTAGGTTTGAAAAGTGACCGCGAGTCAGTACTATGATGGTCATGCAATGTAAATCAAGTCTTGTTGGGTAAGATACAGAAATGACAATATTAGGGTAAACACCGTCTAACTCTATGACAGTAAGATTTGGGATCTTGACCCTTGGTGTAAGAAAAATGATTACAAACAGATTTTTTATGAGGGGGTAACTCAGTGACAATTCCTTCATGCACGTTTCTAATCGAAGGCACACACAAACACTACACACAGAAACACACTCCGGGGATTCCCTTTTACTCACGTAGGCAAACTGTACTCCTGATTGTTGCTATTTGGAGGAAATTGCAATATACAGGATTAAACTGGGATGTTTGCTACACATGTTGAAGAGTGAGGGAACTGGCTGACAGATCCGCTTTGAAACAACATGATCTTCACACGGATACTTACAGCGCTGCTGTCCTTCTTGCCTTTATGTGAGGAGGCCACAAGAGCCAGATACTGGATGACCTTCTTGGTGTTCTCCGTCTTTCCGGCACCGGACTCTCCACTAGAGAGGAAAAAGTGAGGAGGGGATTAAGAGATGCCGAGGGGAGATAGAGAGAGAGAACAAGAAGATAAGCAGCACTGACAGGCGCTCTGTTCACACTTCAATAACCCAGTTTAATTGAAGGAAAAAGGCTGTCCAAATGTCTGACTCAAAGCAAAATGTTATTGTTCAGTAGGCCTGGCACTACGCACAGATCCCCATGTGCCCAGATCCTTTTAAAAACGACCACATAATAATCCACACATATGAATTTAAATGAATCCTCCCCACTTATTTTAGAGATCTAATTGAATAGTTTAAAACAAGGAGAATGAGTATTTTTTTAAACAAGATATTTTGGCATTCCTTCCTATATTTGATAGACAACAGAGTAGATATGGACAAAAAAGCTTGGTTGGGGGAAGTGTATATGAAGTGCAACACATTTGTTTGCACCAGTCTAAGGTTCCAGTCTGTATGCTAAGCTAAGCTAACGGGATGCTCTTCAAATCTAACTATCTGCAAGTAGGTGAAAGTGTATACATTTTCTATTTTGTATTGATTCCCGTCAGAACCACAGCAATAATGCCATAACACTTCAATACAATCAGTGAGTATATAGCTGGAAGAAACATATTATGACATTTACAGAATTATTAGGAGTTAAGTGACAGATACCCTCAATGAAGCTACAATCCTAAAAGTTAAAGTTATACTGACTTTTAAAAGACATTGAATAAAACAAACATTTCAAACAGAAGCTAGAACACATTCTTTCCAGAAAAGGTTCATGGATACTTAGAAAGACAAAGTTGAATGATACCAGAGCCACCAGTCTCTCAGACAGGGGTCCATAAAAGGCATGGGATGCTCCCTGTTGGGGTTTGGCAGCCCCGACAGGAATCTAATGACTCTGTCCTGATCACGTTTGGTGACGTCCAGGCTCCTACTGCAGAGTGCTGCTTCAGATGGTCTATTAAACTGTCTCTTTCTGCACGTCCTTCTTACCATCAGCACTACTGTCCCTGACCAGAACAGGATGATTTAAAAGGATGAAATAGATTACCATATTATCATATTTGACCAGAGGTACCATATTGCTAATATTCTGATGTGTTTTATTATGGTTTTGTATATCTCGGCTTTTCTTCTTGTAAATGATTGAATATTCGAAGAATGTTTTAAGACTTGGGGAATCATGGACATCTAATAAAGTGCTGTAAGTCATGCCATGAGTTAATCATTTAGGTTTCTGACAAGGGGCCACCTGTACTAATGGTACATGAAGTCTCCCTATGCAGTCTGTGTTTTCTGCATGGTCATGTGTTTGATAACACCATGTCAAAAGGTACAGTATTGTGAAACATGATTGTACAAGATCCAATGGTGTAGTTCCACACATGTTCAAAAGGTGTATAAATACTGTAAGATTCTCTCCTTCTGTAGACATGTTCTCTGCTCATTTGATGCAAGGGTTATCTGCCTCTTATACTGTTGTACAACAATATCATATTTTAACTTCAACCATTTCTGTGTCTGTGCTTTACTGTGTTTCTATTTTGTTATTTGGTTATGTTGTGAATGTTTAAGATATTGGATCGACGACAGACTGCTTAGAATATATACTGTATTTTGAGACAATATGCATGGTTCAATATGTTTTGTACATGCAAGGTTGAGAAACAGCAGTTGTATACGACTCAAACACTTATCCTCTCAGTCAATCTGAAAAAGGGAAACCCCTACACTCTGGACAAATAAAAGGGAGCCCTCAATGTATACATGTGATGCATTAACGCCCTCAGCAGGGTCAGACCAGGCTGGGAGTCGGCAACATCCTGCCACTTTACCGCCACTATTCTATTCCCTCCGTCCGAGTTTCACACACACACAATGAATATTGGACCAAGGAAACTAGTGACCCTGTTGAGATGAAATGTCAACATGGATTTAGCAGTCCCTGCTATTTCCCATGACAAATTCTTGCTACTGTGTGGAGGTATTTGAAGAAATACAAACACTCCTTGAATGACCTGAACACACATTGTCAAAGTTAGTGCAATAAGTTTACTACCTTCTTGGAAAAGAGGGAGTTGTTAAAAAAGTGTATTTCAGTAGTTATGACGTTGCTGAAACAATCCTTAATTCACCTGGAAATCTTACCAATGTTGTACCATGTTAACTGATGCCTTGCCACCATGCTTTTCTGATTATCTTTATCTGGTTGGATCTGTCAATACCAAAGCAATTTACAGGATACAGGAAATCCATACGATTATAGTTACATAAGTCTCCCATGACAACATATTAACAAATCTTCTAAACGTCACACTATACAGATGCAAGGCCTACACGATGGATTGCAGTAATAACAATACCGCCAAAGAACATACAGGGCAATGAAACACATGTGTAAACACACACGCAGGAGGAGCATGTCACACATGACAATCCATGTATCGCACCAGTAACATTTCTCCCATATAAGGCTGCAGAGGCCAGCCACCAACTGAAGCTCAAACTGAAATACAGAGTTTGTTTTGAACTTCTCTTGAATCATATTCCTTGGAAGCTTATCACCTTAAAAAGGGTTGTGTGTATGTTTACAATACAATACAATACAGCTTTATTTATATAGCACTTTAAACCTCCAGACCAAAGTGCTGTACAGGCAAATAAACAAAACAAAACATACAAAACATATCTATCGTTAGCATCCAACAGTTATCTTCATGTTCACCAGAACTGTAAACAAATGTTCCCGCACACAGACAGGGATAAATACTAGCAAAGAAAGCTTAATTGTCGAGGAAATGGTCCGATCAAATGAAAGAATTTGCAGCATCCTGGCATCTGTAAATGTAGATGATAAAAAAGCCTTTAGGGCAAAGAGCCTTTTCATTTCCTTAACTGGGAACGCTGGATGCTGAGCAGCAAAATGCTACTGTTGAGTCAGAACAAGGTCGGGAATATACTGCGATATATATTACTGTACATTAATCCGTCAATTAGTATGACAATAAAACACTGTTGGTCCATTTAGGGTGCACCGTCTCTACTTATTTGACTTATTGCATAAAAGCCCTCCCTTTCCGAAGTTATCCTTCTGGTGAGGTAAGAATGCAGCATATTTTTAGTGTGTGTAGACAGAGATAAAAATAGATGGGATGTAGAGTATGTGAGAGTGGAAAGTTAGTTTGTGGAGGTCGACCTAAGGTCCAACAGTTCCTAGAAACAGTAGGAAATACAGCGTCACAAATGATGACCTAAGCCCACATAAAGACACTTAAATGGGGAAAGGAAACACATATTAATTTCATTTCTATGAATTAAACTAAAGTTCAGCTCACTCCAAATATCAAGCCAGACAAAAAGAAGTCTCTGGATGTAAGATAGATGTCAAAGTTCTCAATAATTAGTTTGATGAAAATAAACAAACAAAATGGAGCCAAAACATTTGCAGAGCTTATCTGCTTCTCCTATCAGGACGCAGGGCACACTTCCTGACCGGGGCTCTGAGAGGAGAGCAAGGCGACAGCCCTCTGGGACAGATTCAGGCTCATCCAGTACGGCTCCATTTAAATACAACATGCTGCAACATTATCTAAAAGCATTCTGCATGCAACTAGCAACATCTTCTAAAATATAAACTGTTATATTATGAATGATATCTTGATACGTGGGCTGGGTGCTGAGAGACGAGTCAGGTATCTAATTTGTTCAACTGTGTCTACAACAGCATTATGTAACTGCTCTGCACGTACACACAGCTTTCCTTCTAGCATCTATGTGACGTCTAGGAAAAAGATGAAGGAAAGGCGAAAGAAGAGAAAGATTTTGACTTACGTGCAGAGAATGGACTGGTCCTCTCGATCTGAAGACACAGAGAAAGTTCACAGTGTTAGACAGCCCAGTCTAAAATACACCGTATTCACTTATAAAAGACGTGCTAAACCAAAGGTATCTGCAAAAACAAAGTGCAAATATGTACTTTTTTACGATGCATTACAAGAGCGTTGACTTTATTTTATTCTTCCTCTATGCTTGGCTGGAGGTGCACAGTCATGCACAATAGCTAAGTACACTACTGTACATACCACATGTGAAACCACAAGCCCTTCTCCAGGAATAAAGATCAGTCTAGTGTTACATTTAAGACACCAGCTGGGAGTCGGTTCAGTGCGCACAGGAGGCTGAGTGATTTACGCAGGCTCTAGTCCACTGTGCCTAAACAAACATGTCACTCCCACAAATACTTAGATTTTTAACCATGAAAATCAACTCTTAATGTGCTTTGCAGTGAGTCATCCCAACATACTCCAGGGATAATACTGTGAGTCCATGTAAGGCTTTTTTGTAACTGTATCCTCCAACTTATACCCCTCCTGGGGGAGTACAGGGAGTACAGGGAGTACTGCTGTGAGAAAAGATAACTTTGCTGTTAGCGTTTGACATGAGACCTCTTAGTAAATGACTCCTGGAAAAGACACAAAGCTATTATTCTTCATCTTCATCGAGTGAAGAGCATCATTCGTGCGAGGAATTGTGATTTTCGTACTGTGATTAATCGCTCTGTGTTACAGTGTGCAGACGGCCCTAAACTGTAAACTAGCACGGATGCTCGTTTTTGGCGGCCGTTCCACTGGTTCCATTCCTTACATACACACACATAATGCAGCCTGTTCCCTCTCCGTACTGCCTAATTAAGGCAGATGGAGAGAGAGGGATGTGGCCAGAGTCGTAAGCTTTTCTAAAACATCCAGAAACAACACTAAGTCTCGGGCAAAAGACTTAAAATATTAAGGATATTTTTGTGACACTGATCTTTACAGGTTAAAACTCAAAATCTGATTAAAGGGTATCATCAATGTCTCTGTACCACAGACACCAGTGGATGAAAGTAGATTTACTTTCCCTTATAATTGTAGTAATGTAGTATTTTCATTTTAAGTACCATTCTTGATGCACTACTTTTTCTTGAAATTACTTTTACTGAAGAATCTGAATACTTTTTCCACCACTGACAAACACAGTGGGAGGCGAGAGGAACAGCAGTGAGACTTTAAACAGTCAAACTCCCTGAGGGAATTTCACATTTTTATCTTGCGGACATCAAAGACTGAGGCACAATTTTGGAAATATGGGATCTCTGCCAAGATTGCAGCAGGAAGAATTTCTCAAAGCTTAAGCGAGTTATCTGGGTTTTGCTGTTCTGCACCACTTCCATTCCTACATGTGAACTGTTCACACTATAGCACTCAGTGTAGACATCCTGCTTCATTAGGTGCTAGTTCATGGGAAAGCCCTCGAATACATCAGCACTAACTACTCCATGCCGGCCGCAGTGTTATTTAAATAAAGGCTAATAGATGTGCAGATTTAGTCTTAACCTTGTGGTAGTTGAATGAAGACTCTTGTGTGCAAAGGCTTATCGGAAGGATTTATATTAAGACCATCCTGCATCTTAAAGCTCTTGGATAAAAGTTATTCTTCATTATGCAAGACTTAAAGGCAAGCTTGTCCGTTGAAAAAAAAAAAGTAGGATTAAAAACTTAGATTCCAAAGGAGAGTGATCATAACATAGGAACAGCAAATTCAATTGACCAGCTAATTTCTTATTCAAAATGTGGGTTACTTAGCACATCTAGGACCTCAGGAAGTCTCAACTTCTGTGTTTATTACCTCCCTTTAAGCTTGCCTCTATCTTTTCCTTTGCATTTTATTAACCAAGGAAAAGCTGAATGTGTGGTCCATGCTCTTAAACAATCAATTGTCACTTCCTATATCATTAGCTGAAGCAAACAGCTGATTTGTTTAGTCTGAAAAAAGCAGCAAATCAAAACATACTCTTTATTTGTGAGTGTTCCACATAGTGTTTTGGGAGGTGACAAGCATCTGATTCTCCCAAAATCTGCAATTTGCAGCTGCATGGCTTCTTTTGCAGGGTTGGGCTAAAGAAGTATAATCCAAACACCCCTACAAACACAGATAAATCCTCCTCCTTCTTGTTTACTTCTGACACCATGTTTACACACAATAGCTGTACCGGTAAAAACAATTATTTCCTGTGTACCAGCCTCGTGGAATTTAAAATCCTCCAGTGAACACATATTAGTGACAGTTGCATTCTTAAAGTACTGGGAGGCCTTAAGCTTTCATAAAGCATTGCTTAGCTTGAGTGTGTTGTGGTTGGTGCTTATAGTCAGTGCAGGAAGTATCATCAACGTGTTTCAATGTTTTGGATCAATGACTAGTGCAGAATGCAGAATTATTCATTTTTCTCAAACCGGGAATGTACATTTATAATTTGGGAGACTTAGCCGTCTTTATATCATGAATGATATTGTTATTGTATATTTAAAAAACAAGTTTATGCTTCTCATGGGTCAATACCTCCATATCATAAGCTGAGTGACTTAGCAGATGTATCAGTTTCTCCGTTTGCAGCCGCAGAGATTAAATGGTGTGTTTTTGGAGGATTTTAGAAAATCCCCACTTTCTTCAGAGCGCTTTAAACAATTACTTCCTAACTTAACTGTAAGTCCTGTCCAAACATCCTGTTTCATTGGGATACTCATCAAACCAAAGCAGAAAGTACAATCTCAAACTATTTCTCAAACCCATTTATAGGAACTTTAATTTCTCCTTTCTCGTGCAAGAAAAAAACGTTTGTATTCACACTGAGCGAAAGAGAACAAATATGTAGATAAGGCTGCTGAAACAGGAAATGTTTTACTGCCCTCCACCCATCTCCCCATCCAGATGTCAACTCCTCTGAGAGATCATCCTCACGTCAACATGGAGTCCAGTGGGCACGACCCCCTGGAAGCATACGAAACGGATTCTCTGGGAAACCAGCTGCTCTAAGGACTGATCCCAGAGCCATTTACTGTAAGCAGAGAGCACCACTCTGCCAGGGCCACTATCGTCACCTCTACAAGACACTGACTCTCAAATAGGCCATAGAATCATTCTTTTTGTCACACTCCATGACCAACTTCTTTGTAATTCATTAAAGCAGACAGATGCTGTAAACTATAAAGTTGATTTTATGCCGTGCAAAATAATAAACACAGTTCTGCTTTTGAAACCATCAGCCTGACAGCGTTGTGGTTTTGTCAACATGACAGAGCTAAATGCTGCCGGCCACCATCACTCAGACAGAAGTGAGACATTTTGATACCAAAGCTCACACTAATACCAAGCTCTTTAAAGCTAGCAGCAAACACAAGAGGCTAGCAGCTTAGTTATGTGTGAAGACTGTCAATGAGTAACAATAGCTCTTATGCCACCCTTTCATGAGCTAGTTTCATATCATTGATTCATTTACATTTGATGAGTTATTGGGTGTTAATACCAGGAAGGCTACCAGTCCCTCATAAAGAAAACAACCCAGGGAATAGACAACTCTTGACATACACAACTCTATTACACACAAAATAACTCAATGGCATAAGTGGATTTCCCAAAGAGATGGGAGCTTCGGGAACATCATACCTTGCATCATGTTCCTGTAGGCATTATCAGCGATGGCGTAGATATGAGGGGGGACTTCATGTCGTTTCTTCCCTTTGTACATGTCGATGATCTTCTCTGAGTAAATGGGCAGCATTTTATAGGGGTTCACCACCACGCAGAACAGGCCGGAGTACGTCTGAGAGAAAAGAGGGCGAGAACATTTAGTGTGTAGAGACTCGTGTACATGTTTGTGTTGTATTTCTATAAGTCAGGAGACTTCAACAAGTCAGGGTCAGAAAGCAATGATAAAGAGCAAATACAGGATTTGGATTCTTTAAGGCTTATTATTCGTCAGCCATCTTTGTATCATAATTAAGATTATGATTTAAATATATAAATACCTGGGTGTAATTACACAATGAGAGGCTGTGAGTGAATGATAGTGGGAGCATTAAGATGTTTTTACTGTATACTTACGTAAATAAGTCCAGAGAAGTACCTCTCGCGGATGTTGTGCAACACGGAGGCTTCGTTCAGGCAGGTGAGCTCGGCCATGTCCTCCACCTTGCTGAACTTGGGCGGGTTCATCTTCTGGATGTCGTCCTTGTTGACCGTCAGCTTCTTGGCACTGTCAGCCAGCACCACCAGCACCTCGTCGCCGTGCTCCTCCTTGATACTGGCCGCCTCGAAGCCATGCTTCTCAGACGGGATCCACACCAGCTTCTTTGCGGACCAGTCAGCCTGAGCCATGGGGCTGTTCAGGAAGTCTTTGTCCACAAAGAGGAACTTCTCGTCATCGGACGGGGCCTTCTTGGACATCTTGGATTGAGTTGGAGGGCCAACTGTTGGAGGAACCAAGAGATTAGATGTTAGAAAAGAGCAAACAATGAAGGAAGCAAGGACCGAAGGGAGCTGAAACGGAAGGAAGGAAGCAACAGAGGAAATAAGGGACAAAGCACGAAAGAAAAAGATATGAAGGGGCAATAAATTAGGCTATATTCAGAGCGTTAACATTTGATAAAAAAGGTTGTTATTGCAGTTATGCATCAATTGAGATGACTGTATTTTAGAGAAACACTGCACAACTCAAACTGTATAACACAGCTAACTGTATCTCTGCTGCTAGTTGCCCGTTTCATTTTTGGGAGTAAAAAGACAACAGTTTGTGCACAGGGTTAACTGAACACGATGAGTTTGATCTCTTAGTATGCTACAAATGCTACTAAAGTCACCTCCTGCCTATGATTGTAACTCAAAGGGTTAACATGTTTCATCCATCGGGGACTTCCAGACTGCAGTCATTCTCACACACGTCCACCCCCTCTCAAGCCGACACGTTCACATACGCCACAAGGGAGACGGATAAACAATTCAGCTCCCTAATTTAGATAGAAAGATTAAGTGTGGGAAGTTGATTTTGATTAACTCCGTAACAAAGAGAAGTACAGTTTGTTAACAGAAATATCCTTAAACCGTAAACACTCACTGGCATTTACTCGTACTCAATTACAAGTCAGTGACTAATTAACAACATCCATGTTTTCCATGTCTTCCCCCTCCATCTCTCTCTCTCCCCCTGTCTCTCTGCCTGGAGGCTTCAGTCTCGTGCTGTGATGACCATATATGGGCCCCTTCTCTGGAGCACGACTCTTTTTCTGCGGACCTAAACAGCAAGGCAAGTGAACTCCCAAACAAAGCCCATATAGGGAATAGTATGTCTCTTGCTGGCCTCGTCGTTTACTTGAAAATGATAACAGCGAGGCGGAGAGCCCGAGGGGGGCCCGGGGCTTTAACATGCTTCATATGGGACGCCAGTGGCATTCATTTTTAAATGCTACAGGCAGTGTAAACTATGAACAAGTGTCTGGGACTCTGCCAAGTCTGGGAGTAATACCTGCAAATGTGCAGAAATGTACGTGAACCCAACTCCAGTAAAATATAAGTAAGAAATAAAGCATGGAAGCAATTATTTTAAATATGTCAAATTTGTTGCACTTTATGTCTTAATGTGCAACAAAACAAAGTTTGTCCTGTGAAATCCTACATTTGATCAATATTATGATTGAATTGGATGTTTCTCCCACTACTAAGCAGGGAATGAAGTGTTTCCTGGATTACAGACTATGAGTCACTCCTGTCCACAGGTTGTTACCCCCCTTTCCACCCCTCTGTACACTGACACTGGCATAAACTTTAATTGAGTGGGAACTATGTAAAAAAGCCAAGTGCCTCCTGAGAAAGCCTGTAAATGTGCCCCAGGGGTCAGCCAAACCCCAGGGAGCAGCCAAACCAAACTACCCAGAAACTACTGAAATGTATTGCGTGAATATTAACAGGCAGACACTTCATATTTGTCAAAAACTGCAGAGCCGGCGGATAAGTCCAGTGAGCTGTGCAAACTTCTGAGGCATCAAGGAAGGGCCCAGCTGATGCTTTGATGATCAGCTATGTCTCCAGATAAAGTAAACACACTTTTCCTGACACTCCCCCCTGCGATAAAGTATGTGCAGACAATCAAGACCCTCCTCCTCGACCCCTTTAACTCTCCTCACCACTGAGGTCTTTGTAAAGCTTTTTCATCTCTCTCTCTGTTGTGTTAACAGAGCTTAATACTCAGCCAGTGCATATTGAAGACAGCTTTCTGAAGTGGGGTCACAAGATAACCGGGTGATATAGGCTGAGGGGAAATGTAAAAGAGGATAAGAACATCACTAGGCTCTGTTTGTCAGCACTTGGTGGCATTATTTACCATGCCGCTTTAATAACTAATGTGTTCACATTCTTAAAAGTGAATAATCCACATAAAAACCCTTATTAGCACACAATCTCACTGACCTGCTTAGATCACTGCAAACTATCAACTCATAGCAGTATCACATTACTGTTAAGATCATCAAATCCTCAACTATTATTGTTGGCCACGATTCTCGAAAACATCACACCAAGGCTGAGAAGAGAAAATGTATACAAATCTACGCCGTGTCCAATAAAAATGACTTTATTTTAGAATCTGTCGTAAAAATGATAATAAACAAGTGGAAATGTCACCCAGGAGACCTCTTTCTATTTGTGGGTGAAAGACGTTGACCTGCAGGGCCTGTGAATGATTTCACTCATTTCCTCTCTTGGCTATTTCACAAGCATTCTTCCTGTTATCATCTTCCTAGTAATGCATTTGTTTGATGATTAGTATTACAGCATAAACATAATTCAATCATAAAGACTGAACTAGACTGCTGACACTTGGTTTGTCCCATTAGAGAAACCCTCCTCATGTAGGCATATGTCAGTGACAGTCTATTTAAATTGAAATATGGAAACCAAATAACCCTTAAACACATAACTTCCTTCTCTTTGTTTGATGCATTGATGTTAAAAACAACAAGTCACAGGTGACAGTACAAGCATTCATTGTCTTGGCATTTTATGACACTTTGAGCATTTGAGCCTGAACCATCATGACCTGCTTTCTAGGAAGAAGACATTGTAATGAAGTCAAATTAGGCTAATGCTCGTGTTGCTTTTAGCTGATGAACATTTAATATTAGACTGACAAAGGTATGTTTATGTGGATGTCACCAAACAACTCATTAATGTACAAAATGATGTAGAGAGCTCACTAACTTTCTAACTAACTGGCATTAAATGAAATCACACGGTAAGGAAAGGTTTAATAAACTTTCAAAACCACCACTGATAGGTTTCATTGGGGTTGTGTGAAAACTGTCAGCTCTCATTACATTACATTAGTGTATGCATTTTCAGCCACAACCGTTTCAGCAGTATGACAGCAGGCGACTTTAAACAACCATATTTGGAAAACAGGAAACTCCATGGTTAGAGTCGAGTGCATATCTTTTCACAGATACTCAAACCTAACTTCCCCTCCTACTGCAGAGTGGTGCAGCATAATGGACTACAGTTTTTTAACCTAGTTCACCTTCTAATACACTTATAAATATAGAAATGCAGCTGTTTGAATGACATGTATTAGTCTCATTGCATAATGTAGCCTACTGCAAACATGTGCTCCTGACTAAAGGTCTCACTTTTCTCAACAAGTGACACAAAAGAAGTGAAGTAAATTGCTAGGACAGCTGTCAAAAATGTAAGCTGGTAAGCAAAAGCTAACATTTTTCAAATAGTAATACCCAGTGGTGGAAAAGGTACTCGAATATTATACTTAAGTAAAAGTAATAATTGTAAAAAATGTACTTAAGTACAGTACTTGAGTAAATGTACTTAGTTACTTCCCACAACTGTTAATAACAGTATTGGAACATTAAGTGACAAGAAAATGAAGTGTTCCAGCAATGTTCAATGTAGCCTACTCATTTATAATGTTGACACATACAGGAGAACACCTGGAACGAATGCATCTTTCTTAAACAACGTTAAAGTTAAAAAGGTGTGAGAGGGATGAGGTTTGACAAGTGTGCACTGCAGCATCACTGATCATTGAACGACACGCGACACAAACGTATATACTTACATGAGTGAAGAAATGTGTGTTGAGGGGAGCTTTGGGTTTGGAAAGTTAGGGTCTGGAGCGGCCGGCGTCGACGAGGTACTCCAAAAACGAACAGTCCAAATGACCCCCGTCAAATTCAGAGTCGTACCATTTAAACAGCGCACTGTTTTACGAGGGTGGAGCTGCACGAGCTGGACCTCCTCCTCCATCATCTTACAGCAGGCAGCATCCGCGAGCAGGGCAGGAGGCAAGGACATGCGCACTGCAGACATGCATGTGCAGATATGCAGAGGAAGGTATGTTGTGAATTGAAATGAAAATACAAAATAAAAACTCGATATAATTAAAAGGTAAACTAAGTAACTTATCTATTATCACTGCTCTTAGTTGACTAGCTCTGGCACAAATACTTTACATTTTTCATTGCGGTTTTGTTAAGTATTAGCATTTATTTTTTTCACGTCAGGCTAGCAAACTTCATAGCCTACTTTAAATCCAATACATTTATCTGCTATAGCTTTAGATACTTATTTCCAGATTAAGATTTGACAAAGGCTATAATAAATGGAAACAAGTACATTACACTGCTACTAAATGCATCAGTAAAAAACATCAAAAATATAACATATCCTAATAATATAAAATAGGACTAGGACTTTTACTTGTTGGTAAAAATGCATAGAGCAGGTGTTACTTATAACACTAACGATGAGGTCCATGTGTGATGACAAAGAGGACATCAGCCGTCGTTAGTGTTATTATTTACACCTGTGCATTTACTGTGACATGTACTTTATAGGCTACTATTATAATTAGTATTTTCTCCTTAGAGATGAGACATTTCTCAAAAAAAAAGGCAACACTTGTATATGACTGACACACAACAACTATAGAACTCAGTGGCTGTGAGCTCCACTCCCACACCCTGTATTGTTTATAGATTATGCAATCTGCTCCCACTCCTCATAAGGCAAACTGTCCCCAGGAATCACCCTTTACTGAAAATGCTCCAGAGAGATTCCCCCCTGAACATAACTCATATTTTACAAGATGAACATGTGTGCACAACCAACACATAACTTCCATCGTCACGCACTTCACATTCCACTATCACAAACAGCCCCCCCCCCCGCATCCCTCCTGTCGCAGCTTCTTCCCAATGGAACTTCCTATATAAGGACACCAATCTATTTGCTCCAATAAATCAAGCTGCTGGTTGGATAGCCCGGGGTCTGCTTTTTGCCAGAGACACACAGCACTGTGCTGGTGTGTGTGTGTGTGTGTGTGTGTGTGTGTGTGTGTGTGTGTGTGTGTGTGTGTGTGTGTGTGTGTGTGTGTGTGTGTGTGTGTGTGTGTGTGTGTGTGTGTGTGTGTGTGAGAAACCTAATGACACACCAAAGAAGCAGCATGGAGGACCTCAGGGCTCCCTCTCTGGTCAACATCAAGGAGGCGGGATGGCGTTAAGGAAGGAAAATCAAGGGCAGAAAGACTCAGGGAGGGACAGGGTGAGATACAAGGCAGCGGGAGGGATGAAGAGCGAGACGAGGAGGAGGAGAGAGGGAGACAAAGTAGCAGATACACTGAACAGAGAGGGTGCAGTGTGTGCCATATAAGGACAGTGGGGTCTGTATGGAATCTCGGCAGCTTTCTGTGTAACTTAGAAAGTCTAGCGCAGGCGAGCACCCCGAGCCCCAGTGACTAAATATGGTCCAGCAGCAACAGCATTGTTCACACAAACAAAGTTGTTTCTCTACCTACAAGTAAGCTTGGTGACATTAACACGGTTTATGGCTTATCAATATATACTACTCTAAGGCAACAAGGGAATATGCTGTCAGTCTGACAAGACTAGATTTCTCTTGTTGTAGTGTGAAAGATGCAATTTGAGTTTCCTGCAGGGGAGACACTACAGGGGTTAGGGTAACATTTAAAAAAACAGATACTAACGTTAAGTATTAAATGATTAAATATGTGCTAAAGCATACAATTCAAGAACAGAAATCTGAATTGTGAATTAAGCAAGGTTTTATAGATGTTTTTATTACACAATTAAAGTGCTACTTAAATGGATCTTTCTGGCTCCGATTATGAGAAAATACAAATTCTGATAAACGGCCTCTAAAGATACATATTGTAAAATTCCTTACATTTTGCATGACTCTAATAAGGGAATATGGTACAACAGATATAACCACCAAACTTCCCCCATTGATTACTGACATTATACATTCATATTTTAAATTGCACGTTTTCTGAAATGTTTAAATGTGCATATGAGGCATTATCTAATGTTAACTTAGTGTAATATTTGGGGAAATCAATGTAGAAATCTAAGGATGCAAAGAGTGTGAATTCTGGATGTTTTCTTTCCACTCAACTAAAAGAAGTTCAGTTAGCAACATCACCCACAATCCTAAAAATTGGCCAGGGCATGAAGAACATTTTTGTTGCCTGGCGGCCTATTATAGTTTTTAGGTTCATATTTGTATTTTGTGCCTCTACTGTGACAAAAAGCTCTTTATTTTGCTCATACAGCCTGTGCTGCAGCACCTATGTTCACCCTCTGTCTGAAACCAGAGTTCAGCCTGCTCTGATTGGTTAGCTGGCTGGCTCTGTTGTGATTCGTTAACCGCTTAGAGCTGTCCCGCCCCTTAGCTTATCACGCACAATGTGTTGAAGCGCTAGCCAATAGAAGCGCAAGTTTTACATTGTGATGTCGTTATGATACAGAGGTAAACAAAGGACTCCAATGAAGGCGTTTCAGGCAGGGGGGAGAAACTCCCTTTAGAGGGAACTTTGGGATATGAGCACTTGCAGACCATTTACATGCACACAAACCGATAAAACCCACTAAGGAAAACCTCTTAAAACTAAATAGAACCCTTTTACATGCAGTCTTTTTTCTGCATTGCACTTCACCTTATGTCAATGCTTTGCTCTGCACATATATAACAGGATGTGATGTACGTCCATGCGAGGAGAAGTATAAGGGAGGAGAGGAATGTAAAAAAGGAATTTAAGTGGAAGTACAAGGGCACCGTGTGCTGACAAAATCAGTCTCTCTTTAACTTTAGCCAGAACATTCATCCTCCCCTTGTAGTCTGAGACGGAGAATAATGTCTTCGGAGCAATGAATAAAGCTGAGAAGTCCTCAGTGACAAGGAGGAGAGGAGGCGCCGGGAGAGGATGGATTAGTTTACAGTCTGTGATTTAATGATAAGGCTAAGAATGACTCAGAATAAATCTAAATCAGAGCCTTTCTCATCTATTATATTAAAACATGATTCCAAGTAAATGTAACAAATGACATCAAGCCCAATGGAACCAGCCACAATATAGTTGATAGTGTATAAATATAGCACAACATGTAATGTAGTTATATTATATACAGCATGTTTAATGTTCTTCCTCACCTTCATGTCCATAGATGGGCATCTATTGGAAAGAAAATATGTTTATGGATATGTTTGACCCTCGTGGAATGCAATTGCTTTCTAATTTGAGCCCAGGGGAAAACATCAGTCCACTCTGCTACAACTGCATTAGATACTATTTACACAGCTGTCGCGTTTACACACAGCTCAATTATACAGTGGAGAGAATTGCTGCCTATTATAGGGCAAACTGCCAATCCAACAATCATGTGCCATTGTTACAACTTCCTACGCTTATATAGCCACTTTCCAAAGAACAAGCATATCTGGTGCCAATAAACTAGGCGTCTGTAGTGCCTTAAAGGGCAAATAATGTTAGCTCCAAGGAAGAGATGTAAAAAGGAAAATCACTGAAGAGTTCCCAGATGAGGCTCACTGACTCTCGTTTCAGCACTAAGAAGCGATGAATGACCTTTGAAAAGTCAAGAATTCCTCTTTGTGCAGAAATTAAACAAGTTATATTTGTCTTACTTACTCGCCCCATCAGAGGAAAAATCTGCAAATCCCACTGCACATTATGACCTCATTCTTTCAATGAACTTATTTGGGAGCTATGATCTCATCAATCAAAATCATCTAGAATCAGTATTGAGATGTGCAGATATGGTAGAGACAGCATACGTCTTAATTTAGTAATGGATTATTCATCGGACTAAGTGTCCAACATCAGTAATCAGGCTGAGAAATAAGTGACTTGGCCTCGAACATAATCAGTTCCAGAAAAGCAGCGCTCCAAGTCGTGTGAGATAAGAACCTTAAGTTCCCTTAAATGGAGAGAGAGGATGTGAGATGCAAAGAGTATTGGCTTGTTGTTGCAGTCAGTGTTTGTGTGTCCAGCACAGGGCATAGTTTGTTGGAAGAACTACTTGGCCCTATTTTCATGAAACTTGGTGGAAGGGTGTAGCTTGGGTCAAAGAAGAAACAGTTTTATATTGGAATGGGGCCAAATCCAAGGGCAGACACACATTGTTTGTCACAGATACGGCATTGGCGGAGGTGTACATATTTTTGTTGATGTAGCTTTTATGTCTCGCTGTAATCAAAGTGAGGAACCTCTTTTCTCTCCTATACAGTTCATTAATTTCAGTATTGCCCTCATTGCTATTATAGAAATTGTGAAGACTTGACAGGCCTAATTCTTAAATTGAACCAGCAGGATTGTAGCTACATACAAATATCTTAGAGTTTTGTAAGGCCAAGATAAAACATCTTTAAAATCCGGAGGTATCTGACTATTACAGATAAACAAGGGTCAAGTAGCATTCGGGCATGCATGGGTTTGGCTGCTCATAGGAACACAATGAGTGCCAACACGTGAAGACAATCACAGGAAAGTAACTGAATGTGAATTTAGAAACCTTTAACTTTCATGTGCAAGTTTTTTAGCGCCTTGATGAAAACTGCATGAAGCAAATGGTCAGAAGTACCAACTGTACTTGATAATACATGTGTGTATACAAACAACAGAGTTTTACAATGTACAAGAGGATAAAATAATGAGTTAGTGAACTGACTTAATGTGAAAAGGACGAGCCCTTATTTTATGCATAATTCCACATGCCACAGATATGAACAGACACAACAGATTACCTCTACTAAAACCTGTCTTCAGCTCTCTTTGGCCATGGTGAGGCTGCCCTCATGTGGTAGTTAATAAAATAGTACTTCCACAAATGTTTTTGACTCAAACAAGTGAATAAATACAATTTTTTTATTTTTGAACAATTAAAATACATTATAAAAGTATCAAACATTTGTAAATTAAAATAGAGAAAACTTCAAGGAATGTTATCTTAACTTTCAGTCCTGAATTATTGAAAAACCATGCAATAAGGACTAATGCAAGCAGACTAATGCATGCTGAAGCTATCAGTATTGCCAGATATTTTGACCTAAACCAATAAAAGGTCATGTGAGATAATCGGCAACAAACTGCATGAAGTATTACTAAGGATTTGAGCCTTTCTTTGAACAGCATTCATAGAGTCCATGCTGTAATGCCTGTGGATTACACTCAATGAAAATGGGAGATTATCATTTAATCCTGCCAAAAGACAGTGTTGAAAGGCCTCTCAATGCGGTTTAAAAAACACTTCACCATTTATGCATCAGGTCCAGGTACAGTGTTGCTGGCAGAAGTCCCAGCAGGTAGAGAGGCACCTCGCAGAAACACCTTCCCAACATTATCACCGCTGTTTACAAAGTGGCTCACCAAGCCATAGAGGAGAGGTCTGGAGAGAAACATTTGAAAAAAGTAGACTATGTGTGATAAACATTTCAGGGAAAAAGACCTGATATGAAAGTGATGAAAGCGATGAAAGCCGGACAAAACCCCTTAAACTGCTGCATGTAAGCAACCCCCTGCTGAGATAATATTTCACAACACAAAATAATTATTATGTTTTTCCAAAACACTTGTTGGGACAAGAAATTATTGAAAATCTCAAGGTATTTCAAGCTAAAAGGATGAAGACTGTGATGATTTGAAGAGCAAATGTAATTATTATCCCATAACTGACCATACCCCCCCAGACTTTAGTAAATATTTGAACTCAGTGTGTTGGACAACAGATTGTACTGCACTCACACAGACTTGGAGCTTGTATCCTCAGTGACCTTCAGCTCATTGGCCAGGAACTGTCTGTCCAAGGGAACTTCAGGTTGGCATGACTCTGAGAAAAGAAACACTGCTGAGTTAAGGAGTTATAAGAATTTAGAAATACTTAATTGATCCCCTGGGTTGAATTGGGTTTTGTTACAGTGCAGTTTGTTACCATTAAGTCTCAAAACTGAAGCTGAAATCTGTCATCTCAGTCGACTTCAACACACAATTTGTAAAAGCTCCCTAGAAGTGATATTTTTGGCACATGTGTGTACATAGTGTGCCAGAATCATTAAGTGACTATATATAATCAGAGACTATTTTTCACCCACCTGCTGTCAGGACTGAAGCAGTATATCTGTACTTGTTGAACTCCAGGTACTCCCGGATGAGCTCGTTGATGAGCAGGTTTTCGTGGGACAACGGCGGGCAAGGCTCCCGCTTGTCGTCCAGGGCGCTGAACACCTCTGCCCGGATGCGAGCCTTCAGCTGGCCCAGCACACCCCGGGACTCCAGCGTTTCCCTCACGGCTAAAATATTCAGGTTATTTTGAAGTGATAAGTACATTGTGTGAACTGACCATCAGACAAAATGATTGGGAGCTTGCGTTGCGTTAGTATGTTCATATAATCCGCGTTTGACCAAATGGGCGGGTTTTTCTAATATATGCCGTACTCCACTCAATAATCTGCGAATATAAAGTTATTTTACTTACTGACAAATATATACACCTCTTCAAAGCTGACTGAATATAATAAAAATAAACATTAGATACCACTCTTTAATTCGGAATACTTTTGATAATTCAAACTGTCTTGGTTTCATAAATAAAATACAATTTAGTCCTACTCACAGCTTCGACCAAACGTAACCTAATGGCTCGCTGGCTACTGTTAGCAAGCTGGCGAGCAGTGTGAAATGAATGAAAACCTATAATTATGTTGAACATAGGTTGTATTTATATGTGCCGAATGAAAATGTAGATGTTAGCAGTAGATACAATGCCTCTTATCTAGTAAAAGTGTTGGATCTTTGAATGGAGACGCATACATACGAGGACGTTAACTTAGCAAACCAGTGTTACTAGCAGTTTGACTAATGTGTTTGCAGTAAAGAACTTGTGGTTTATCAATTCGAGTTGGATTTAAAAGTAGACAAAATCATAAATTATAGTGAACACTTACCACACTTCAGTTCAGTGATGGTCGCCATTGCAACAAGTGTAAACAAACGACTGTCTTCCACTTCTTCTCATGCAATATATCTCTGCCATCTGGCGACGAAGTTGTGTAACTACAACGGACTGTTTAATTAGACCCAAAACATCACATACAATCAATCTGTACAAACCTTATAACAAACACATTAATATATAAGTGTTATATGCATTGTGATATTAAGATGTATGTTTATCTTTAAAGGTCGAGCAATCATTCTGTTTATATTCTTAAGATTATTAGAGCACAGTCACACTGAATATATGTGGATTCAGAGTCAAGCCTATCCATGGTTGCATGCATCAAATATGACCATGTTTTATTCAATTCACTTTGGATGAACTCTGATGCAGAAGTAAGTAGAATTTGATTAATACAATACGTTAGACTCAAATAGACTTTATTATTCAGCTTGATGGTACAAGACAGTACATTAACAGTAAACGTGAAAAAAATAACAAGCTTATTATAAAAAGTATAAATATAATACAATCCTTGAAACCTTAAGGACACTTAATACATTTTGTCAAATGACATAAATAAACTATAGGCTTTCTGTTATTGTCAAAACCAGTTAGACAAAAACAATAAATGCCTCTTCTTTGAAAAGTTCATTGGGTTCTTTCTTTGAATCAAGAGTAAAGGTCAACGTGGACTATTTACACTCTGTCATGTCAGCAACATAAACCAATATTTTTTTATATTCTCTGCACACGGCCTGAGATGTGTGGTGAAGGCAGAGAGACAATCACACAGAGATTTATCACTATTGTTTTGAAGAGAAATTCTCTTCATTCATGGTGGTTTCCACTACCGGCGTCAGGTTAAGTCTGACCAGCAAGGTCTCTATTGACTTTCTTTATGTGTTTACTTTGACAGAAATAAACAACAGCCACACCATAGTTGGACGATTGCTAATGTGTTGGCTCACTTCAATGTTTTCCTGTTTTTTTACCCTGACGTATAAAAGCTCCAAATTGGCCGTTTCCAGCAGAGATTTTGAAAGGCAGTGAAACCTCACTTCCCCTGGGTTTTGCCAGGGTGAACCTTTTGAAGGTTACTGTGTCAAAGTGTTTCCCGTTCCAGTCTCCGGGGCACAAGAAAAAATATCAGTTTACAGTTACAAACTTGCCTCTTTCTTGGTATACAAGGCTAAGAAAAGTGTGAGTAAACATCAACGTTTGAGCCTGAGACAACATCATACAAATATGTCATGTCATGTGCTTTATAACACTTACAAAAATCTACAAAAATAATACAGCTCCCATTCCGACAGAGAACAAGTCTTTATGATTTGTGGTAGCTTGTAGCTCTGGGCTGAATCCTTTCATGTAAAACACGGACTCTACTACTATATATACAATATTAAAGGTAGGGTAGGTAAGTTTGAGAAACCGGCTCGAGATACACTTTTTGTTATATTCCATGGAATGTTCTTAACATCCCGATAGCAATTAATATCTTAAGTGCTTTGACAAAAAATCCATAAAAAAATGTCATCTGTGGAAGCCGTAATACTGTAAAAAGCACGACCAATCATTTTAGCCGGCCCGGCTAAAATAACTGGATGGCCTACCTGCCTGTCAGCCTTCCATCTGTGCACAAACTTAACTCGTGCCCTCATTGGTCATGTGCGCGTTCGTGTGTGTTGGAGGAGGGGCTCTGTAAGGAAGTGGCAGATTTTCTCCGGTTGTGTATTTTCAAATTCTAGCGATCTCGAGCTGGTTTCTCAAACTTACCTACCCTACCTTTAATAGCTTGGAGACTCTACAATCCACTGTAGCTTTCTTCTGAATGTTCATCATCTGAGGATAATAATGTCTGTAGTGTCTGTCAAAAACCAGCGCCAGCATCTGTTCTTGAGATTAATTGAAAATGCCCTCATGGAGAGGCGTTTTTGAGCTGCCACGAAGCTTGAAATAGCCCAATTTAACGTTAGCAAATAAGGTGCCACATCTGTACACCAGCTGCATGGAACGAAGCGTCCATTGAAGACTTAGACCAGCCCGGCCTCCCGGCACATCCCGTAGAACTGTCCCCGCTGTGCGATGAGGTTTGCTGGAGTGTCCATCTCAGAAATGAGGCCTCTGTCCATGACGATCACTCTGTAAAATGATAAAATAGGCGAAAAGACAGGTTATAAATCCAGCATTTTTTCTAAAACAACCACTATGACATATAAATATGGAATAGGGCTGTCAATTTTGCGCTATCAAGGCCTATGACTGGGCATGGGATTAACATGTAGTTATGTAGTTAGTGGATTGTATTGTTGCAAGTACAAGTTCATTTGCTTTTCAAAATAATGCTGTCTTTAATAAGACCCAATTTTTACAAAAAACACTTTCCCTTATTCTGATTTAAAAAATGTTTTCTTTAAACATTTTCCCAAAGAATTACAAATGTAGATAACAGGTTCCCAGAATCCAAAATAATGCTTTTCGATTGCATATTTTATCTGGCCAACAGTAAAAAAGGTCCAAATGAAGTTAGGTTACATTGATACATAAGAGATAAAGAGCAAATCCTACATTTGAAAAGCAAATATTTGGTATTTTCATTGATAAACAAATTATATATATAATCCAAATTATAATTATTTTGTATTTCTTTCAGGCAACTAAAAGCCCCAAAATATCGTATCGCATCGTATACCTCTAAGTCTATTGTATTGTACCTTGTGTAGTCCATGATAGTGTTGAGGCGGTGAGCAACGGTGAGTACAGTGCAGTCGTCAAACTGTGTGCGGATTGTGGACTGGATGAGCATGTCCGTCTCCAGGTCGACAGCAGCTGTCGCCTCGTCCAAAACCAGGATCTTGGTTTTCCTCAGCAGGGCCCTGGCCAGGCACACGAGCTGGCGCTGACCCAGACTGCAGAGACCAAGAAGAGGGATAAATCACACATTAGATACAATGCAGCCTGGGGACATACAATGCATAGCTGTTTATCTGCATTGCTTTAAGTCATATCTGTATACCTGAGGTTTTCTCCTCCCTCTGAGCATTCGTGGTTGAGTTTGTCAGGCAGATTTGAGATAAAGTTTTTGAGGTGGGCGAGCTCCAGCGACCTCCACACCTCCTCATCTGTGTAGCTGTCAAAGGGGTCGAGGTTCATCCGGAGCGAGCCTGAGAACAGCACAGGGTCCTGAAAGAAAGGAAAACAGATGTTATTCATCACCAGACTAGTAGCAGGATTATTACATGGTCTTATTCTGCGTTGGATACGTTTTGCAGCTTATGCAAACAGTTTATGTGATGAAAGCCAGGGCTTAGTTTCTGTTATTACTGCTGTCCCACCTGAGGAATGATAGTAATGCGGGATCTGAGGTCATGCAGTCCGATGTCAGCGATGTTCACTCCATCTACAAAGATTTTTCCTTTCGCTGCCTCCAAGATCCGGAAGATTCCCAAGGCAAGTGAGGACTTCCCTGCTCCTGTCCGACCCACAATTCCAATCTGAAAAAGGACATTTAAAGTCAGTATTTATGTTGGATGTATTTATATGATTTAAGCAACTTGTCTTCCAGAAATCAAGCCCGGTAATAATTGCGAACTGTTTTGATCATACGAGATGGCTCACCCTCTCTCTTTCATGAACTTGCATGGTAATGCCCTTCAGAGCCAACTCAAGGCCTTTACGGTACTGCAGCCCGTAGTCCTGGAACTCAATAGCACCTCTCTGAGGCCAAGCCAGGGGCAAGGAGCTGCCTTCGATACTCCAACTCGCCTGAAAGAGAGAATAAGAGAGGGTGAGTAAAGAACAAAAGACCTCCTGTTGTAAGTTATTGGATTCAGTGTCCTCAGCAGTGATTTGTTTATGTGTGCAGCAGGAACACTGACCTCTTTAGCAGTCTCCGCATACTCATTGACCCTCTCCACAGACACAATGTTGTTTTCCACATCAGTCCAGGATCTCACTATCCAACTCAAGATTCCAGTCACCTGAAATATCCAATGCAATGAGGTTTTACTTTAATTCTGTTCTTGCCTGAGATGTACATGCATTTGCTGGTTGAGCATTTCAACTTTTCCCATTTTAGCCTTCAACTTGCCACATGTAGCATGCAACTACAGTACAGTCCCACAATATCGTGCAGTGTCTGTTTTGATGTTAATAGGATAGTTTGGATTGTCTGAACTAGGATTATACTTAATGATAGTCTTTATAATAGCAACAGTAGACACCTCAAAAACTCTAAAGTATCCCTTTAATAGATCGGGTATTGGGAAACCTCCAGAAGTGCTGTGTGAGAATGTGTGTGAGTGTGTCTGTTGGCAGGACCTCTTACCTGGAGGGAGTGTGACACAGCCAAACCGACTATTCCTGGGCTCAGGGTGCCTTTTCCCATCACAGAGAGAATGGCGGCAGCTAAGACCACACCATTACCAACAAACTCCAGATTGACTGCCAGCCACCTGTGGATGTTATATTGATTTAGCTTTTAGGAGGCAAGTACCAAAAAGTGTCCTCATTTCTAAAGCCAGGAGTCATTTTTAGCCATGTAACGAAAAGGAATCGCCACAACTCTTGGTGCTATGAGTCATCACCGTCTCTTATGAACTGTGAACTGAGCGAATGGATGTATAAATGGATTGAAAGCACATGATAATGATCATATAACAACTCACCGAGTGGCCACAAATCGGGGGAAGTAGGAGGTCTGATTGAAGTCCACCCTCTCATTAGCCTGCTGAATGAACCTGGACTGCTCGCCGAAGGCCCGGATGACGCTGGCGCCCTGCACCGTCTCGTTGAAGTGTGTGTAGATGGGCGAGCGGCTCACAGCCTCCAGCCTCCGCAGCTGACAGGATGTGGCGACGTAGAAGCTCTGTAGCCCACAGTGGAAAAGTAAAACACCAGCTTTAACGAATGAAACCAATAGAGAGCGCTGAGGGATTTCCCATAATTCCTAGTGAATGTGTGCAACGTCTTTGTCAGCACGTAGGGAACAAAACGCAAGTGTATGGCAAGATCAGCAGGGAGCTTTCCAATAACACATTGTAATAGAAACCAGCTCTTGCTGACCCGCCTAAACATAATACTCTCAAAGAAAGAATAAAGTCTTTGGTGTTTAAAAGTTGGGGGGGAACGTACCTGGACAAAGGCGTAAAGGAAAGCGAGGGGCAGGATGATCACGGCCGCAAAGGGTGTCGCCATCATCACAATGATGCAGACTTCCATGAGTTTAAAAACATAGCTCAGCATCATCTTCAAGCCTTCTGGGACCATGCAGTCGATGGCGTCGATCTCTTTGGAAAAGCGGTTGAGTAGGTTGCCACTGGGCGTGCACTCGAAGAAAGACATTGGAGAGTGCAGCACGTTGATCAGCAGCTCCATATGCAAGTGGCGGGAGGCGATGATACCGCAGATGGAGATGGCGACCGTTGTCCCAAAGATTGCAATACCTGAAAAAAGGGGAAAGATGTTTTATCAAATTATTTGAGGATTAACAAACAAATGTCAACTGTTCACAGACAGTTTGCCAAGGAGGATTCATTCAACTGACCTTGCACAAAACCCAGCGCACCAAACACGGTCAGCTTGAGGTCCGTATCCGTTTGTGTGCCGTTAACAATCGGGTCATCAGCCCACATGCTCAGCCAGTAGTTGTAGGCCAGTGAGGCGCCTTGCTGAAAAGCATACAGGAAGACGATGGGGATGATGCTGACCAAGCCGATGGTCTTGAAGTACTTCTTGTACATCGCCAACCTCACCTGTTATAGAACAACACAACACGAACCAGTCAATCTCAAGGAATTCTTTTGTTGGGTAATGTATTTTTGGGCAATAATGTCCAATTTCATACCATAAGTGTTGAAGTCAAAAGCAATGTTCAGACTTACCCTTCCAGTGTTGGCCTTATCAGCTTTAGTGAGCTTGCCCAAGTCCTCTGGTACTTGTTCTTCGTCTGTTTCAGACACAGGCTCCATGTTCTGCAGGTTTGTATTCGTGGTGTCACCCCTGGAGGACACAAAAACCCAGAGGTCAGTTTTGTAAACAAGTAGCGCGCAAAGCCAAACATTTTTATACGATTTCCAATTGTTAACGTACCCAATAAGTTGCTCCTGTGACAGATCTCTGGAGAATGGCATAAAGTCGACCATGCTGAGACGAGCATTGGACCTCCTGGAACCAGCTGTGAAAAAGGGATTTTTTTTGTTGGTTTTTATTGTGATTATTCATTTTTGAATGATGTTTACTGAACATTAGCCAATGATCTCATATTTGTCTGTCAGCAAGATAACGGAAGAACTATGGGCTAATGTTATTGAAATGGGATGGTTTAACATGGGCCAAACAAGAATGGTTTATATATTGGAGTGCACAAGTACAAAACATTTGTTTCCAACTCCTGTGGGATCACCCAAGCAGCATGTGAATGCACCACTGGATTTGGCGGAGGTCTTTGCTCTTCAAGCGCCATTCTAGTTTAACATAATTGTTCTCACCTCTCTGTATGGCGCTCTCTTTTCGCTCAGTGTTGGCGAATGTGTGAATGAAGTCGGCGAAGGCGCCATGGCGGCTGAGGAGCTCCTGGTAGGAGCCGCTCTCTGTGATTTCTCCATCTACCAGAACAAGGATGAGGTCAGCCTGCGGCAGGAAGCTCATCCCATGGGTCACTAGGATGCGGGTCTGTATAGCCCGCAAAAAACATCATGTTAGCACAACCCAATACCAAATGAACGCTTTCTTCAAAAAGAAAAGTGTCAGCAAAGTGGTGGTTTCCATATTATGATAACAATAGCGCATGCCGCATGCTTGTAAGTGGATTAAGGATTGTAAAACTATGTTTAGGCTCTTTGCAGCTGAGTTGCATTTGGTTTTTATTACATGAATTACCTTGTCCCTAAGGACTCCCTTTGGTCCAACGACTTTGTCAAAGATGTGTTGACCGACATGTGCATCAACAGCAGACAGAGGATCATCCATTAGGTATACATCGGCCTTTCTGTAGACGGCCCGAGCCAGGCTCACTCTCTGCTTCTGCCCACCGGAGAGGTTCAATCCCTGCGTAGACAGAATCATTCAAAAGTTTCGATATACTCAGAGGATTGAGAGACAAGAAAGAAAATCATACAATTTACATTTCTCCCTTTTTGTACCTTTTCCCCAATTTCTGTAGCATCTCCAGCAGGTAGGATTTCCAGGTCTGGCAGCAGTGCGCAGGCCTCCAGCACTCGGTGGTACCACGTCTTCATTTTTTCACGGCCAAATATGATGTTGTCTTGGACTGTGGCATTCTGGATCCAGGCCTGTTGGGGCACATACGCCACGGAGCCCTGTGAAGACAGATATCCAAACAGAGACTGTCAGTATTTATTAAATGATGAAACCCACAACTAAGAATAGAACATGCTCTTGGAAAAGAAGCTCAGCACCTTAACACTGACATGACCGCTCCTTTTCTCTGTTTCACCAAGCATGGCAGACAACAAGGAGGACTTTCCACTGCCCACATGTCCAACCACAGCAACGAGGGAACCTCGTGGCACATGGATACTGATCCTGTCAACAAAGAAAGGAAGTGTCCTGTAAGTCTCTTTTTGTTTTTCTTGTAAATTAACTATTCTTTTATGTGTAATTCATACCTTTTAAGACATGGAGGGCCCTCTGCAGACCAACTAAAAGTGCCGTTTTCTATCACCACGTCTTCACCATCTAAACAAAAAAGAAGGGTTGAACAAAAACAACAAACCCTGCAATAAACACTGAAGACAGGACAGGTCCTTTCAACCTGAGCCACAAACAAACTTTCAAAACAAAATTCCCCTTTGAAGTTACTCGTCAGATTACAGCCTGGGCATAATTACAAGTGAATTTGCTTAATCATTCAAATTACAGAGCTGTTGCTTTTTCAAGAGCTGTCTTAGGAAGTGTTGACGGGTTACAGACAGAGGATTGCTGTATTTTTCTTTTTTATTCCTCTATGAATCATATGTCTGATTTACGTTCAACCGCTAAATGGGAACATCCTATAATTACCCTGTCTGACAGTCAGCCAGGGACCCAGGAAGTGACAGCGCATATGATCCATACAAGGCTGTGGTACTCCAAAGATATAAACAACTAAATCCCGTGGTTGAATTATATTGATTATGACAGTGTAGAAATTAAGGCAGTTGTGGGGAACAAATTGGTGAAATTAAACAGTGCAGAAGAGTAGTTTATTCATTTAGTGTTAAGGTTTATACATCGGTGGCGTTCTTACCAGAGGTCGATGGAGCTTTTGAGACGTTTTCCACCTTCAGTTCCTCAGAGCACAGGTACTTCCCCAGACGCCTCAGTGAAACCATAGCCTGAAACAGAGTCAGTGGTTTTTTAACTCCATCATATCAAACCCATAAAATATACCTCATCAGGCACCATAGATGGAGAGAAACATCTGAGCGCAATCAACAGTTATAAATTGAAACGTCACCTACCTGCATCGTCGTGCTTATAGCGAATGGAAGCTGGCTGAGTGGGGTCTTCAGAATGTTGATCAGCGCCATTGAGACAAAAACTTTCTGTGCATCCAGCACATTCCTGTCATCGAGTGTCACATACACTCCGAACATGGAAAAGGCAATCTTTCGGGAGAAAAAGATGGTAAATGTAAACTTTTACATGCACAACTTGTGTTATCTCTAGAGACATTCCTAATATAAATGCAGATCTTGATGAGGATTTTAATTTCTGATACACATGTATTAAATATACATGCATTAAATATGCTCATAAAGTTGTCCAATACGGTTTTATTAATTGGTTTCATAACGGATTAATTGTTTGGTCCCTTGAATGCAAAACAGTTGTGAGTCTAGAGGTATGTCTTATAAAGACATACCTCTAGACTCACAACTGTTAAAACAAGATATATAATATTTTGTTTTAACAGTCTTAAACTCAAAGATATATATTTTAAAATTATATAAAATCTGGAAAAGCCAGAAATCACCTTAATTGAGAGGCGGGAAATAGCATTTTCTGACATTTATGTATAAAGATGTAAGTTTAACAATTATTCGATAATCAAAATAGTTGGTCTGTCGATCAACTAATGATTTTTCTTAAATCCTTTGAAGCTCTTAACAATATCAGTTTGAGGTCTGTTTGTTTTTAGATGTTTTATCGGTCGCTCCTTGGAATTGTGCTCTTACCAGAAAAGAAGAGGAGTTAAAGGATGCAATGGAGATGGAATAAAGGATCTGAGATTTCTTCAGGGCTTGGAGCTCTTTTTCTCTGTGGCCCAAAACCTTCTCCAGGAAGGCCTTCTCCCAGGCGTAGAACTTCAGGATCTTTATTCCGTTCAGGATCTCATTCATCAGTCTGATGCGGCCGTCCATGCACTTCATCTGGATCTCCTGTGGACCAGACACAAAGGTTTTTATTAAAATAAATATACAACCCAAAGCTGAAACTGCAGCACAGTAGAAAGACAATTACCAGACCAAAGTAAATACATGCTTTTGTGAACATGGGTTTGTCTGCGCTCGTTACAGCTGTAGTAGTTTTCCTGAACATCTTAAAACTTGTTTAATTCAGTAGGAATTTATTGCTTGTAACTTTTTTGTGATTTTTACGACAAGGAAACAACAAAGGGTCAGGAATGTGGTCACTGCATTCAAGACTCAGTTCGATTAAATTGGCATAAAATGTACAGAACCCTCTGTTGTTTTTCCAAAGAAATGAAAAAATATGTTTTCCTACTGCCCACCCTTTCCTTTCATTGTTTTTCAAGCACTTTATATGGGTCCGACATCAAAAGGACAAGAGAGAATGTACCATCCAGGCCAAACACCCACGCGGCTCTTCAGCCACTATCTAAACCAGCTGTGGCATCCCTGACCCAACACGCCAGATGTGGGGGCTACTGAATATACTGAAAATACTCCTACAACTGCTTTTACCTGGAGCTTGCTTCTTTTCTTCGCTATGAACCCGTTGAGTGGAAAAATGAGAATGACAGTGGCGATTCCTGCGAGAGCCGATGGGCCGAGATGCTGAAAAAAACAAATACAAAAAATATGTCAAAGTCCCTTTTTAAGTTAAAATATAGTCGTGCACGAATGAGTCATTCTGAAACATTTTGACATACCTGCCAAAGGAAGAAGAGACAAAGAGCAATCTCAATAGGAGCCAGCCAGACAGCGTTGAAGTAAACCACAAAGTCCATGAGCTTCTGAGTGTCAGCCGAAACCAGATTCACAATCTCGCCCACGGTGCAAGTCCTCCTGGCAGCGCTGTTTATCACCAAAGACTGGTCAACAACAACAAAAGAGACAAAGACATTTTAACCTTCAGTTGTCCACTATATATTCACGCCCCTGAAAAGACCTTAGAGCATCATTCATCTTAGAGACTGCTTTTGTTATTGATATTTAAGGTATAATTGATGTCGCGCTAAGAGGTCAGCGGCTAATTGTCCACAGATAAACCCACCTTCCTGTAAACCAATCCCATGACAGCGGTCTTCACCCTCATTCCCACTGTGAAGCAAGTGTACATGTACTGATGGCTGAAGAGGGACTGGAGACAGGACAGCAGGAACATTAGAGTGGCGTAGAAGTAGCCTTTCCACAGTGGAGCATCTTCGTCTCTCATGAAATCCAGAAGAAGACTGTGGAGGAAGAAATTATGAGGATGATTACACACTTTCAGATTTGATGTAGTGCTACCATAACCCTTTTCCTATGTACGATTTCCCCTGGAAAGTAGTGAATGAAACCAAAGCGGACAGCCCTGTCAACATGATTTTTTTAACTGTGTTTTTTCATTCAATGTGGTGTTTCATTGTCTGCCTTAAACCAGTGGCTGCTGGCCGACTGTTCCACAGAAAGTAGCTCGGGTTGCACAACAATGCTCAGCCTGCGGTCGGCTGCCCTCACACTTGGCCAGTGGCTCACTTATTGTGGTCCGACAGCATTTCTGCTCTTCCTCTCGGCCTGCCGTCCTTGCTGGAACACAGAGGACTGTTGTCCCGACTACTTTTCCTGCTCACAGCTCCATGACCGTAATTAACACTTCCACTGATGCTGTGCTGTGCATCAACAACAACATTCCAGTCTGGCTAGTGGGATTGGGTTAGCCATGACCTGCTTTTTCATTGCAGCCAGCTTCTGTTGTCGTGCGGTTGTCTGAGTCTCAAATCATTGAAAAATAAGACGATGAAGGTGATATCTTAGGTGCTTTAGAGTTTTGACACTGTTACACTATATCTGTCTATCTAAAATGTGGTATTTTCCTACAATCTGCCAAACCCGTGTTTCTTGAAATAATGCCAGGAAAATATTATCTCTTTCACTTAAATGGCTTAATTAAATTGGATGATTCAACCCCCCAAAACACAATAAAACCTATTTTTACTCCTGGGCTGCAGTCCATCCAGGTAATTTGAGCTTGAGCTGAGGTTTAGAAATATGGCTGCAGCATCCCTTAATACAGTGCACGCAATGCCATTTGGTCTGTGGGACTCACTACTAAATATATAATTGAAAAACTCAATAACAACATCTATTTAAAAAAAAAAGAAACCGACATGGTTACTTAGAACTCAAACCGTTTTATGAGCAGTTTCTTTAAGAACTACTTGTTATCAAAACACAACTGCCTGATTTATATTTTCAGGCAGAAGAAGCAGACTATAAACATTTGGGATTTTATACAATCTTGTTGTTTTGGGTGCTGTGTGCACCACAAACCAAATACCCTTGAGCTGTGGGGTACCGGAGTAATATACAGCTAATAACTCCTAAAATTGGCAGCTTTTATTTGCAAGATTCGCTGATGATGAGAGCAAAATTAAGATATTGGGTCACTCTTACCTGAGCACCTGGGGGATGGCGAACATGAACACATCGTGGAATATGATGCACAGGGTGCCGGTCAGAAAGTATTGGCCGAAATTGCGTGCCAGCGTCCTGAGCAGGAAGAAACCAGAGCTCTGCTCCTTCTGCAACTTCCGGAGGAGCTGCGCCTGGTCCGGCAGTCTGCTCCCCAGCGCCACACCCGACGCTAAGGCCTTCTCCTGCCTGCCAGAGAGAGAGAAAGCACGTTACAGACAACACATCTGTGTCAGAGATGCCCGAAATTATGCTGGCGCCTTTCAAGCTTTTACTGTAAAACAGACTGTAAAAAAAACCCTGTTGTTAATCATACCATCACCAACGGACTCAAGAATTCACCAGCAGTAAAAAGCATTATTCACTGACTGATTATTGTACTTAACAAGGGATCTTCAAAGCGCAGGATCATGTTAACAAGCTTTGACACATGGCTCTTGCCCTGACATTATGCTGCTGTATGTCCTCAAGGGACTCCTTTGGAACTATTTTTGGCCCAAAATGCCTCTGTTGATGAGTTGTCCCGAATGTCAATTTACCGCAATCATGACAAGGCATGCTTTGCTCGGGTCATTAATTCAGCCAGCACCATGCTGACTGTTGACCACATTGCAGTAAAATGGAATGGATTCTTTGGCTGTTAAGCTGTAACAATAGAGAGACAACTGCGAGACACGTTATGTTGGATCACATGCGTGGAGCAAAATAACCATATGAGCCTGAGGAAACAGAAAGAACACAGTAGGACAAGTCGGGCTGAGCAAGATATTATATGGATTTCGTGATTTGAAACTAGATATGGTCTTAGATTTTGGATATTGTAATGTAGCATACATTTATTTTCTTGGTTTTAAAGCCTGCATAACAATAAATGGATGGAATTTTCCAAATTCACAAGAGAGTTCCAGCTGTTTTATGTTTATGACCAACATTTCTGTAAAACAGTCTCTTCTATACTTTCGTGTTTTTTGCTAATTAGGAAATGTTAACATGCTTATTCGCTAAACTAAGCGTGTTAGCTTTGTCATTGTGAGCCATGAAGCTCAAAAAGAACAGTATAAAGCGTTGCAGACAGAGCCCTGTTCATTGTAATGAAGTTGCTAGGTGGTGCATGAAGCCAAACAAATTTGACTTCCTAGTATAAAAATACCCAGAGCCAACGTGATTTTCTTTTTACAATACCAAATTACCAGGGTACCCTTTAATCAGCCTGAACTGTATCAACAGGCGTTCTCACTTTTGAAGTTCGGCACATTCATCCGTCCAGTTCTCTTCCAGCTCAGAGATGATCTTGCGCGATGTGTCTTCCTCCCTCAGCGTCCACAGGTCCTCTCCTGCCAGCGGGGTGCGATATCCTTTCACAACAAGCCTGAAGAGGATGATTCATGCACGTGATCGTCAACAAAACACACATATTATTGTAAACAAGAACAAACTGTCACTATAGTGAGTCAGCCGAAGCCAAAAAATGAGTGGGTTCTGAAGAACCATCTTACCCAGTGAACCACCAGAAGAGAATCTTTGAGAGGAAAGAGGCATCTTGCACAGGACAGGGATTCTGCAACAGATTAAAGACCAGACTGTTGTTTTCGCAATAAATTTCCCACCACTTTAAGGCTTTAAAGACGTACACACAGTCAGTTGATGGTTCAATGCTGCACTTGTGAGGAGTGTGTTAAAGAAGGCTAACGTGTGTAAACAGCACTGGACAGTAAGGTGGTCCATTGTGGGGGGAGCAGAGGCCATGAACTCCCACACAACAGAATAAATAGATTTCAGTGTTAGCACAGGGTGAACATGACGTCCTAAGGTCTAGCGTAGACATAGCGGAAATCTGTCATCATGCTAAAACTGTCCAACACGTGGATATACACACACACACACACACACACGTACACACACACGTAAGCACACAGAACGTTTGTTCTCTCACACATTCTTTATGACATCTCTCTCCACCCTGCCTCCCCCTCACCAGGGTGTTTGCTCTCTTCATTACCAGTGCGCTCACTTGTTCTTGCACTTCCTCTCTTCCTGTGAGTAACTAACCAGAGCGTGGGTTCGGAGAGGAGGAGGAGGAGGTGAAGGTGAAGGAAGACGAAGAGGACACACCAAGGATCGACCAATGGGTGTGTCCACCCCGCCAGACTGCGGCTTCTGCACCCTCACCACCGGCCAAGAGTTTCTTAGGGACTTTTCCGGCTATTTTGATTGTTACTCACCGGGGAAATATTACGCCCCTTGTCCATTTGATTGATTAGAAGACTCATTTTCATTCACCTGTCAGCTGTCCTGAATCGACTTGCTATTTTATGTTTGACAAAGTGTCATCTGGCCCATGATTGATGGCATAGTGAGATCAGTATTAGGCAATGCAGTTTTGATGACCCAAGGTTGGAGTACAGTAAGTGAGTCACCCTGATGGTATGCTGGACAACGACACACACACACACACACACACACACACACACACACATATTCACACATATTCACACTCCCCTCATAACAAGCCAAAGCGGTGAAGTGAGAGTGGAAGGAGGAAGGGAGGGGAATTGCATCATTTCCTCCAAAAGGTAAAAATGTCTTGACAACAAAAGTTGAAAACCACAAGATAGCTGTTCAGGCCTTTCCCTGGGTATTGGATTGGAGTGGACTTTTTATGAAGGAAGTGGGATACATTCTCCTCTGCTTACCTTTTGAAATGTGTTTTTTCCCTCTGGAGGCTGGTCAGCAAAACAGCACAGGAAGAGCTGGGCCAGTTGGATTGTGAAATAGGAGAAAAAGGCGAGGTATCGTACGATATCAGATGCAATGCCCTGTGGAATAGGAAAGCACAGATTAAACAGGCTGCTGCAGGGCTGAAAGTGCTTCAGGCAGAGTTCCTTGAGTTTATGGTCTCAAGTTGTAAGAACGTTTTTCTATGTTTATTCTAAGCTGGGGACACAAATTAATTGGCTTTGTGGCTGTGCTCATGCCACAGAAAAATAACATTTATGTTAAATCAAGATATAGGGACTTCAACAGCATCCAAATGTATGCCTTTCAACCTAACCCAACAAATCAAACAACATCCTGTGGTTTACAGCGTCATTTATCTCCGCTGTGGTTTGTATGCAGTTTCACAACAACACGAAGATTCATTACATGACTTCCCATGCTTACACATTGTATAGCAGAGGATATGGTTTATACACCAAAAACACAGACACAATAAAGAGTATTTTTTACCTTTAAGCTAAATCAAGAGTGAAACCTAAAGTCTTTAATGGTGCACTTTATATAAATAAAGCACTAGTTAAAGCTGCCCTTCAGTCACGCTAAGAGCCCGTATCTGTAAATAGGGAGATTGTGGTTTCACAAACCAGCTTCCTTACATTCAATCAAGGGAACAGCTGCAATATTAACCACTCAAGAGACTTTTGTGAAATGTAGGACTTACATGTTATTCTTGACATACAGAAACTGTGGGGTTTGGCAGAGGCATTGTTTACTGGGTGAAGGCCATTGCCACAGCCTGTCTGTTGCGCAGCAGAGTGGCTAAGCATTAAAGTCAGAGCCATGGTAAACAGTAAAATTACTTTTTCAGAAGAAAAGTGTGGAGCTTTATTGAGAAAGGAGATACGACGGGGCCAAATGGATCCGGCCACACAGTGAAAAACATGGTCAGGATGGTCGGAGAGCGGGTGGGTGAAAATGTATGTCAAGTGAATAAGAATGGCCAAAGGTCCACAAACGTGAACTCTGTCAACTAGCCAATAAAGCTGCAATGTGAATAACATACTTTCTTCATTATTTTTAAAAGAATATGCCATTACAATGCGTAACACAGCAGATAGAGAACTGTGCAGCACACGTCTGTTCTTGTGACATCTATCTAAGAAAATAATATATATTTTTAATTAGCTTAATTACTATTAAGACAAAAAAATATTTCAGCATCTGTAGTTAAACATTTTACAAGATATACTAATTGTGTTCGATTGAATTATTAAGGAAATTTTAAGAAAAATGTCGGCAAAATGTAGATGCTAATTAGGCCTTCTAATTCGCCAGTAAACCGAGCAGCCTACAAGAAGTTAAAGTTGCAAACCAGTCAGCCTTGCCATCTAAGTGCTGAACAAGGGTACTGTAAGTTCAGCTAGTATTGGCCATGTTTTATGGTGTTTGGAGATTAACTTGAAAATCACGAAAGCCACCAATAGCAGCAACAGATGATTAGTCTTGTTGGTTAAATGTAGGCTACTTCAGCACTTGGCAAAGGAGTTTCCATATCCAATTAGCAATTATCAACTATTTTTTCGTCAAAGGCAAAAGACACTTTAAATGGGCATTTGAGGAAAGGGTTGTCAAATATAATACGAAAACCAGTAACCCAGAGACAGGAAATAGGGGAAACAGCAAGCCTGGCTTTTTACAAAGATAACAAAATCCTTAAACTAGCACTGTGCAAAAACACGAACTGTTGTTTTCACTCTTAACGTATGTTTAAGTCCTTCTGCTAAGTTTGGCTAATTAGCTTATTTAGCTAGCTGTTGCTTGCTAAATCTCAAACATATAAACTTCTTGTTAATAAGTGGATTTACTAACTCCATCTTAACTTTGATTATATCTTCTGTAAGAAGCATACTTTTGAATTTCAGTAACGTTCCCTCCTATGACCGGGCAAAATGTGATGGTAATGATGATATTTGAATCTTTAGAGAAGTTGATTAACAGAACACATGTGCCTATGAATTTGGTTAATCCATACAAATGATGTTGGAGGAATGTATGGGTGTCTTGTGTTTGTCCTATATGCACGCGTGTGGTTGAATGAAATGAAAACATCTGTGTCTAAATTGTAAATGAACTCGCATTATGTGTGGATGCATAGATTTCCATCTGGCTGTGTTTACAGCAGTGTAGGCCCATAAACACAGCGCTGACGTTCCTCTGGTCTGACCCTGGGCTGCCATGTCTCACCAGCATTTATCCCAGAGCCTTCATTACTCTCCCCCAAGCAGTGTGGGAATGTCACATTGGGGACGATAAAACAGAAATATGGATGTGAGTGTGTTTGTGTGTTTTTTATAGAAATGCAAATGCGCCTGCCCCACGAATGCTTAAATAGAAACTTACCCCATATAGGCTACAACAATGATTGCAGTGTCTGACACGAGACACAGGAAGAAAAGACACTTAAACACACACAGGCTTGACCAGAATTGGCAGTGTCATCCTCCAACACTTGGTTAACTTTGGGTTACCTTGGTTGAAATTGGGGGATGAGACAAACTCTTTGCTGACACAGGGTATATCTCAAGCTGTGCTGCTGGAGTCTTGTGTCTAGACTATGGGTGGGAGTAGACCTGATTAGATATGCCTGCATGGTTTTTGGACACTGCAAGTTCACTGAGTTCAAACCTGACAAACACATTGAATTGCCCTTCATTTTCAACTTTGGCTTTTTCTTGATGCTTGAAATATTGACATTGACGGTATTTCTATTAAAGATATGGTGTAGTGGTACTATTCCATATGATTTGATAGGCTAAACCAAACACATACCTCGTCCATAGCCAGCTGGATCTTCGCCCTGAGAGGCACCAGGGAACAGATAACAGCCAAGACCCAGAACAGGAAGAGGAATATGGAGGAACGGCAGCCTCTTATTCTTTCCAACTGGATGATGCATAAGGCCAAGATCTAGAGAGGGACAGAAGAGTACTTGTTTAAATTCACATGAGTGGATCTGACAGGAAACGAGAGGAAACAACTTAATCCCCAAGACAGAAAGCGCTCAGATCTGTGATGCCACATTTTAGAAAAGCCTGAAGCAACTCAACATGGACAAGAAAATGTTTAATTTGAAACTACGAGTTGCCTTTTTGGATTTACATGCCAGGGAGATTAATTTTGTTATTACTATCAGGTCTCAATTTCAAACCAAGTGATTTTGTTGTTTTGGTGAATTTCTTTTCAGTTCATCTGTGGGAAAATATGTTGTTAAGACTGCCATTCAGCACTACTTCATTCAGTTGGAGGAAATAAAGTCCTCTATCTCCTGTATTAACTGTGGGTATCAGTGCCAATGTTTCCATCACAGGGTGTAATGAGATTGAGTCTGATCTAATGCAGCCAATGGTGGTTTTGAAAAAGAACTTGAGTTTCTGGGATTTCCCTGGCCGCAGGCGCAGCTGTGATCCGACTGACTACCGCTTATAAATGACACATGTATGGTATGCCGCATGCCCAGCACACACCGCTTTATGTTATTATATACTTTCCTTTAAAAAGGTTCTCAATGCTGTGATGTTTTTTCAAAAGTTGGTCTGATTCAGTGCTTGGATACGGCCTGTCCTCAGGAGTCATGTATCTGCTGTGAACCAGCAATTGGTTCCTCTCTGTACGTTTGCCAAGTGAGACGTCACTTTGTCATGCCAGCTCATCACCAAATTTGGGGAAAGCAGGTTTAGGTTTCCATAATGACTACCACATTGGTAATTTTGGGATCAGCCACAATACTGTTATAAACTATAGCTGCCTGTTATTTCTGTAAGTTTTCACAACAACAACCTTATACACTTCATGTGGGAGATGAGTACAGATTTCTGTGTGGTGGCCAAGAGGTTGAACATCTATGTGCTTAAGTGGAAACAAACAAACAACATAAAGGCTTCTCATTTACTTGCTGTGTTGACTCACTGATTTTTTCATTCTTTTGTTCATTCATTTTCTCTACACAGTCTATTGAAGGATGAGTACAGATAGATAGGCACTTACAAACATACCTATGGGGAATTTAGAGTCTCCAGTCCACCTGACTGGACGTTGGAGCCAAAAGGCACACAGGGACAGCGTGCCAACTCAAAGTCATGTGAAAGTCCAAGAAATTGAAGTGCTTTTGGGGTGGCAAAACCTTTCAAATTGCACATGGTCAATCTGATCCGCATTTAAACCAAATAACACCACTTTATGTTCCAATTGTACATTGATTGTCCCCCCCAAGTGTTCAACCTAACTCTCCCATGGGACTGCATGATCCCATGGGATGTATCAGTCAGCAGCAGAAAGCCCATGGTAAGAACTTTATGTTCTCAACTGCTGGTACTTAAAGAGCTATACTGATGTGGCTGAGGCTGCATCAGCCCCATCCAACCTTAACATTAGTGGGGAATTGTAAAGCTGACCTTGGGTCAGCATTTGAGGGCAAGGACCCTCCTATTCCCAGCCTTCCGCTGTGACTTGCCATACTGCTGCAAACCATCAGCCCATCTGTTTGTAGAAGTCAGTGGGTGGAACTAAGTCCATCACCGAGCCCAAATCAAAAACCCTACCTTATAATTACACAGGAAGTGTGCAGCGCTTTGGGAAGGAATTGGAATTTACATCATGGTATTGCTGATTATAGTCAATGTCATGTGTGTGCTTTTCATCAATAGTGACCACGACTCGTTCGTGGGCTGCAAACTGTTCCTATACATTAAGTTGAGTTGAATGGTACAAAACAAGTTGGTGGGAGAAACAAGAGCACAGTGTTCTAGTCCTGTACCCAGGGAGCGGGTGGTGGTGGGCGGCTACAATCAAGAAAATTATATCCTTTAATAAAAATAGGTCTGGCAACTCCATTTAAAGATTGGTGACAAGCTCTTCATCTGATTTAGTGGATGTTTGTTTGTCTGATACATTTTATCCTCAAAATAAATGACCTTCATTTGAAATATGTATCTCATATCTGGAAATACAAGAGACGTCTCAGTGTATTTTTACTAAAACACGTGCTGCTATTTACTCAGAAGTCTGAAAAGACCACAGATGGCCAAGGGTGTCTGACTTGGAGACTGCAGGACCTGTATAAGGCTGCAGAGAGAGAGGAAGCTTTGTGAGTAAGAGTACATGATTATGTGGGTCAGTATTAGAGGCTCACTGGGTTACTACACCATGCCTTCCTTTCTGGACTCAGCACCCTTGTATGGCATTGTACCATCTTACATCACTCCTGCTGAGGGTAAACAGCATTTTAAACTTGCCATGCCACCCATGTTGCCAGCTGCACCCCTCTTCTGTTTGCTGCTACGTACTCATCAGTCAAGTATAATTTAAAATCTGCAGAAAATGAGTGGGATCAATGTTCTGAGAAACATTTTGGGTTGTTTCCATCAACACTGTCCACTGAAACAATCCTCTGATTGCATACCAGCCCTTATTTTATATAAATAATATTCTGTTGCCCACCCTACATGCCACCCTGATCCAGGTAGGGTGGGCATTAAACGGGCATTGCAATTTAGATTTGAAATGTTTGGATGAAAAGAGTCAAACAACATTTTTAACTGTAAGGCATTCGGAAAGCGTAGACCTCCGCCAAGTGCATTTCCTTAAAGGAAGAAATAATGGCTGTATACGCCCTGTGATTTGAATCCACACCAACATTTGATTGGTTCTTCCCTCGCCCATGTTACACCCTACACCCAAGTTTGATGAAAATCGGACTAGTAGTTTTTTGTAATGCTGACAAAAAGAAAAACAATGAAATGAAAACCAATAAGATTAAGAATAAAGATCTTATCTAGACTGCATAGCTCTGTGCAGGTCTTGCACTAATTTGGATCTAAACATTTGAGTAGTTTGAGTAGTTTCTCTTCAGACCTGAGAAAGATAATCAATGTGCAATATGGATTCAGGGCATGGCTTTGTTTATTCAAAACTTCAGGTTTTCTTATTCCAGGGTAAGGTTGGATTATCTTTTCTTCCTTTCCTGCATTGCAATTAAACACGTCCGACCATACTGTAAATACAGTCTTGGGCAGAACAATGGCGCTAAAAAAAAAAAAAGCTGGCGTCAAAACTTCCAGTCCAACAGCACACCTGTAGCCTATATAAAGACGGAACCTTTCTATGTAATTAGGTTTAACATAGGCTGCAATTGTGTTTCGTCACCTTTGTTGAGTTCGGTGGTTTTGTGTTTTTTTTATGGATGAACAGAAAGTTTGGCAGGGATTCAAATGAGCTTGATTTGAAGCACATGATTAGTCAATGCACTGCCACCACTGAATATTTGCATGCAACAACATGATTGAATAAGCAGCAACAAAACCGTTGATTCAATAAACTTAAATAGACTAACACTGGCCATCCTGCTGAGGTTCATGAGAAAGTAAATCATCCAGTTTACCACTGCTATGACAGAAATGGAGGGAAAACATCATAGTATACTTTGGAAAATAATAAAAATGTTTTCTTTATGACATATGGTCTCTCATTTGCACAGCACCTACCGATCACATTTTTCATTTATTGAAACTTTGCATGTACGTATGTATGCCGATTTCACCTCAAGCAGTAGCTGATGTCACTATGTATCTGCGCCCTGATGAGTGATGGTCAAATCCTGGCGGAGTTTACAGGGCAATGTAATATTTGCAATGCCTGCAACACTATAAATCTAACCTTGGATATGCATCTTTGCACCTGGGTGTCTTGCCAACAAACTTTACATACATAGGCTTTATATCCTTTCATTTGCCTGCACATCGACATGTGAGACAGGCGGAAATATTCCCCAAACTCCTCTGTAACCCAGAGCAACGCAGGAGGGACAATAGATGTGTGATTTCAGCCACAAATAATAAGTCAATAGTTAAAGCTTTTTCCATAAACAAACCTTGGATGCACTGAGAGTCTGTTAAACTAATGCATAATTACATTATTCCTTGGCAAACCTGATCAGGGATAACCCACTAATGAGTTCCATTTGCTAATTAAAAGAGACTGTTTTAATTGCTTTAAAGTTACAAGCTATTTTAACTTTTTACTGACCCGTGAACAGTTTTACAAGGCTTATAAGTTCTTCTATAGGACTTATTTTCATCTATTAATCACCTTGTGTCACCTTGAATTCTGTGTTCTCAACAGTAAGGTTTAGTGACAATATATGTGTTTGGATGGAAGTGACCATATCACTGGCTGAATTACACTTCTGCTGTGACAGTTTTAAAAAAAATGATTCTTCTCTGTTTTCTGATTCTTTCACTGCAAAGACATTTTAGAAAAACAAGACTGTCTTCAAGAATTCAAGAAAACACGGTAAGAGAATTCAATATTCAACTGTGGGGTCATTAAGTGTATTCAATTTAGATAACATGCTTTGAGGAGATGACATTTGATTTAAATATTCATCGCTTTGCAGTATTAAGTATAGCAGTTAGTGTAAATCAGACAAGAGACACGGTATTTACCACAGTCAGGCTGCGTATGATGGGGCTGAGGAGGAAGACCATGTGCTGCTGGATCTCCTGGCTCCTCTCCAGCAGGATGTAGAAGAACTCAACGAAGCCAAAGGAGGCCAACAGGAAACCCAACACCTGAACACGGATGGATGGAGAAACTTTACAGTGACCTTTGCCAACATTTATTTTTGATACTGGGGATCTTGTTGAGAAAAACGAATAACAAAATCTGGCCAAATTATTGGCGAAGTCTCACCATCTTGGAGCTGCATAGGCAGGACGTTCGGATGCGACCGTGGTCATAATAGTAGAGGTAAAGGCAGTAGAAAGGGGCCAGCAACCACAGATAGATACAGGGGACCCACACCAATACTGTGTTCTGGAAACACTGGGTCAGGTCCGGGTTGGCTGTGTACCACGTACGGTTCCAGTCCTACAACAGAGAGAAAGGACAGAAGTTGGACATCAAGGGAATATGCTTAAGAAGTAAAACTGTGAGTTTATATCCATCATCTGACAAGACAGAGCATGTGAGAGCCAAAACCAGAGAACTCAGACTTGGTGTGCATCCTACGTTTCATCCATCAAGGCAGTGGAGAGTGAAACCACAGCAAGTCACAGTCTGCGCCCAATCCTGAAAGAGTGTGAGTTGGAGGAGGCCTTCTTTTGCTCAGAAAGCTGAGTCAGTTTGGGTTTTCTTTTCTCACCACGTCTCTGCTTGTTCCCTAATTTCAGTTGGGCAATGTAAAATGTCAACTCATTAAAAAGCTAGGTTAAGGATTATATTAATAATGAAGCCGATAAACAATAAAGATCCTGGCATCATAGCTGTGTTGACCAAATTCTGCCAGGAGTTTGAGATTATGTACCAGGATAGGTTGTCTCTTGTACAGGAAATACATATAAAGGGGGCTAAGTGGCTTGTTGTTGTCTTGCTACCCTTGTTTATCACCCCTCTGGCCTAATGAGGGGCAGGGTGTCTGGCTGTGCTAACAAGGCTGCCCTGCGGAGTCACCACAGGAAGTGGGTTAAGGCTTCTTGGCTGGCGGAGCAGTCTGGCCCTGCTGGTAGACTCCCAACTGGGATTAGGGACGGAGGTCGCAGTTGGTGGCAGCTGCAGAGTCGTTATGCAATGCAGCCCTGCAGATGAACCATGTGGGGCAACGCAGTACTGCTGCTCGAGGGGGGTGGTGTCCCTGCATGAACAGTTATTAATTCAAGTTTACGATCAATCACGACTAATTCCCACCTATGGAGCCACAAGGGTCTGAATCACAGTCTGACTGCCTGTTCACATCAGAGGTGGCCCACACATTTTTGCCATGCACATACATTCCCACATGGCTTAATCTTTATAGATGATGCATTTAAGGTTCTGTAAACAACACAGCATTTCATATACTAGTGGTCTGTTTGAGCACCTATGTATCAAAATCCAGTGATAAATCTCTATAGAGGCAGTGCGTGGGAGGCTACTTTCGCAGACCCTTCTGACTCCTGCGGTCCGTGGCAGGCTGATAAACAGAACTCTTTTATGTAAGGACTGCAACTTGTTAAATGCTCTCCAGGCACTTTCTTGTGCATTTTGCCTAGTACTCATCCTGTTTCTCACCCTTAGGTGAAGTAGTTGCAGTTAACTTGTGGCCAACAGTTTGGCTATTTTTCACCGGAGAAACACAGTGATGTGAAAACAGTAGAGACTTTTGCTGTGCTGCAAATCTGCTGAATGTCCCCTTTTTATATTTTCTAGACTTGGTAGAGCAACTCGGTGGCTCATAATGAGTTAAATAAATTCAACCATGCACTGGCTTGTGAGCAAAGAATAATCATGCACCTAATGCGAGTAAGTGACGTGTATGAACCAAGGACCCTGTAATTTTAGAAGGCATTGATCAACTCTCTTGACAGTTTCACCTAGACTTTGACCTGTTTTTTTTAATTACAGGATTGCTTCATCTAAAATTAAAGAAGCTAAATGCACTTCTATCTCTTAGATAGGCCCCTTTTAAATGTCTTAAAAAGCTTGTATTGGTGTTTATAGGTCCAAACTCTTCTGCTGAGCTGGATTTGCTAGTTCAGTATTAAAGCCACATTTATCCCCATTAGTACCCTCGGGCTGTGACCAATGACTAAGCAATGACTCTGTTCCAAAAGCATGTGAAGGTTTGATTACTCTAATCAATAACTGGAAGTACTTTGCAGTCAACGGTAGACAAACACATCTGTTAAAACATCCTCATTGCTCTCTGATGGATGCAATGTGGCTCATAACATTACATTTCATCTTTCATAAAAGTTTGGTTATCCATTGTTTTAAGGGTTCCGAAAAAAACAGTCATAAAACAGAAACACAGAGGGAGGAAGAGGAAGGGGGGTGGGGGGCGATTAAGAGGCAAGTAAGGAGTGCATTCAAAAGTTTTGGCACACCAGCTGGATCGCGGCCATTTATTTTCGAGCCGGGATTCAGAATGTGGAGGTTTGCTCATATACAAGACTCAAAAGCTTTTCCAACAACATGAGCTCACTCAGTGTGGCGTATCTCCACCTCTCTGCATCTCATTGTGCTGTACCACTGAGAACAGAGTGAATGCAACTCTGATACGCATCAATGGTAAATTCTCTCATTCAGACTTGTTTTGTCTCCGATTTCAAATGCCCTCTTATATCTACGTACATTACTGCAAACTGAGAAGGTCACTGTAAGCTATGGGGATTTTTTTCCTGTACTGCTGAGCGCTGCCAGCTAACATTTTAGGTGAACCCATCTCACCTGTTCCTGTTCTGCACACTGTTCTTTTATTTTTCATTCTACTGTTTACCAATACAAACCAGTCAAATGCCAATGAGCCTTTAGTACAAGCTAAAGACACAAAAACGACATGCTAATGAAGCTAATGCTAATTGCATTAATCCCTTAATCACATCCATGCTGAGGATCAAACAAGTTAACAAGTTAATAAGCAAAAGATCAAAAATAATATGCATTATAATGTACATTAGCAACAATGGGTGCTCTTTATGCATTAATACAAACTTTTACATGAGTATTTACACATAAATATTAGCTTATATCAAACAAACATTGATTTTGTGACAGTAAAAACGTTCCTGACGCACAAAAATATATCAAACTAGCTAGGATTCTATATTGTCTGGAAATACACAAGAAATAGCTCAGGGTCAGTGAACGCATCACAAACTCACCCACAGAGGGTCCAGGCCGCTGAGTCTGCAAAAGGCATCCATCAACTTGCTTCTCCTTCTTTCCTGATGCTCCACTTGTTGGGGTCGGTCAGCCCTGCTCCTCACGCTGGTTGTAGCACACACTCTTCACCAGTATGTGTGTGTGTGTAACAGACGTGGGGCTAGATACTTTAGTATATGTGTCCCTATTAGACTTTCCCTCTCTGGCTAATGGTTGTAAATCTTAGTTTTAGCTGGTCCTTGCCTCTCTGTCTGGGTGGCACGAGCTGTGTTTATTAGTGTGTGTGTTTGAGTTTGTCTGTGGGATTTTTCCTCCGCCTTTAATAAAACATCTTCTCTCAATGAAACTCTGTTTCTGTCTGCTGCTCTGTTTGAACTGCTGCTGCTCTGAGATCCTGTGTCTTTCTGACTCTCACTCCAGTCTGTCTGCTGTTTATGAGTGTGTCCTTGTTGGGTGGGTGGAAATACCTCTCCCTCTCTCTCTCTCTCTCTCTCTCTCTCTCTCTCTCTCTTTCACTCATACCCCTCTCTCCTCTCCCACATCTGCTGGATTTCAATCAAAACACCACAGCAACTCCCCCTCATTGGGATGACAGTCTCACACCCAGACAGTGACACACTCCTCCCACTTTCACTCACTGCCCCTTACCTCCTTTCTCGCTCTTTCTCCCCCCCCATCCTCCCCCTTTACCCACATCCGAAACCAGTCGTCTGACCACACAGTGTCTGTTTGTGCACAGACATACCTTTTAAACTGAATCCAGCCACACTCACACAAATGCCACGATTTTAAAACCTTCACTATATCCAGGATCTTATCAACCTTAGTCACTTTTGTGTGACAACTATTCATATGTAACACCAGCGTGGTGCAAAGTTTAACATATTAGCATGTAGGTGTGGAAACCCCTTTGCAAGTGGACACTAGCGCTAATCTATCATGTACTGCATGAGTCACAAACGTATGTTTTTCAGAGCAGACATTCAGTGGAAAATGTAGAGCGGCCTGGATGGCGTAAACCATCACATGCACTTCCAAGTATTGCAAAAACTTGCTGATATAGGAAGAAAATGGAAGTCATTCAGTTAATAAGTCATCGTATTGGACTAAAACTTGCATGGTAAGTGGAAAATGTAAATTCATTATGGACCAAAAAGTGTCATGTTGAACTGAAGAGGGTTTATGTCGGAGTACATTTAGTCGGTATAGGTAACCAGTGAGGGAACTAGGAAAGTGCACTGGGTAGATGTCATTGTTTGCGCACATCGCCCCCTCTTGCCTTATTCGTAAAGTCAGTGAGGAACAAGTCTTTGGTGAAATCACGTCTAAAGCTCAACAAAAACAGGCCAAGACTAAAGATGAACGAAAGGATGATGCTTCAGGGAGGACAAATAATTCAGAGCAGCAAGTCAAAGACCGGAGAAAACAAGAAGAAATCTTAAAGACTTCAGGACCTCCGGGACAGGCAGAGAGTCTCTAGAGAAAGAGAGCCAGCAAGCACAAAGCAAACACAGAGACCCCTAGACCCCGTCCACACGGAGACGAAACGGGTTGTATCCGCTACAGTTCTCTATCATATAGACGGTTCGTCCACACGAGGCCGACACGGAAACGCGGATAACGATAACGATAACGATAACGATAACGATAACGATAACGATAATGATAATGGCTCCCAAGGTGGGTAGATCTGCGGACGAAAGGCTCTGGGGGGCCAAACGGCTCCGTGTGTACGTCCTATACGATCATTTACTGATAACGATGAAGCCATAGCCCCGCCTCTCCCCACCTCTGCTGCTCACCCCCGCGTCACCCGCGTCATTGCTGATGTGTTTCGCCAACAACAACAACAATGGCGGATCACAGGGTTGCTTTCGTGCTCCAGACGCTACTGACCATGCTACAGATGTTAGTGCAAAATCTACAGCTCCTCTACCACAACCATCAGCAACAAGTGGACATGGAGAACTACATGAACTACATGTTGCTAAATCCACCGCGGAGAATAAACAGAAGGGCAACCAGGCAACCATGGCAACCATGTTCGGGGGTCTTATTCGCTGCTGTTGGTGTATTTTGTGGCGGAAGTACAGCGCCACTTACAGGCCCGGCATATGTACTGCAGCGTCTCCAGCGGGTCGAGCGGTCTCGTGTGGATGGACACGTTTCTTGAGCCGATTCCGTGTGGATGGAAGATTTTTTTTATATCAACATCGGTTCGTTTTCATTTTCGTTTCCATGTGGATGGGGCCATGGTGGAGTGGAGGGGGTCGTAAAACTAGCCAATTGCCAGAAAGTCCTTTTGCTACTTAAGCAGATGTTGATGTTTTGTTGAAGTTTTGTTTTAAACCGCAATAAAATACATTTTACAAAAAAAAATTGCATTAGTGTGCAAGGCTAACATACCAAGATGCAGGGGTTTACAGGGCAACATGCATTATTAACATAAACAAATAAAACTAAATAATGCTTTACATTTTCATCGACTTTTTTAAAAAGAACCAAAAAGAGTGTGTGTCTTTAAAGCTCTTTGTAGTCTGCTGCAAAGCATCACAAATTGCGTGATGGTCAAGAGACAGGGGAAAACTTCAGCACAGCAGCTGTGCAGGAAAGTATGACAGCTGCACTTGACTAAAACCACCACAGGGCCATCATCACCACAGAGAAGAAACATGGAAAGTTTCGGCAGAGAAGCAGACCACCACCAGGTCCTGTGTCTCGCCACGTGCAAATGGGAGATTATTATTCTTTAAAAAATGTGTCATCACTTTACGTTTCTCCTCCAGACTAGCAAGTGTTTCTATTCCCCATAAAGCTAGCTGCTGGTGCAAAATGATTGTGTAACATGACTGATGACAAAATGTTGGAGTGGAACGTGTTGTTTTATGGATAAATTGGAGGTGAAATTAGGACAGGAACTTTTGAACAAATTCTGGTAAAAATATTGGTTAGAAATAAATATTTTGAACTGATGTGTGTTGGGTGTGCTTTGTTATGAGATGTGGTCAGGAGGTCAGAAAGTTCAGGATTACATTTTGCTCGACCCAACGTAACATAACATTGGATAAGTGTAATGTAGCAGTCAGACAGGTGTAAACAAAAAAGATATCCATGGTCTAACCGACTGTTGTGTTATGTCTCAGTCCCACGGCATGAGTGGAGTGTTGCTCCCATCAAGAAATGGACCGAAACACCTCAGACAGTCTACCACAGCCAGTGGGGTGGGTGGTGTGTGTGTGTGTGTGTGTGTGTGTGTGTGTGTGTGTGTGTGTGTGTGTGTGTGTGTGTGTGTGTGTGTGTGTGTGTGTGTGTGTGTGTGTGTGTGTGTGTGTGTGTGTGTGTGTGTGTGTGCGTGCGTGCGTGCGTGCGTGCGTGCGTGTGTGTGTGTGGCTGTTTACAGTACAATTTATTTGTTCCAAATAGCTCAGGGTTCAAACACTAAGAAAGAAAGGGATTTCTTCCCTTTCTGTTTTAACTCACGTATAGCTGACATGCTTGATTCTCTGTGGCCAGTTGTGTTTGTGTTTTCCAATCAACAGTACACAGATGACATCTGGCACTTGGCTGCAGGAGGACTTTTTTAAGGGTGTGTGAGAACTTTCCTCGAAAGGGGCCCTGGGCATTGTGGTCTCTCGGGCTGTTGAAATATGTGCATTTATATTCTAGGGGTTTGCAGCAGAGATAGTACCCCCCCTGTTGCACCCAGAATAAACTAAGCATCTGTCCAAGACACCTCAGCTGATCGGTCCCAGACTGCAGCCTGAGGTTGAGGGTGTTGCAATTCATGGAGAAAAAGTAGCACAAAAACAACAACACTCGCCGAATCGTGTATATGCAATGAAGAGCGAGAGCTGTGTAGCTGCTGGGACAGGCCCAAGACGCGTTAACGTACACAAACATACACACATTATGGGACTGCAAATAGGACCAAGAGGAGCTCTGTGCCAGCCGATGGCCAGACTGTTTACACCAGGGGGGGGGGGAGAGAAAGTGACCGGCATGGACCTGATGGCAGGCTGGGACTGGAGCAGGGCCACTTGTGGTCATGACGTGTAGTTGTAGTAATGTGGACCTGGCATTGGCGTTGGATGCAGAGGGTGGCTGCGGGGCCGGGGGAGGCAGTGCCCCAGCCAAGTCGTGGTGAAGCCGTGGTTAACCCGTCTAGGTCACTTACACTTCCTCTGGCCTCTCTCCCCGGGAGGAAAAACAGTCTAGTCAAAATAATGTTGTCATTTTGGCTTCTTACGTTTGAGCGAGGGGAGACAAATTTAGCAACAGCCAAGCAAAGGGAGGGGCTAAAAACAGATTAAGAAACAAGTGAACAAAATATCTGCTCTGTACTTTTTTTCTCTCTCGTTGCTTTTAAATAAGCAGTCTAAGATCAGAGGCGCAGTTCTAGTGCACCCTGTAAATTCAGATGTGTCAGCCTATGCAAGCAATTATAAATGGGCTATGTCTTCCGCTTCTCTCCCTCCCGCTTTTACCCTCAGTTCCGTCTTAATCTGTCTTCACTGCTTAACTGTAGTTGAGACTAACCTTTGACTCCGGCCAGCTTCCTGTCTGTCAGCGGAACTGCTGTGCTTTGCTTGATATTATTAGGAAGATACTTTGTGAGTACTGTATGTGCATAATTGTGTGTGTCAGACCGGTTTCCTCAGTTTGTAGACACCAGACCCGTCTCACATGCCGCTGTGAGTGATATAAGTCAACAGGTATTTATCACCTAACTGCCTTGGCACCTGCTGGGGGAATAATTCATAAGATGTCCAAATACTGTTTGATTAGTCACCTACTGTTTAGAAATATTTACACACACAAAATAAGGTTTTGGCAAATACAATGTTTTCATTTTCTTTAGATTTATACGAGGTTGCTATCCAAATGTATCGCACGTTGTAATCTGTTTCGAGAAGTATGAAACTTATGAAATATTACGTTTCTGTTTGTTTTATGTGTTAATGGGTGGAAGATTACATTTGTGTCGAGCGATGAGGAGTTTGTTTATTTGCTGCTACCATCTCTTTAGTGGAACAGAATCTTA